ATTTTAAATGGTTAATTGTGTGGCATCAATTTTATATATATTATTTTTGTTTATAGAGAATTGTAAATTCAATAGAATTACATGAGTTTTTTAGTTTTCAAACCTTCATCTATCATATTGTGTTCTAAAGGGTAGAATTTCTTTTAGGAACATAATTAATTGTAATTTCCTTATGTGAGTAAATAGTAAGTATTGAATTTGTATTTAATTAAATCATAAAGTAGTTGTACTGAAATATGTTGTAATAATATTAAAGTTATATCACGTAAACATTTCAACAAGTCTCTTAGAATACTACAAGATTAATTTACATTTATGGTACATAGTTCACACAGAAATTGGGTGCTTATCATTGGCCATCATCATATGCAACAGATAAATAATCAAATCAAGCTTTGGAGTTCTTTTATAAACTTTATTTACCAACCTCCTAATTGCTGAATAAAAGCTTTAAAATGAAATATACTTAATCGATATCAGAATAAGATTATTGTTATTATTATTTATTTGTAAATTATTTTAACATAACATCAATTTGCCTTAAATTAATGGAATCAAATTTTACTAAATAAAATTCTATTTTTAGTAACACTAAATAATTTTAATTTCATTTTTTTAATTTAATCTTCACTGTTTACCACAATATTCTTTTCATTTATTAAAAAAAATTATTGGTTATTAAAATCAAAAATATTTAGAAAAGCTCACTATTAAGAATCAATTATGAAATAAAATTTATAAATAGATTACTAATCTGGGTCATCATACATGAAAGCATATGAGTTTATTTTACGAGTATTAAGGGAAGAAGATGAAGAGGAACATGATGATGACGACGAATCTTCTAATAAAGCTATAATTATTTTGATATTCTTAAGCACGGGATTATTGGTTTTTGGGATAATAGTCTGCTTATGTAAATGCTTATATGACAGGATATAAAAAAAACGAGAAGCTTAAGTGCGTCAATTAAATGAATCCTAATATTAATAGTAAATTGTTTAAATAGAGACACTATGCCTATATAACAGAGATTTGGAGGACTGTCCAATTTGTTTAATGCCAATACCAAGTATTTTACTTGAAATTACTGCTTGCAATCATAAGTTCCATAAGGCATGCTTGGCGTTATGGTTGTAAGTCGATAAAGTGTGTCCTACTTGTAGAACAAGAATTTCTCAATGAACTAAAATGTATTAAGAAAAGATCACAAATGTTGTTAGTGAAATATAGTATGCAAGGAAAAACTAATATCAAATTTTATTATCGTCATATTTCTTATAATTGTTTTAATTATTCGATGAAATCTTTGTTTAACTTGTAATATGATGTATTTTTCTTACATCTAAATAATTAAACCTAGTATTTAAACTTAGAAAATTCACATTGAATTATAAAAATATTAATAAATTACTTATTAAATTTGAATAACAACTTTACAAATTAATTTATTTATGAACAACTCTCAAAAAAGTAAAACTGTTCGATCAGGTTCAGCTAGAGTTAAATCAGCCATTGAGAGAGCAGGATTAATTCAACAAAGAGAGCAATTGAGAGAAATGTTGATTAGCAAATTTTCAAAGGATTTTGCCTTGGGCAACAAGAATAAGGAAGTGTTAATTTAATAGATAGTTAATGGATACTTCGCGAATGAGCAAGCATCAAGAATAAAAATGTTAGGTTACAGAAAATTCTTTAAAATAACTGAAGACAAGAGAAGTTAAACTTAAACTTAATAAAACCCATCCTTAGATATATAAATTGATAATAGAAGTGAATAGAAATAGCAAATGTTCGACCTTAAATTGTGAAGAATTCAGAGAGGGATGCAGATTAATATTCTGTTACGTCTTCATGATTTGGTAATCCACCAAAATCTGTTTATGTTGTTGATGAAGAAGATGAATGGGCTGCTTTAGTTAAATTAGATACAGAACTTCACTCAAAGGAACATTAGCTAGAAATGCAAAGGTAGGGCGAGTTTAAAAAAAATGAAGGCAGACCTTGATAGGTAATTAGAGGAGAAAAGAAGGAGATTAGAGGGAGAGGAGAAATTGGAAGAGGCTGATGTAGAGCTCAGAGATTATCAAATGAATGTGTATGAAGAAAGAGAAGATTAGAAGAAAAAGAGAAAAAAAGAAAGCAGTGGTTTGAAAAAGAGCAAAGAGATCGTTAAGTTAGGGAAGAGGAAAAGAGAAGATTTTTAGAGAAAAAAAGTAATCAGAATAGGATGCAGTATTGGTTCAAAGAATTTAGGAAGAATTAAAATAAGAGTAAAGGGAAATGCTTCAGAGGAAGGAGATAGAGAAGAGAAAGTTTATGGAAATGATGGAAGAAGATGAAAGAAATAGATAGAAACAAATTCATGATGAAATAGCAGAGAGACAATAGGAATTGATATTTAAAGGAAATATATAGATTTACAATAAAAATTAGAGTAAGAGAGAGAATTAGAAAAGAAGGAGAGAGAGAGGATAAAATATAAAAGATCATGAGTGATTTTTCATAACCAGTAATTAAGAATCAAAAGATCAAATCAAGTAAAATCGTATTTAGAAATAGGGCTGAAGATGATAAAATGATGAAAGCTATACTAATGCAAAATCAAATAGAATAAAATGATGAAGATCAAGAAAGAAGATAACCTAAATAACAACAATAGGAAATGAGATAATATTTAATCAAGTAGATGGATGATAAAAAGAAAACATAAAACCATTATTTAAGATAGAAAGTAAAAGAGGAGGAAGAATTAAATAAAAAGTAGGCCTAAGTCTGTTCATACGATTTATAAATGTATTAAACACATGAAAAATAAAAATTTAATTACATAAAGGAAGCATCAAGATACTTTAAAATAATAAATAGACGAAAGAAAATCATAGTAGCGACCCAGAAATAAAATGAATAATGAGGAGTTAATGCACAATAAGCCTTTACTGAAAGAATTGGCAGACAAGTAAGATGCAATTAAAGTAAGGAAGATGAATATATGATGAGATTAATTTTTTCATATAGCTTTTTATATATTTTTATGTTAAATATATATATTTAAATGTGATAGCAAATCCATAAATTAAATTATCAAAATATGACTCATAGTTACGGTTTAAAAAAGGGTACTAGAAGTAAATTTGCCAAACCATTCAGAGGACATGGAAACATTTCAATCAGAAAAACCCTTTAAACATTCAGAAGAGGTAAGTCTTTGTTAATAATCTTAAGGTGATTTTGTTGATATTTTGGTTGATGGTGCTTAACACAAAGGTGTTCCATTTTAATATTATCACGGCAGAACTGCAAGAGTATTCAATGTCAATCCAAGAGGAATTGGTGTCTCTTTACAAAGAAGAGTGAGAGGAAGATATGTCGAAAAGCGTTTTCATGTTAGAGCTGATCACTTGAGACCATCAAAATGCAGATAAGAATTTGTCAAGAGAGTCTAAGAAAATGACAAGAAAAAGACTGAGGCAAAGAAGAATAAGCAAGTCATTTCAACAAAGCGATAACCAGTTTAACCAAGAGGAGCAGCAGTTGTTATTCCCAAAGAAACAACTTTCTAACACCCAAAGGCATTTGTAGAAATTATTTGATCGAATAAATACATCAGTATATTATAAAAATAAGTTAATATAAATAAAGAGTTTTCTAATGATTAATGCATATATTTCTACTTGATTTTAAGTACCTAAATGTTGAATTTTTCTATTTTTAAGTTGAATTTATATATTTAGCATTCTTACAAATGATAAATTGTATGTTTATTGACATATTTTAATTTATACTTAAGTGTTTTAGTTATGTAATTAGTATTTAGATAATGGTTATATGATAAAAATAATAAATAATCCTTAAATTATATGAAATGTATCTAAATAACAATACATCATAATCATTTTTCTTATTATTATTGAGGTCCATCAAAGTCGTCCTCATCTTCCTTTCTTCTGTAATAATAGGTTTCAAGATTTCTTTTGTTAATCTATTCAGAATAAACTAAATTTTTACTTTCTTTAATTTTTCAGGAGGAAAGATTCTTAACAATCTCCAAGCTAAATCCAAAGATTTGAAAATTGATCTGACCTCATAAGCTCCTTAACTGATGAAGTTATTTTCGAACTTCTTCAAAAATTCTAGATATAAAAGATCTTCAGCAGACAAAGCTTCCTCTCCTACGACTGCTTTCATAGCTGCTGTATCCTTACCGATGGCATAATTAGCATATAACTATAGTTGATGTTAAAATAGATATATACTTGATTTGAAACTTCAGGATGATCTTCTCTTGTCATACCCTTACCAATAGCAGATTTCATCAATCTTGATAAGGAGGGTAAGACATTGATAGGTGGATAAACTTATTTGTTATTCAATTATCTGTCAATAAATATTTATCCTTCAGTAATATATCCTGTGAGATCTGGAATGGGATGTGTAATATCATCATTAGGCATTGTCAAAATAGGGATTTGAGTGATTGATCCATTTTTGCCTTACACTCTACCTGCTCTTTCGTAAATGGTTGAAAGATCTGTATAGAGATAACCAGGGAAAGAACGTCTTCCTGGCACTTCTTCTCTGGCTGCAGAGACTTCTCTTAAGGAATCTGCATAAGCTGACATATCTGTTAAGATAACCAAGACATGCAACTCTTTTTCGTAAGCCAAATATTCTGCAGTTGTCAATGCCAATCTGGGAGTAATAATTCTTTCAATTGTTGGATCATTAGCCAAGTTCATGAACAATACGACTCTTTCCATAGAACCATTTTATTCGAAATCTGTTTAGAAGAATCTAGCAGTTTCCATATTGACACCCATAGCACCAAAGACAACTGCAAAATTTTCATCTGAATGGTCGAGTACATCTTTACCCTTGACCAATGAGGCTTAACGCACAATTTAACTAAAATTATAGATGTAGAATCATACGCTCCTATTTCGTTATGAGGTAAACCATTGGCAGAGAACAATGGAATCTTCTATCCTCTGGCAATTGAGTTCATGCAATCAATAGCTGAAATACCAGTTTGAATCATTTCTTGAGGATAAACTCTGGAAAATGGATTAATAGGTTATCCTTGAATATCCAAGAACTCTTCAGCCAAAACAGGGGGTCCTTTATCAATGGGAACTCCTGATCCATTGAATGCTCTTCCAAGCATTTCCTCAGAAATTGGCATTTAAAGTGTTGAACCTGTGAATTCACAATGAGTGTACAAATTATCAATACCTGAAGTACCTTCAAAGATCTGGACAACTGCTTTCTTACCAGCAATTTCCAAAACTTATCTAAAAAAAGATGAAAATAAATCGATACCCCTTTCTGACAGATCCATCTCCCAAACAAACATTAACAATTTCTGCATATCTAGGGAATTTGACATTGTCCAAAATAACCAATGGACCGTCAACTTTCACCACTGTTCTGTAATCCACTCTTGGTGTCACATTGTAATTTCTGGTAGCAGCTGCTGCATTCAATTTAGCAGCTGCAACTTTGGCAATATCATGTGCCTTATGATGATGACTCATTTGTAAAATAAAGATATTTATAGTTTTTAAGAATTTATAAACCCCATTTTATATCGTCGTCGATATGCACTTTAATATAATATAAACAAGAAAAAAAGAGAGTTCAATGTCTCCAAATCTTAACCCTTCTATCCTTGCCTCCACTTCCCGCCTTTTCTCCTCCGATTGGAGCCCAATCAACAGCATAGACTTCATCAGCATGTCCTGGTAAATCAAAGGCTAATTTCTTTTTTTATAAAGACCATAATTTCAAAGTAGAGTCCTTGGAAGCAGACAACATGTATCTGGAATCACTAGACCATGAAACTTAATAAACTGAACCAACATGGCCTCTCAAAGTAGCAATCCAATTTCCATTGTAACCATCCCAAATTCTCAAACTCTTATCAAAACTAGCTGAAACAATATATCTTCCATCTGGCGAGAATTATACATGATTCACTTGTTATTGATGACCAGTCATTCTAACTTTTGGTTTCGAAGATGTATACTCCCACAACATCAAAGTTTAATCATCACTACCACTCACAAGTCTCTCATTTTTTCCATTCAGCATCTTCTCATAAAGGACCTTAGCTTGTTTTCTGTTAATTTCAGTATTCCCTTCGCTGAAACAAGCACATCTAATAGTGTAATCTGTATGCAAGGCAATCGAATTGACCCAATGACCATGACCTTTTAATTCTTATACTCTTTTTCCTGATTTATTCCACACTCCAATCGTAGTATCTTCAGATGCAGTATAGATATATCCCTAACCACCCCAAAGCATTCTAGATTTAATAAGAAATGTACTTAGTAATCGCTTTTTGATGAGCATTGATGGATATTAAACAAGACAATGAGACTCTACTCCAAATTCTAACGCTGCCATCCTTTGAAGATGAAGCAACCAATGTACATTCTTCATCTAAATGCATAGGCTACCAGGCTATACTAGTTACCCATTTAGTATGTCCTATTAATGGCTACCCTTTTAATTAATTGGTTTCAACATCCCAAATGCAAACTTAACCATCATGACCACCAGAGGCTATGTATTTGCAATCAGGACTCCATGCTAAGCATAATACCCAATTTTTATGGCCTTTGAGTGTGGCTATTGGTGTTTCTGTCAACATATCCCATAATCTTATTGTGGTGTCTCCACTTCCTGTTGCTAAGACATCTCCTTGGGTTCTGAATTGAACGCATAACACAGGCTATTCATGACCTTCTAAAGCAGCTGTTTATCTTGTGATAGGCTGAATTCTAAAGAGAGATTAGGGATGATAGGTTAGAGAAAAGGTATTTTCCAATTTGTATTCAGGATCTGAAACAATCAGTTGATTTAAGGTGTCGACCAATTCAATGTTGTTGTGGAAGAATGAATAAACTTAATCTTCCTCTGTTTTCACCAATTATTATAAAATTGATTGCAATTCTTCCTTTGTTGTATTCACTGATAGTTCTAAAGACTTTTAGGCTTCTTCACCATAAGGATTGATCAGAGTCACGAATACTCTTGTATCAGGGGGAAGGAGAGCAATTTAATTTGGTTTTATTTTCTTCTTGGTTTGATCCATTTATTGATCACTATTAAAATTAATGAATTAAGGTAATTAAGACAAGAGAAAATAGAGAGATTATGAAGAGGATGATTCAGAAGAAGAGGAAATCGAACAACCAATAAATGTGCATAATAAGGGAGAGATGGAAGAGGAAGTTAATCTTGACTTTGTATTTCTTGATCCAAATCAAAAATAATTTCACTCCATTAAATCATTCATCAATGGCTATTTAGAGGGAATAAGCTTTAAATCTTCTGAGTTGGCCAACATCATATGTGATCAAGTTGAATTGGGAACCATGGTTGGTCAAGAGGATGAAGACAATGTTTTTGGATTTACTACAATATTAAATATTGGTGAAATTAAGTAATTTAGAATTTAATCATCAAAAGGAGCAATGCCATTGGTGAAATCTTGCATTACGTAGACACTAAATCTCAATAATACAATAAACAACATCAGCAATTATAACACATCTTCTAAACACCCAAAAAAGTTGGTTTATTCATTAATGAGAGGATTCTTAATTTGGCTCCACAACTTGTTCCCATTTTGCATAATCAACTTGTAATTTATGAATTTAATTTTAGAAAGAAGACATCAATTGGTTACAAAAAGAAGACCCATCTAATTCACTCACAAATCTAGATTACCTACTTGTAATTACTAAGTGTTTTAAAGATAATGACTAATAAAAGTAAACTTAAAAAGTAAAAATGCTTCTAAAAATTAGAAATCTACTTCAGATCTCAATGATTTGATATTCCAAAAGTTTGAGGACTTTGTTTTTTTGCAAAAGTCTGTTGTTTCATTTAGATTCCTTAGTGAAGGATCCAAATAGACTCAACAAGTCTCTGACTATATGAAGACTGAACAAGACGGCTAAATTTGTTATCGATTGATCTATCTGATACAATTAAAAGATTATCTAACATAAATAGCGAATATTGAATAATATGTATAATAATGAATTTATAATGTATTCTAACTTAATAAGACTCACTTCATTCTGTCTTCAAATATATCGCCATAGTAATTAGTTATTGATTTTCATAGCCAAATATGCTTTCTGTACATGATTGCAAAAAATCAATAGGAATAAAATGAATTTATAAACAGCCTAGATTTAAATTAATATTCTTATTTAAATTTAAAAAGTTACTTAAAAATAAAATATATTGATGAAATTATTCTCCTATCCAACCAATGTTGCCTAGCTCATTACATTTCAACTTTCAACTCTTATCACCCTGTATATACTTCATATATGAATAAATTCAGTTTCTATATGAGCAGCACTTCCTTTGTGATTTCAACAATTTTATCCATATTAATTTATATTATAATTTTTTTAGTAGCCCATCTGACTATCTGAAGGAATTAATAATTTCAATTGATCACCATTAAGGAATAATTGCTAATAATTAATTACCTTAATGTTGTTTAAGAATTTCATATATATATTAATTTCTTCTCAAAGGTCTTAGTCAATTCAATATCTTCATTTTTTTCTTTAATATAAAAGTTATATCAAATATATATGCATAATTACTTACTTTCTAAAAGTCACAAATACAAAGATTAAAACTATGTTAAATTAATAGTGGAATTATGAGCTCTAAAATATAAATTCTAATTATTATAATTATTTTAATTGACGATTAAATAAAGACTCTAATAATTCGAACCATCTATAAATAAACTCACTAACATTATTATTCAAACAAGTCTACGTATTTCGTAGAATGGATATTTAAATTATATAACGAAATTATCATTGTTTTCACTATTGTCAACATGTTTAAACCACTATATGAATAAATATTCATATTATTTCTATTAATTATAATAAATGGAATCAAAACTTATAAGAGCTAGCTCATTATCTAATTGAGTAGGGTTGATATTAAATAAAGACGACTGAATATAAATCTATATCCTCATAATTAGATTAATCATAATATTTTATCAGAATTTGAATTAATTTTGGAGATGTTACAAAGAAACAGGTATTCTCTTTTTGTTATTCACTTATTTATGAAGTATGGGGTTTGTATTTTTAATATTTTATAAAATGTAAAATATTCTCTTAGAAGAGGTTTTAGTTTATTAGTATTTTGAAATAGGCACTTTTATAGTTATTCTGATAAAAGCTAAAAAACTTGTTTATTCTTAAAGATAATAGAAGGTGTATCATAATTGCTTATTAAATTAAATTAATTCAAAATAAAAATTCTTTCATACTGCAATGTCTTCAGGATAATTTGACGATCTCCTCATACCAGGATTTTATACCGAGAATGACTAATCGTCTAATTCAAATTCAGATGAAAGTTAGGATAGCCATGAAAACAGAAACATTATTCGTCTATCTTTCTCAAAAATCTTTGGCAAAAAAGGTATCAATGATAAAAAGAAATAAACCAAAAATTTGAGTTAGATAAAAAAGGTTAAGCCACTCAACAAAACTCATAAACAAAAACACTCACACAAAAATGATTTTTAATAGGTAGATTAAAAATAAGATTAATTTCAAAAATAATAATCCTACAGTGACGACAAGAATGAATGCTAGAATCTAATGGAAAAGAGACTTTCAGAAAACAAGAAATCTAAATACATCTATCCAGGTGAAACAAAAAACATGTACTATAATATATGTTAAAATTTGAAACATTTTATATGTAAATATTTCTATTCATAAAGTAGAATTTAATTTTGATGAATAATATTAGTCTCAAGACACATTGAAAAAATTCTTGGAATCTCCTAAAAGACTAGGATATTTTGAATTCAAAAGGATGCTCAAAGAAAGCTCTATGCTATAACAAATAACTAGAATATTTTTTGCATAATTTGGTTGGGCTCGATTCTTCATATTGAATAATAGAGTTGACTTGGATTAGTACTTTAGGTATAAACCAGCTTTTCTGATTGATAAATGGTGAACACAATATTTTATCCATATATTTATAAGACCTAATGTTATTATTTCACATCTATTAAAAAATTTATTTAATTAATATATTTCATTATAATAACAATGGAATAGATCAAGCTCCAAATAAAGGCCACAGATATGGATGAAGATTTCATTAAGAAAGTTACTGATATTACATAATCAGCTATGCAACAATTTAGGACTGAGAAACAAATTGCTCATCATATTAAATATGAGTTTGATAAATTTGATCAATTCGGTTGGAATTGCATTGTAGGAAGAAACTTCGGAAGTCATGTAATTCATTAAACAAAAAAATACATTTTTTATCAACACAAAGAATTGTATTTCCTATTATGGAAGGCTTGAATAATCTGAGTATTGATTATTAAGAATAAGTTTATAAATTAACTGTTTCATTTATTTTTTCAAACTTCTTTGTTACAATCAAATATTAAGTCTATCCTTAGCTATGAATATTAGAAATGGCTTTATTTGTAATATATAGAGTGGAAGATCAATCATCATCTTATATAAATAAGAATAAAAATTTTATTTAAATCGTTTACTTAATTTAAATTCACAAAACAATCAAATGAAATTTAGATATATGTGATGATTTTTCTAATATAAATTTTGATTTAAATGCTAATTTACATGTCTAACTTATTAAATAAAAATAAATTTTATTATTATATGAAATAAGTAAGCAATTCCAACTAGTTGTAATAATTCGATCCAATAGAGGTGATTGACAATTTAGAAACATTAAAAAAAGTGATTAAATAAAAGGATATTTAAATTAAAAATATGGAAACAGAATTTTAGGAAAGATTAAATACATTTTAATTAGCTGTTGCAAGAGATTAAGATGGATTAAAACAAGACATAATATCATTTTTATTAAAAGACAATGAGTAATAAAAAAAGATTGAATAGCTGCATATTAATTATGAATTGTACGCTTTAATAAATATCATCATTAGATTGCAAAATTAATTGGAAGAGACATTTATAGAAAGTAATAATAAAATAAAGACCTTGCTTGATATAAATGACAAGAAGGATTATGAAATAGGATAACTCAAATAGTAAATTAGAGACACTGAAGAAAGAGTCAATCAACTGAGAAAAAATTCAATTTCAAAAGATAGAAATATGGTTGAAACAGAAACAGCGAGTAATAAAAAGGTTCTTGATCTTTAAAGAAGAGAAGCCGATTTAACACTCAAACTTAAACAGGCTTTGGACAAAGTAAATATGAATTCAAATTATTATTAGAATTAGTAATTATAACACTATTTTGAAAATTATTAAAATGAAAAGGAAGTTAAATTAATCAAATAAGTGGAACATCTAAAGAAATAAAATACATCTTAATTAAATAACATCTCATCAAATTATGAGGATTAAGTCAAAACATCAAAGGAAGTTATTGAATAATTGTAAGAGCACATTCTCAATTAAAAAGAAAGATTCTCCTTTATTGAAGATGAAAATTAAAAGTTAAAATATGAAGTTGAAATTGCAAATGCTAAAATAAATTGTAAACTCTTTTTTAATTACTTTAGAATTATTAACCATTATTGATAAACTTTAGTAAACAGAAGCCTTGCATGATCATACTAGAAAGGAATTACAATAAATTGAGGATGGTAAAAAATCGCTAGAAAAAAATTATAAATTGTATTAAAAGCATTTATTTTTAGAGAAATCTAAGCCTTATAAATCTAATTGGGGGAGGCTACAAAATATATTGATTTAACTACCAATCTTCAATAGAAGCTTAATAACAAAGACTCAAAAATAAAATGTTTATTAAATGAAAACCAATAATTACAATAATTAGTTTCAGACTTAAGGCTTTAAGTTTCATCAGTTGAATAGCATTTTTAATAAAATGTTGATGAATAGAGAAAGGCTAATGTGTTATTATCAAATAAAGAGTACGAGCTTTAAACAATAATTGAAAGTTAAGCTCAGAATTTTGTTGAATAAGAATTGAAATTAAAATAAAGCTATGAAGAATTATGGCTAGACTACTAAAATTTATAATATGCATATGAATTGTTAAAATAAAAGAGTGGTGAAGATTCATTTAGATTAAAACTATACAAAACCAATGAAAAAAAAGGCAGTAGGGCCCTTCATGGTAGTCAAACTAGAATGACAATTGCTGAAAGAGATCAATAAAATAACTAAGAAACTATAAAAATCAATGATGAAGCCTTTTTAAAGACACTAGAAAACTACTAAAATTAGGACTAACCAAAGTAAACTAATAAAAAATTAGATAGAAATGTCTATGTAAAAAGAGGTTGAGTAAATTCTCTTAAATTATTTAAATTATAAACAAACTTATTAATTTCTATGAAAGATGATAAAATAAGCTGATTATTATATATCATTTTGATTCTTAAAGGGCAGCCTTCTATTGTTATACCTTGGCATGCGTCTCTTCCATTTTCTCATAAGCTTCTTCTAAGATTGATAATAATGCTTCATGTCCATCCATCCTTAATTATCTTTCTTCTTCTAATTCGCTTTTGACTCTGATAACGACTTCTTTGAGCATATTGAATATACCAACTTCTGCATCTTCTCTTTTGATAAAATATATATTTGGATTACCTTTGTGATTTACCTTGATTGGCTTAATCAAATAATTTGGAAATTTCTTAACTTGCTTTTTTCACAATAGATTGATCTTCTTGAACTCTTTCTTAATTTTCTTAAACATTATATTACCACAATGTAGGTAAATCATTTTGTAAAGTTGTATTTATAATATTTACTTGTTAGTTTCTCACTTTAATTTCCTACCCTATCTATTAAAGTAATTCTTGAACCTGTCAGTAAAATAAATGAAATCTTACTTATTAATCGTAGCCAGACAATACTTATTCGCTTTGCTCTCTATTAGCTTTAATATCATCATCCAGCTTTTTTTGTAGTTTATTCTCTAAATTCTTGATTTCTTTTAACTTTTTTTCATGTGAGGAACCATATTTTTCATTTTGTTTTTCAAATTATTTTGTTAGATCTTGGAATTAACCTGTCAATTATCCCTATTGTTAACAGAATTAAGTACAAGTTATTCACTGTAATTATTGATAATATCCTTCAATTCACTTTTAGCTTAATTGATTCTGTCATAAATTTCATCAATTTTTGCATCCTTTGTGTTATCAACTTCGAATTAAAGAGCCCCCAATTTTTCCTATAATTTTGTATACCTCTCATTGATTTAGGCATTAGGATCCATTTAATAATAAATAAATATAAATTTTATTTCAGTTCTAATTTTTTTTTTCAATTAAAACCATCATAATTTCTTTAATTTCATCCTCCTTATTGCTCTCGACTTCCCCTTCCGAACTATGTATATAAACTTGTATTTACTTCTAAAAATCTAATGATTTGCCAACTGTATCATAAGGTAATGTGATGGTCGATAACATAGAAATGACAGAACTTAGAGCGAAGGCCAAAAAGGGTAAATGTGCATCTTAATCAAATAATGGTATTAAAATATAAGGGGAAATGGCAGCTCCAATTCTTCCAATAGCAGCACTACTACCAAATCCTAAAGTTCTATTCGAAGTGTGGAATATTTCGGTCGAGTAAGGATAAAGCATAGCCCAACATTCTTTCATAAAAAAACGAGCAAAAAAGTATGGCCAAGAAGCATAATAAGACCAAACATGCATTATTGTTGCACAAAAAAATGAGATAGTCATTGTGTTCTTTCTTCCTAGAAAAGGAATTTCAACTATTAACAATGATAGGATGATTGATGGTATTTCACCTAAAACAGTTATCAGATAGTCAACAAATGTCTTCTTATTCTAACCTAAAATGAACGGTAGAATAAGTAACTATCCAAAATACATCTAAGAAATAGTTTATAGCACAAATTACAAAATTAATACAAAACCATATTATCCACAATCTTATGGTTGTGCTTTTATTATTTTTGTTAAACAATTCTCTAAGTGTTCCTCTTTGTTCAGAACGAAACACTTTAGTTACCCATTTTTCTACTGCTATTCTCTCCTTAGCTGAAATATATCCATATCTTAATATAATAACTAATAATTTTACTTTGATCCTTTAAATGGATCTGAAGATACTTCTGGTTATACACATTTAAATAGTCTACCTATAATTCCTGTATTGTTTTCATTTTTATGGATAATTTCTTCGATAATATTTAAACCTTCCACTACTTAACCACTGCCCATTAAATATCGAGGACTCTCCATTAAATAGATCCATGCCAAAATACCTACAATCAAGGACGTGGTTGAACTTAGAGTCATCATTAATCTCCAGTGTCCTTAATTGAAATTGTCAAGACAGAAAAATGCCAATAAAAATGCATAAATCTTACCAACGGATACAAAGAAATTAATAATGATTAAAAATCTTCCTCTTACATCAGGTGCAGTAATTTCAGATATCATTGTTGTTGTCAAAGGAATTGAAAATCCTTGTCAATTAATTGTACAAAATACCATAAACAAAACCATATCCTAACCTTGCAAAAATCATATGATAAAAATTTGTACAAAGCAAAAAGGTGTTTGCCATAAAAAATTATATGATGCACGATAAGTAAATACATTTCAATCTGCCTTTTCGATCTGCTACAAATCCAGTCAATATTGAACCTAATACCATTCCTTGTCTATTTTGAAATAGAAGACTCTACCCAAATAAAATATGCTGGTTAAGACTTAGATTTACAAACTTGTTAGTTGCCACTCAGATTTTAGAATAGGCATTAAAAAGCTCATTAAAATTAACTCGCATCCATCATTCAAATCAATAAAAACTAAAATTGACAATGCTAAAACTTAATATATCCCTGTCCCACACTTGCTTAATACTATTAAAGACTTACTCTTTTTTCTATCAATTAATCCAAAGATAATTTTGCATTCTCTTTATATGGATTCATTATTTAATGATATAAAATATTATAGTATCAATAATCAATTTGGTCTCTTGATACCTACTAGTTATTTTCGGGTTATGAAATTAAGGTTAAAATTAGAATTGATACCATCTTCCTATATACTGCATGATTGTATAAAGAAGAGAAGAATCAAATATAAAATAATCTAAAACCTAAACAAACATTTATAGACTTCATTAAGAGTGTTATTATTTGTATTAATTTAAAGTAGATTCGAGAAAGTAGCTAAGTTATCTGACTGCAGATTCAACTTGCTCATTATCAGATTAACAATCATTATCCATAGACTATAATAATTATTCAGAGTATGTACTTGTGAAATTATCTAATTATAAGCTGGTGGTATGTTGAGCACTTTGTCATCGTAACATTAGAACTCTCTTACGGAGCCTTTAGAATCATATAACTGTAAATGAGGATATTTTTTAAAGTTTGTCAATTTGAAATATTTAGTTATTGTTCTTTGAGGCAAGGGCTTTGTTTTTTCAAAGGTGAGGGCTGTTGAGTACTTTTTGATGGTTTTTTTGACTGTAATTTTGTTATTCACTTGAATGTTTTCTTTGTTTCTGATATTGGCTGTTAATGTTTCCTGTAGAAAATTATATTATTATAATTATACCCATCGTTATTTTGAATTATTGAATTTTCTATTTGTATCTTATAATTTAGACATGTTGAATGTGGTTCTAAACTATAATAATAAAAATAATGTGGCATTCAAATTTAAAATTTCGTTAAAAATGCCTAGTTTAAATTCCAAAAAAATGGCGGAATATAAATTTCTTGTAAACACATAAATTAATTTGAAATCAAATTTATTTTCGGATTGAAATGTATTTTTTCATACAGGTGGTAGATTGATATTTTGAATATCTTTTTCGGATATTTCTCCAGCCTGCAATTATTTCTATTATAAACAATAGTTAATTTTACAATGATTTTCTGACGTTCACTCTTATTACCTCCATTATGTTTGAATTTAATGTGTAGATTCAATGAAACATCTGATCCGTAAAGCTTCTCGCAATTTTTATATGGGCACTACAAAATAGTTATATTCAATACACACTTTAAAACTCTTATCAATTTCAGCTGCAGTTCTCCTCTTCTTCTTTTTCTTGTTTGTTGCTTCGATTTCTTAAAATTTTTACTCAATCGATTAGACTCTCTATTTTAACTCCTGTATTTAAGATTAGAATTCCGATAATTAGGTACAATTCTTTTAATACAAAATCATCATTTCCTAAATGGATTATTAACTCTCAAATTGCATGTTATCTAATTTAACCTCATCAATTACCCTCAAATTATTTTGGAACTTGTTCTTCAATATAAGCATTCTTTCTGGCAGCTTCTTTTACTTAAACATTTTGAATATTCTACAGATTATTATTTTCATTTATCAAATTCGATCTATAAGTAAATCACCACATTGTACTTACTTCTGATTTATAATAATAACCTTTTTAGTTACTTTTTGCATCTATTGTAGCGATCTCATAATTAAATTTTATTGCTCTTCAAAATTTATTGCAATATATTTTTAATAATATATAAACATATATAATACTATTAAGAAGATTAAATTACAATTCGATCGCTTCTACATATCTTTCAATCAAAGTGTTAATTAAACTGAAACCCCTTCATATACTCTATCATTTAGACTATACATTTTGTTCTAAACAGAGAATTTCTATTGAATTTTTATTAAATAATAATTTTTTATTTTAAAAAGTAAACATGTCAGCATTCAGAGCTTTCATGATTTATGATTACTAAAGAAATTTCTTCCTTATGTTTATAAGAAGAGGTTTTTAAGTGTCTCTTAAATGGAATGGCTGTAGAAAAGAATTGGAAAATAAACTTCAAGAAATGGTCAAGGAACCCAAAGATAATTTTGAGTAATCCACAGACTATGGAAAGTTTAAATGTAAGTATGACAAACTGAACAGTAACATATTCTGAATATATAAGAATGTTATTTCATTTTATTGAGCAGCAATGAAGTTAGAGAGGATTATCAAAATTAAGTTTTGGGTGAAATTTATGATCTCTTTTAAAGTATGCCTAATTACTAAAAAGTAAATTATGCATATGTATTGTTAGATAAAAAAAGAGGATTTGGAAAAAAAAGAAACTGAAAACATTGAGAAATTGCTTGAAATGAAAGAATAAGATTATACTAGAAAACATGGAAAAGTGAAAGCCTTTGAAGAACCTTATGAGGCTAAGTCTGATATTAAGCTTTAATAACAAGTATTTGTAAATTAATTAAATTCAGAGCTAAATATAATCATAACTAAAAGTTGGATCGTAAATTAACGCGTCATCCAATCAAAGGGCTATATCCTAAATACAGAATGGCTCTGTCGGCTATAAATAAAGTTCTGCATTTAATTCAGATAAGGATCTAAGTGCTGATACGCTCATTAAAATATTTCGATGTTTCATGATGTGGGATTACAATAGATAATTCTTTTTTATGTTCATAAGAAAAGGATTTCCAATTGATAAGACTTGGAGTCAAGAGAGAGTTAAATTAGAATCAGAAATTAAGGCTAAGTAATTAGATCCAAATGATCCTAAAGCAAAACCTAAAGAACCTCCTGAGCAATTCAGCTATAGGGGAAATTTTGGCTAATACAAGGCAAAATACGATAAAAAAGCAAGTATAATTCCTATTCTATTTAAGAATGTTACTTTATTTTACTAACTAGATTCAAAATTAAGGAAGATCCTTAAATCAAACTCTTAGAAGCCTTATACGAAGAAGTATAAAAAGTAGACAAATACATTACTGTAATTATTTTCATCTATTCTAGTTGAAATATGACGCTTTAGAGGGTAAGAAAAAAAGAGATTTAGAAAAAATTATTGATGAGCATGAAAAGGAGTTAGCAAATCAAGTAAGCTAAAGGTTTATAGACACTAAAATGATGGAGTCTAAATTAGGTTTTATTCATTCTCCTGAGAGAGTGTCGAATAACAACTTATCTTCAAAAAAAAGTTCCATATTTATATCTAATCAACTTTAATAAACATAATAATAATAATAATAATCCCAAATCAACTCTGCATAATCCTTACAATAACCTTAGATAAGTCAATAAAAACAATAACAATAATAATACCAATAACAATAACAATAAAAATAATAACAAGAAGAAAATTTCTTAAAATAAGAAATTTAAGATAATCCTAGTATTGATGAGAAAATAGATGATAATGAAAATATCCCATATTTTTAGGAAGAAGGGGAGTTAGCTAAAAGAGTTTATTTGTATTATACCAAGCCATTATAGGTTTCTTAATATATTAAATCTGGGAATTGATTATATAAAGTATTTCGATTTATCTTATTAATTTAAATTTATTGTTATAATTTAATATTAAAAAAATATCTAAGGATTCTTTTCATTATGTAGATTTTTCTTTTAATTGAAGTTAACAATAAATATTATTTGTGACTCTATCTTCGACTTCTCTAAGTAGATTGATTTATATAGTAAATTATAAAAAAAGGTATTACATACTTATCGGTTGGACTGATAAGAGTGTTACTTAAAACAAAGCTCAAGAAATAGCCATTACTATAAATGCCACGATTAGAAATATTTTGTTCATTATCGATTTCAGCATTTACATTTTAAAGATTGAATCAAAAAGAAATGAAACTAAACGATAAACTTTAATTGAGATAAATAAAATAATAAAACTAATTGGAAAGCTGTTGTTTAATTAGAAATCAAATCGATGTAAATATTCTTCAAGATTATAAATAGTAGCACACGAATTAACCCACGAAACCTAATGGTGTATTTAATTGAAAATATAAAAACAGTCTTAGAGATTTTAAAGAAAATGTATAACTATGAATAAACAGCTAGTTTTGGTATTGATATTAAAATTTAAATATCTAATTAATTCTAAACCTCTTAATTGCTTTCGATAGTAATTATCTCAATCCTTCCTAAAGATTGTTTTTCTTCTCATAGTTTTCGGGTTTAATTTTTTTTCTACTTTTTAAATAATTAAATAAAAATAATTACTCTAATTAATAGGTGTATTATGGGAAATTCCAATTCAGTCTAGACACAAGCTTAACCCCAATAGGAATGTAAAGCATGCAGTGCTTGTCCAGATACTAGATAATTGAGAGATGAATGTATTATTATGAATGGAGAAGAAGAATGTAGGAAGGAAATAGAAAATCATAAAATATGTTTAAAAAAGTATGGGTTTGAATGAATTATATTGATAAGATAGTTTTTAAATAATTTTTCTATATATTATCTTAAAATAATTCAATCGCAATTACTTTGCCGATTTTATTGCTTTCCTTATATTTTTAATAATAATTAATTATGACCCTTTATAAAACTTTGGCAAAGTTAATTTTGTTCTATTCTCTACCTTATATCAGTAACAACCATTTAGATATGCTAGGACAAAATTACTAATTCTTATATTTTGACAATGATTTGAATTATTTTTTTGTATTTGAACTATGTTATAAATAGAAACCATTAAATATTATAAGCGTTATGGTATTAATCAATTCCCAAATATTAAGATGAAAATGAAGTCTCTGTTGGGATGGATTCATTACGTTTTAACCATTAAAAATACAATTTAACAGTAAAAGAATAAATTTATAGTTTTAGTATTCAAATTCTGAAAATTAAGAAACAGATGAATAGTTGCCAGAGAAATAAGCAATTTCAATTTCCATTTGAACATTAAAGCTGAAAATATAACATAGAATGGTAATAATTTAAATATAATAAATGATATATTCTTTAAAGATCATAAACTATTTAATACATTAATATATAATCTTAAAACAAATATAATTAATTTCTACTTATAAATTAAGATCATAGAGGTTGAACAATTAAAAAAACATATAAATATCAATAATTCTACATTGAGGGACTTATTGATCTATCAGTATTTAAAACCTATTGAATTGGAGAAAGTTTTCTTGTTAGATTTTCTAATTAGGAAATTAATTTATCATAAAATTAAGCCTCTGGACAAAGTATTTTATTATTATTCTTATTAATTTTTGATTGACTCATTTTTAATTTGATATCTACAATAACATTCTAAATTTGGAATTATATTTATTAATATAATTATGATTTATTTTCTTGTTTTTGTAGTATGTCATTATACTGTTTTTTGAAATGCTCAATTTGTTTCTTTAAAATATCAATTTCTTAATTCTTAATTATAACCTACCCATTTGCTTATCTAACCTATTTAACACTTTCGTCATCTATTTTCATTTATCTATTGAGATCCTCTTAATAATTTTATGCATACACCATTTTAGCCAAATACATAATATCTACAGTCTAATTGTAATGTAATAAAATTGGATTAATAGTTAATAAGCAATAATACTTAAACTATAAAGATGGTGAATGATTGAAGATTTTTCTTAAAAATTTTGGGAATTAACACCTTGGAACCACAGGAATAGTAGTTATGATGAATTATTATGTGTATGTCTATTCTTTAAAAATTATGCTGTAAGTTATTATTAATTATCTTATTTTTTCTTTTCCTAAAGTCTTAGCTTGCTGGTTCTTGCCATACAAATAAAATTTAATATGTTAAATGATTAAGTCAAGTTATTATAAACTTGAATTCATGTTGTCATTATCTATGTGTAAATCTTTACTCAATTAATCTAGAATTGACCAATTATTCCCTATTCTTTCTGAGTATTAAATTTATAATCTAAGTTTTTAGTTTTACTTAATCTTTTACTCTTTTATAGAGTTATAATATAGATCTAGACACATCAACAATAAGTATTTCTTCTGTGTTTCTAATTTAAAATATGTATAAATACTTGATTAACCAACAATAAGGAACATTCTGCTTTAATCTAAACTTATTTTTCCATAGAACTGGAAATACTACCTCACTTTTTGAATATCTAGGAACACATCATCAAATGTGAAGGTTTCATAAATTTACTTTTCAATTCTAGTTTTCCCTTAAGAATAAAATTTAATCTATCTTTTATTATATCTATAAATTCAATACTTTCTATTAAATTCTATATAGGGAAACTAAAAGTTCTTTTAGGATTTTACAACTAGAAACATTTCAATCTAATTTAATTAAATCATAGTAGTATTGACTTGAGAAATGATTGTTTAATTATTGTCAACACTCTTATTTCTTGTTTGATTTATTAGAATTTAAGATTGAAGCTATTCTTCTAATCGATTTTATTCCTCTTAATGTCTTTCCTATATTTACTTAATCTCATTCATAAGATCATCATTTTATTATGAGCGTTACTTAACGTCTTTTTTTAAGTTTTCAATTAACTCTTTCATAAATAGATATTCTCTTTATTGATCGTCTATCTACTATGACTCACATAAATTTAAACTAATACTCATAATTCTAATACTGAATTTATTTTGATTTTCTTGGTTAAGTTTACTCAAATAAACTAACTCTTTTTCCTAATCTTTCCTATGGATTTGATTTCTAATTAGAGTCTATCTTCTTTTGCAATAGTTTATTTTATTATTTCAAACTCGAAACTTCTTTTTCATAGTTTTTCAACAACTAATCAAGATCCTCATTTTTTTTCCTATATGAATTAATTATAAGAGTACTTCATTTATTGATATTAATCATCTTTTGAATTGTTTGTATCATTATTGAGCCACATAGATCCAGATAAGCTGCTGTCCACCTATTCGGACTGTGTACTCTTATCAAATATTTCAATTTAGTTTGTAATACTTTCTTAATCATTTACTTCAGGTTTCATTTAGCATTGTCCATCAACAAAAACCTTATTTTAATATAATTCTAATTGTTGTTTTAATAGAATCAATTCTTCCCTATAAACGAAAATAGTTATATGCTTACTGTTAATGAACAGATTTATCATCAGATACAAAATCAACTAATTTTTCATAATATTCCTCAGCAACTTTTCCTTAAGGCTAATACTATTAATTTTAAGACACGAAGGCATTAATCATATCTTTCATATTTTGTATATCAGATTAAAATATTGCCTTTTCTTATTTATATTAATGAATTTCTCTTTGGCATTATTCCTTATGATTGAGATATTCACTTCGATTTTCAGAATATTCTGATTATAATTTCTACAATTTCAATGGAGATTCTTCTTCCAACTATTATTATATTTTTAGTTATGTTTCCAAATCTGCAATTATCTCCTGTTTTGATATGTTATCAGATTTAACAGCTTCAATCTCTTACTTTAAAAATGAATTCTAAGATTAAATATCCTAAAATTATAGATTATTATTATTGATCTGTTGAATTTGTAGCAAACTACTTTGATATTGATCTTAAAGTTATTCATTACTTTCGGTTTACTTATTCAATTGTTCTTATAACAATTAACATTGTTGACTAAGCATAGTTAATTATTCTTTGCATAGTTCATAATCAACCAATTACTAACTTTGTTCTGCTAAAGCTTCATCTTTTTATAACAATTATTCTTGAACATATTCTTTAAACTACTCAAAATCCTCTTTTAACTCTAAATATTGAGTCTCAAATTTATTATGCTGTTTGAACTCTTCTAATTCTTCAGTCTTTGAATTAAGTAATAACTAAAGCTGAACATTATCTTGCTACAACAGATCAAATTATTATAGAGTTTATTAAGCTAATTGATACTCAGTAGATAATTTCTACTTATTTTAAACAACATCTGTAAATTTTTATTCATAAGTAACTAATTCCTCTTCGAGTGAAGATACTTTTGCTTATTCCTCGTTAATTTCAATATTTTTCTATTCAATATCTAATTACAATTCCTAATTTAGTTGGTTTAATTATTGTAATTACTATTTTAATTATTTAACTTCATCATTCAACTTTTCAATCTTTTTTTTATTTGTCTCATCCTCTTATTATAAATCTAAAATCATATTCTACATTTGTTCAATTTCTTCATTATTTTATGTGTGCTATTCGCTTCTAGGTGATTCCATTGGATTCAGAAGAGTTCCAATATTTTCAACCTAGTTTTGTTGATTCAATTTTAATTCATTACTTTCTGTTTCTAATTTAAGCTTTTCTTATTCATGACTTTGCAACTGAATAGACAACTATTCAACACTTAATCGTAATTATTAGATCTTATTAATTTTAATTTTTTACTTCAATTTGTTGTTTCTAAATTAAATCTTCATTGGTTTCATTGTTTTTGGACTCAATTTTCTACATAACAATTAAAATTAAAATACTTAAGAATTTAATAATAGCTCTTAATTTTATATTTAGGAGTGCTCTAACTCTTTTTTCAGCTTATCTATTTCTTAATTATACCTTGATATTAATCAAAAATACTAAATTGTTAATTCACTTTTATCTTGTTAAAGCTAAGAGATAATGTTTTATAATTTTTCAATTTCCCCATCAGTTTGGTTATTATCAGGTATTTCTTACTTCTAAGTAATTAAATTGTTCAATTCTTCTTAATGATCATGCTTTAACACTTCAATTTCCAAATTCTTGTCATCTATTTGATTTCTAATTTATTCTATATTTTTACTTTAGTTCAGATATTTATTATTAAAGCACTGCTATCTAACTTTAAAATTGTTCTATTTGATTTTAATTATGATCCAATTGACTATTATTGGAATCCATGCCTTATAGTTTAATTTTAAGAGATGCAATTTCTTAATCTTTTTTTTGGAGATTTGCTTTAATCAGCTTTATTTCGTCATCCTTACTTTAATTGTCACTTTCAAGCATCTCAACCATTTCTTTTAAACTAAGAATGATAAAATTCTTTTACTCATTAACTTCTGACTTCAAGCCATCCAATTCTGTTGACATAAAAATAATAACTTTTATTTTAATTAAGATGAAAAACACATTCATTGAATCAAAACTGATTTTAGATTTTTTTACTTTATTTTCTGGCATGATATTTTAAGAACTATTCAATCTAGTATTAATCTTATTAAAATTAAATGTAACATTCTTTGTTGGAAATTTTTAATTAAAATGTTATATTCTAATAAAACAAATATTTAATATGGTGGATCATCATTGAAATAAGTTCTCTATCCTGAAGATCTTGAATTTTCAGATCAAAATTTAAATAGTAAACCTGTTTTCAATAAAATTTTCCACTTTTTTATTTGTACAAAAAAATTATTCATATTAATTATTTAATAATGTAAAAATAATAAGTTGAATAGCAAGATGGTTTTGTGAGTTTTATGCTGGAAAAAGATGATTCTTAACTAATTAATCCTAATGAAACATTTCTCAAGGAAAACAATAATCAGGACTATTATTTATAATTGAGTCGACAGTTTTATGGCTAAAGTCAAAGGAAAGATAGTACATATGTTACAATAACTAAAGCGACAAAATCTGCATAGCTAAATCCTGGAGTGTTGAAACAAAAAATTATATAAAGAGTGATCAATACAACTACATAGAGAGGAAAATTCGCTGCTTCTGTGCCGACAGTCAGTGAATAATTGTAAAAGGTATTAGTTTCTTGTAATTATCTATTCCCCTATTATAGTAGATCCAAAAGCTCTTATCGTCAAGTAAGCCTAAAAAGTAACCTAACATCTAAACTCCCTAAAACCATAAATTTACTTTAAACAAATATATTAGCTAAATAAAAAATTCTAACATCCAACAGCATCCTTTTAAGCTTAATTTACCCATCACAAATAAAAAAATAAATATCTATGAACCCAGAACCCATAGACTAAGAATAGAAGATTCTAATTAAGACCAATTGAATCAATTTACATAGAATTCTCATAGAAGCACACTAAATAGTAGTACAAAAAGCACAGCAAAATTAGAAAAAAATTACGATATTTCATATCCAATTAAAACTGAAGCAGGAGATGACAATAAAATAAATATATTCAAGATTTCATATAGAAATAAATAAAAATGAATGTAGTATCCGTCATTTTGATTTTTCAATAAACATTCAACAAAAATAAGCATTCATATATATAATAAATTCATACTTAAATATTCAAGAAATTTCTGTTAACATTGTCTTCCTTATTTTCCACTGTGACTAGAAATATCAATAATACTATATATATTTAAATTGATTATACTTTTAATATCAAATTTATTATTTTATAAATGAACCAGGGTCTGATTTTAAAAAGAATTATATCTTCCTTTATTAATAGGATTCTTAAAAACATAACAAAATTATAATCCTATAATTTTAATAAATCATATAAATATTTGAGGTTAATACAAGAAAATAAAGACAATTAGACATTTTAATAAGTAAGGAAAGATATAAAACTTTAAAAGAGCAGATATTAATGTGTATTATGAAAATAAATCATCTTGTGAAAAACTTTCCTCCTTCTTTGTTTCTAGAGTAACCTGGATTAGTGCTTTTTGAATGTGCATCATTAAAGACATAAGGGGATTTTCCAATACCAGGCAAGCAATAGCTAAAATGATTATGATTCTTACTGATTAAACTCATACTATTTAAGCAACTTTAATCTTTTTAAGTTTTAAACTTAATTCAATAATCCCTTTTGCTTTAGAATAATATCTCCGTTCTTTACTATATCATCAATTATGTGATTTTATATAGCAGCTTTAGGCACTGAATTCGTTCTCTCATCAAATAGTAATGTTTATTGGAGATTTTTTAATGTAACAGTTTTCTTATTATAATGATTGATGTTGTTTTAATTCTAATTCTAAATATGTTGTTGATGAGCCTAAACATCATCAGCAAATTAGACAGTTTAATTAGGCTTTTCATTTTTCAAAGAGTTTTATTGAAGTAATCCTGGATTATGGGATGTTCTGCTTCTGTTTTTGTCTGTATCAATAAATTTATCTAAAATAGAGGTTTTAGGTTTTGCTTAATCTTTTACGATCAATTATTCCACAGCATTAGGCTGAACAGTCATATAAACTTGATATTTGTCATTCACTTACAAAGGCTCATTTTAGTATTAGAATGATGGTAAAGTTTTATTGTGTATTAATCTAAAGTTTTTCGCACTCATAATAATAATTATTAAAATAAAATATTTCAATTTAGCATTTCTAAAAGGTAATTTTAAGCATCAATAACAGTTATTTAGCTTCTTTCATTCCATTTGTTATATAAAAAGATAAAAAACCATGAGGCATAGATTAGTACTCAATCAATCTCACATTTTTTCAATTAGACCAACTTTTATAATAACCTAAAGCTATCATCATGAAGTGGGTCAAAAGTACCAACAGCGATCCGAGTTTTAGGAAATTTTTCAAAAATTTCATCGCTAACCATGGTAGGGAGCCACTTCTGAATTAAATTCCTTTTATACATAAGAACTTAAACATAATTTTAAGACTATGTGTTGCAATACTAAAATGTTAAGAAAATTCTCTTACAAGAATCATCAAGTAACACTAAAAAGCTTGGTGTGAATGACTTCATATTTAATCAAAGAGCAGGATAAGCTAGTAAAATACCATCAACAACAACTCTGATTTCTTCCTTTATTGCGTATATAGTCAAAGCAGCCACTAAATTACCTCATACACTATCCCCAACCAATACTACTTTAGATTGAATAATATTAAAAACTTCTAGATGCAGGTGATAATAAACATATAGGCTTACCAACAATTTTCTAATCCTTCAGGTTATGGATGATCCAGTGCCATTTTATAATAAATAGAAAATATTGGAACTTTCATATTATTAAACCATTTTCTAGTATAAGTCTGATGTGATCTTGTTGACATAGCTACAATTACCTCACCATCTATATATTAAATTATGAATTATGTAAATGAATCGCAATCTTATCAAAATTAAACTCCTTATTTTTTGGTACTTTAAAACTGACGTAAATCCATCCACGCCATTGAATTTCAAATGTTCATGGCAGAGAACCCTTACTTGCACTTTGTCTTAATTTATATCTTCTTTATAAAAGTCATCTATGGATATCATTTAATCAGGATAAAATATGCCACAATCATTTTTTATTTTATTGATTGTACCTTATTTGTATTATTATAAGATATATTCCTTATTGATCTTTTAAAGAAGTTAGGAATTTAAATCCTCTTATTGAAAGAAATATATGGGAAAATAGCTGGAAGAAATTTCTTTATGATGCCAGTTTCAGGTAGAATCTTTGCTTTAAAAGTATCTTGTTTTTTGGCTTCTACAAGAGAATGGTCTGCTTTTCATCTTTTTTCTTGATTAACCCATAATATAATGCTCCAAATCCCTCCATAAAAGTTTTCTATAATTCTCCATTTTATTCGGATCCTTTTCAGATTTCCAAGTGGAATTCCAAAAGAAACTTAATTATATGATTTTTTTTTTTCGTTTCTGCTCCTTCTCTAATTCTAAAATGTTATCCATAAGATTTAAAATATTTTCTAAGATTATGTGATTTGTGCAATCAAGAACTAAGTTTGTAGTGTAATCATTCAACTAATTTCTTGTACATGTAATATTTAAGCTGCTAACATTTTGTTCAACAGCCAGTACTTTGTTTTAAAGTCTTTCTTTGATATTCATAATCTACATCAATCTAATCGATGCAGATTAAACTTCTTAGACAGATTTTGAACATAAAACCTGATTTAAAATTTTTTCATAATTATATCTTATGATTAAATAATAATCGATTAATCTTAGAGATGTAACTTTAAATATTGACTTATAACTTGTCTATAAACTTAATGATTAAAGTTCAATCAATATATCACTCTAATCTTACTCAGCAATTCAATGTTATTAATTGATGTTGTCTTAGATAATATTTGGTTCTCTAATTTACATTCTCCTTATAATTTAATTAAAAATCTAAAGATTAAATTTTTTATAATTTTAGAATAAATTACTTAAAAATAAATAATTATTAAAAAAAGATTTAAAAAAAAGATAATCCATCACATGGATACTATTTTCATTTCGTTTACTTTTTCAAACTTTGTATGAGATTACTAAAATATCATATTAATATTACATTTTCATTCCTTTTCTCAATTTTTCATACTTTTATACCAAAGGTTGCTATAGGTCTCCATTCTCTATAATTTCAAAGCTGTCAAAATTTGAAATCTTTTCATCATCAAAACTTAACTATTTATTTTAGAAAAGATCTTGTTTGCTTCCACTCTTATCATCACAAATGGATTTCTAGTAATTTGGATTCAAAGATTGACAGTAATTTCCTATACTGCTTTGTTAAGTCAAATTAGTATTCTTTCTAGCATCATCTCTTTGAATAGAATTATGTCGAGAGGACAATGGAGGGGGAGCCAAAAAGTTTTATGAGCTCAAGTTTAATTAATACTCTTACCCATGTTAAATAGCTCCTGATAATTACTTTTCAATAGATTTTTTCATCTCATTTGAATTGTTGAACTAAATATTCTATTTACTTAAATTCTAATTTGTATCTGTTTAATAATGGGTGGACTATCTTATTTCCGACCATTCATAATTTCCATCAAGAACAATATTCAAAGATTCTGCTGCCTTTCTGAGTTCTTGTATTATCATCTTATAATTAGGTTCTTGCTTAAATTGCAATCTTCTTATTGCGCTAATTTAAATAAATGGACAATTTACTTATAAATCTTCTAAAACTCTGGAGGTTAATCCCTGAACAATTCATTTTCAAGTGAGAGCTTTAATTCCCCTACTTTTTTAGTTCTCTCCTCATCTGTCACATTCCCCATGTTCTACCAAGGTAACTATCTTATTTATATATTTCTATTTACCCACGCAAAAAGTAAAGCAAAATGTACATCAAGGACTCCAAATCATCTTTTCTTCCTAATTCATGACCTAAATGAGCCTGAATTGACGCATATCGAGTAGTTCCTAAAAAAGACTTTTAATCCTTGAAAGAGCTAGGTTTTATTGGATCAATTACATATGTTTTCCATTTTCATCTCTATAGACTTTGCTGATCCCGAAATCAATCAGGTGTAACTTGGAAATTTCATTCCCCAATCCCAATATCATATTCTCAGGTTTTAAATCTCTGTGTATTACTCCATTTAAATGAGCTCTCTCTAATAGACTTACAGCCTATATTCCTATGGTTAGGACGGATTTCAAGTTGAATTTCTTGAGCTATTTGAAATGGAAAGCCAAATCTTTGCCCAACAATTAAATAACTAGGATGTTGTATCCGAGATCCTCTCCTGACCAATAATACCTAGGAAACCCCTCCAGTCCATCTAGTATCTTCAAAATCTGCACTTCTCTTTCCAAAGATTTAACTTCTTCATTTTCTTCCTTTTCGACCTTTATAGCCACTTCTTGTTTGGAGATGATGTCCTAGCCAAGAAACACTACTCCGAATGAACCGGAAGATAGCTTTTTGATAATGGAATACTAGTTGTTAAACACTTTGGTTTTAGATTACTACTGTGGGTTCATTTCGATTAATAATAATAAAATAAGCAAGAAATGTCTCAATTTATTAAAACAGCACTCCCTAAGAAGACTTTTATGGTTGAAAAAGGATTCTATTCGATTAATTTAGAAGATGGAACTATTCAGAAGTTAGGACCTGAAAAGAAATGTTACAAGTTACCCTCCTATTCTTCACATACATCTCCAAATGCACAAAAAGATTTATTTCAATCAAAAAGATAACAAAATTAAGATTCCACCCAAAGAGTATTAAATCATTTGATTATAAGTAGAATAATTAAGAAATGAGAAAGAATTAAGAAAATACTAGAAAACTTAAATCACAAAAGAATAATTGACTATTTGAAGTTTAGAAATTTAATTATTTATTACCCACATATCTAATATATTTTAGGAATTAAAGTATCATGCAGGCTCAGGTTTCATCTCAATCAACAATTTATATAATTGTTTTCTTACAATATTAATTATAACTGATTTAAATTTGTTTCATTTTAGAACAAAATGAATAATGTAGGTCTCCTTTCATTGAATATCAAACGTTGAAATAATTTAAAATATAAATCGAATACTAATGATTCTTTGTTTAAATTATTGCTCTCCATTTATTACATTGAAAGTTAATACAATTCTTATAGTGTTTAATTGTATTTCTTCGCCTTAGTATACAACTTTACCAAAAGTTTTTATTTGAGTATAAAATAACAAATACTAATTATGTTAATTTAATTTTTAATCCAATTATTCTTAGTTATATCAATTAAATTACAATATCTATTATGTAAAAAGTCAATTATTAAAGTAAAACAAATAATAAATCACAATATATATTTTATTAGATTAAATAATAAACCCAAAGGATGTCTATTCTTTCTTTAAATTACAATATTTATTCAGATCTACTAAAATATCTAACCAATCTAATTAATGTTTCTTAAAGTGCATTAATAACTTCAATCTCTATGAATACAATATTTTAATTTACGATGCTAATATCTTAAACAATTTATGATGTTATTATCAAGGTAAAGCCATTAATGAAACAAAATAAATTATTACTTTTATATTTAACTATGCTTTATACTTCATCATTTTATATAAAGCTAACAAAATATATTGAATCTTGTTAAAAAATAATATTTATTCGCATCCTTGTAAGCAATTTAACTTAATTTATGTCTATTTCGTGTAATAAATTCAAGATAGATGAAAATTTGGAGGTTCTTAATAAAATTAAGTATTTAATATCAAGAATTAAAATAGAATTCAATTTAAATGTGTGTATTGCTATTAATTTTATTAGAATTTTTATTAAATAATTTTTCAAATATTAAATAAGTTCTTCTCAACCATTTAATTAATAACCTTTTTAATTTAATATTTGAATTGAGAAATTGTAATACAACAATTTGATAATTTCTTGTTTATCAACAAATATAAATGAATGATAATCAAATTTGAATTTTGGGTATGAAGCACGATTTTAAAAATGACGCATCAATTACACTGCATTATGAAATCATTATAATTAGAAAATGATTCATTATAAAAATGAGTCAAAGGCTTGAGTTACTCTAAAAATAAATGCCTACCTTCTAATATACAGTCGACGGAGGCATTTTAACTAAGGAAGAACGATAGTTTTATGAAGAAAACGGGTTCATAGTGGTTAGATAAATCTTTACTCCTGAAGAAATAAAAGAGTGGACTTTAAGATTCAGAGAATACGCTGACGGACAACTAGAACGCAAATACGGAATGTAAGTTGTAAGAGACATTTCTCTTGTGAAAAAAGGAGGAGGTAAACAATGGGGAGAGGAAGCAATAACAAAAATACAGGACTGGTAAGAAGATGAAGTATTATTCAAATTTTGTTAAAACCCTAAAGTGATTTAATATCTTAAAAGCATCTGTGGACCTGATATTAAATCTGTTCACACAATGTTCATCAACAAACCCCCTAACATGGGAAAAACATCAAGACACCCAATTCATCAGGACTAAGTTTACTTTCCATTTGGACCAGCTCATAGAATAGCTGCTGGCTGGGCTGCTCTTGAAGATGCCAATAGAGAAAATGGATGTTTAGTCGTGTATCCTGGCACTCATAAAGGTAAATATCCCCCTGTATCCTTAGTTGGACCAGTTGAACATTGTTATCCAGATTGGAAAGAAGGAGTTAATAAGGCTTACTGGGGTGTTAAAGATATGCCACCAGAAAGTGCTCCAAAAATCCATTTAGAAATGAAGGCAGGAGATATTGTTTTCTTCCATCCATATCTCTTTCATGGTTCAGGAGAAAATAGAGTAAATTTTATAAAATAAATTTTAGACAACAAATTTCAGAAAGTCTATCTGTTGCCATTTTGCTTCCTCAAATTGCCAATATCATGATATTAAGGGAACTTTCCACGAAAATTTGGCCAATGACATTATTGCATATGCTTCAAAGAAGTTTGGGCATGTTAATTACTTGGATATATGGAGATTTAAATGCAGACTGGTTTAAGGCTAGGCTGATCCACTAGGATTATGATAAAAATATATTATAATCCAAATACATAAAATTTAATCATTCATTTTTCAATTATTATAACAAAATAATGTATTAAACATATATAAAATAATTTAATCATAGCCGAGTTTTATAGTAAGATTGTTATTCTCATTTAGTTATGAATCGAAAAGCTGAATATAAATTTATATTTCTATCTCATAATTATTTTAAATTAATGAATTTCTTTTTACTATAATATATTAAATATAAAATAAGTAATTGATGATATTAGGAATTTCAGAGGGACTAAATTTTGAATTAATTTATTTCTTACCTTATAATCTTTTGCTTGGTAAGAATAAGAACTTAGCATTTACAATTTAGACTTTATTACAATTTGAGTTTTGCATTTGAGAGATGAGCATAATATTATGATAATTATAGTAATTGAATGAAACATTAAATATATTTGATTATGATTGAATAAATAAAAAAGTATCTTAAATTTTAGGAGAATTGGGGAAATACTTTTTGGGATTATTTAAGATATTGAAAAATAAGAAAAATTTTAATCTTTCTTTTTTTGGTGAAGATCTTCAGATTTATAGAAAAAGAAGCAATTTATAAAAATAATATTGGTAGTAATAATAAAGATATAAATCATTTGAGTGGATAGTAATTTCTATTTGAAAACAAATAAATATTGTAAGGGTTAAATACTAATATAAATGAAAAAAATATAAAATTTTGGAGCATGCTTTTAAATTTTGTATCTGTAGATGTAAGCCTAGTCAAATAAAAATGGAAAAATAATTATTGAAATTACTATATCATGGAGTGGGTTTATTTTATATAAATTCATACCAGAAGGAGCCTTAATTGTGAGTTTCCAAATCTCATGATAATATATGATAGTAATTGTAATAACTTTTAAAACATGATGATTTCAAATTAGAACCCTATTAATTTATCTTATGATAATAATCATCAAAATCTTACATAAAATAATTTAATACTGATAATTATAGGATAAAGAAGCGAGTAAAAATAAGTTTATTATTAAAGAGAATTCAATAATTAAATTACTTACCATTTGAATTTAAAAACATGAAACTACTCAAATAAACTAATTCAATTTTTATTAGTAGAACATATTAAATTTATTCTATTAAAAAGAAATTAAAATTATGATTAGTGTTTGGATGTATTAAATCTAATAAATTCAAAATAAGCTGTTTGAATAAGTAAATTAATTATCAAATTGAAAATAGTTACAGGAAAGCATTCATAACAATAATTTTTATTGTTGCTAAAGTAGAATCAAATAGAATAATAAAACATATAATGAGGGATAAATAAATTTGGAAGTGAGGAATTTTAATGATAAAAGTAATGTTTGTTTTGAACTTAGAAGGATATTTTTGATTTAAATATCAAATTTGCAGTAATTTACTGAGATATATTGATTCGACATATAAAATTAAATTGTTCTGGAATATCATGATTAAACTTCCAGATCATATAATATTTAAATTAACTAAAATTACTAAATGACAACAGTTATACCACTTGAGCAAGAGACAAATTAACTTAAAGCATCTAGCTAGCCAAATGAGGTTGCAATCGAAGACTATGATGAGTTCCGAAGACCCCCAATTTTGGAAATATGTCATAAACACCAAGTATCTGATTTTATGAATTTAGTCGGCCACATAATTTGCTATAGCAGATACTAAAGTTGATTTAAATAAGAATAATTTATGTCCTTGTTGTGGATAACCTGTTATTCTTACTTAATTGCCATTGACAGCATCTATTTTAGATTTCAGTTTCAATGGACCTGGAGTTTCCTTGTATTTCGATTTCTTGATGTTTAGTTCAATATTGATTTCCACATTTATGTATGGTTAATAGCAAATATCATAGAATCATATGTGGAATCTATGATTTAATAGCCAGTTCTTTGGGAGATACATGCGAGATATTGAATAATTCAGGAATATTAGAATGCACTAATAATTTCTATAGCAAATATGCTAAGGCTAATCAAGATAATAAGGATGTGGATATAGCAGGAAGTGTGTTAAACTTTCTTACAACATTAGTCTTAATAGTTCTGTTATTTTTATACAGAAAACGAATAAATATTTTGGCTAATAAAATCGATGAAAAGAGTATATTGGCATCAGATTATTCTATAATTGTTGAAAATATTCCAAGAGATGCAAAAGAAGAAGAGATTAGATAATTCTTTAGTAAAATCAACAATCGAGAGTATAAAATACAGAAGATTTGTATGGGATTTTAGATCCAGGAGTACTTACGAATTCTAAAACAGAAGCAGGATCAAGAGAAGACTTTTACTAAGATTTTAGAATGTGAAAGATTAAATAAGCCCATTCCTCCTCAATTACCAAATAAAGTTGATTTAACTTAAACCCTGGATCAATTAGCAAATCAATTGGATTTGTATGAATAGAACTTTTAAACTTCTCTTCAATTTAGTGGTGTAGCTATCATCTCATATAATACAGAGGATGAAGCTAATGCAGTCTGTAAATTCTTCAGAGCCACTAGATTGCATCTTATACTATCTCAAGTTATGAGAGTAATTGGTAAAAGAGATATCAGAAGATTTAGAGATAATGTAATCGTAGTGTCAAAAGCACCTGAGCCTGGAGATATCTTATGGGGCAATTTGGGAGTGACATTATTAGAACAATACAAAAGAAAATTGATAACAAATTTAGCAACAATATTTTTGCTAGGAATTTGCTTTGGCATTTTATTTGGATTATCTTATGGTTAATTTTCAATGACAGATACAGGAAAAGGAGAGGATTTATCATAGGCAGAAATTGTAGCGATTACAGTTTTAGGAGTCGTTGCTTCTGTTTTAATTTCAATTATCAATAACATATTGGCTATTATTATTAGGAAATTTGCTGAGTTAGAAGCTCCAGCAACAAAAACTGAGTATGACATCAGTGCTGCAAAGAAATTAGGGTTTGCTTAGTTTCTGAATACTGCAATAATAACACTAATTGTTAATTTGGTGATTATAAAGGAGGGAGAAAAATCTTACTTTGCTGTAATCAAACAAGGAGGTTTAAATTAGGATGTCATGTTGATTTTTATAACTAATGGAATAATGCCTTGGTTAACCAACTTGTTTGACCCATTCTACTTGTACAAGTTGTTTATGAGGTACCAAGTTAAAGTTTAAGGTTAATCGTGTAATGTAACCTAATAAGAAGCGAATGAGTAAAGCTATAAGATCTATTATCTAGATATTTTGCAGGTCCCATCATAGATTTATCAAAAAAGTATGCGTAATTGGGGAAAACCTTGTTGTTCACATTCTTTTATGCCTACCTACTCCCACTTGGACCACTGCTTTCTTTGGGGTCATTGCTGATGATCTATTGGGTGGAGAAGATCTTATTACTCAGAAGAGATTCAAAGCCAGCCCCAACGGGAAGTGAGATGGCAGAGGAGATGATCGACTTTTTCGGAGAATTCACACTCTTGCTTTATGCAGTATTACTATATTACGAATTAGATCGGGTGCCTGGTTTGGGAATCAATTTTAAATGAAACCATATTTCCGTTAACTTGGGTTCAATTTGCAATAGCCATTTTGAATTTCTTAATCCCCATAGATACTATTTTTGATATATTTTGGAAAACTGAGGACATTTCTACGCAAGAGTTCTATGAAACCTAATGCTACAAGTTCTGGGATGATTACGACAGGAGAAATCCGATAACTGCTGAAAAGGCCATTGAAACATTTTTTAAAAGTACAACGGCAGGACAGTAGTAATAATAGGTGGATGGGAGGGGGAATGTTGCCATAATGATGCAGGATTACAAGAAGTAGGATAAGAAGAAGAAGTATAAGAACAAGCAAAAGAACGAGGATTGAGAATATATATTATTATTATTTAAATGAATTAATCATCCATTATATTGGAGGAGAATAAATACCATTCTGCTTAATAGGAGGAGGAAGAGCGGATGTTGACAGCGAAGGCATGCGATTTGAAGAAGGCTTTGATTTATCGAAAGTTTCAGCAAAACGAGAGGAAGGAGGAGTTGGAAGACATAAATTAGTTGTTTGATGAAAGATAGTTGAATATTTTGAATGACCTTGCCAACGACAATGGTAATTACGAGGAATAAAATCAAATTGAGACAATAAGACAGGAAGTCAATAAGAAATTGTAGACAGTAATGGAACATGGTATGAAACGACATTCTCTGTATGTCATGAAAAAACCATTGGAAAATAAGAGAACATTCAAAATCTAAGTATTCAAACCTGAAGACAAGTTCAGAATCTTTTGGGATCTATTCACTATGTTGATTATCTTTTTCGCCATCTTAATTTTACCTCTCGATATCAGTTTTACAATTGATTCCCCATTTTTTGAATACTTCAACTATGCCTCAATTGCAATATTCAGTTTGGACATCCTCATTAACTTCAACACATCCTACTAACAGAAGGGCCAATACGTAATTGATCGCAAACTAATAGCCAAACACTACTTAATGGCTTGGTTCTGGATAGATTTGAGTAATGTTATTGATTAAGCCTAGTTTCAACCTTCCCTTTCGATATCATCATCAATGCTTCAACCGAAGAAATCATACAATCTGATGAGATTGACGAAACCTAAGCATAATAAGATACATAAAATCAACAACAACAATCAGCTTAATTAGCGAACACCTTGAAATTACTGAGGATTTTGAAATTTTTTAGATTTATCAAAGTAGTCCGATTACTAAGAGTATTAAAATTAAAAAAGATATTTTCTAAATTCGAAGATTACGTTGATTTCTCGAATTCCATGATTTCACTCTATAAGGTGTTAAAATTAACCTTCATAATGCTCTTTGTGGCCCATTGGTTGGCATGCATTTGGCATTTCATAGCTGATCAGGAGGACTCTGCTGACAGTTACAGTTGGCTCAGAGCATAGGATTTGCAGGACAGTGATTGGTATGTGAAGTATATCGCATCGGTGTATTGGGCAACAGCGACAATGACTACAGTGGGTTACGGAGACATCACTCCAGTGACGTCAGTGGAAAAGATCTTCGGTATAGTGGTCATGTTGTTGGCTTGTTGTATATTCGCATACATAATGAACAGCATTGGTGGAATATTTGTATCCATGGATTACAACGAGAAGTTGATTAGATAGAAGATGGGTCAAGCCAATTAATTTCTGAAATCGAATGACATACCGAAAGATTTGTAGGCCCGAGTAAGAAAGTACTTGGAGTACAAGTATGAGAAGGAGTCCACACAGGTTAATGAAAAGGAGGCCTTGGATGTCTTATCATATTCTTTAAGAGTTGAGGTACTGGCTGCAGTCAATACAGATTTGATCAATAACTCTAAAGTGTTCAAGTAGAACAAGTTCGAGAAGGAGTTGTTGTTGCAATTGCCATTTGAATTGGAGGAATAGATCTTTGGTCCTGAGGAATGTATATTCTTGGAGGGAGATGATCCTATAGAGCAGGAGAATGGTCAAAATATCGAGGATAGATGCCTGTATTTTCTCAATAAAGGACAGGTGATGCTTTGTATTTAAAAAACCTTTACTTGCTTGAAGACTTTGGACAAGGGAGCCACATTTGGGGAACTCGGATTCTTTAGTAACAAATCGAGAAGTGCGTCTGCTTATACCCTTGACTTTGTATATGTGCAAAAGTTGAAGAAGAAGAAATTCACAGAAATCTTGAAGAAGTATTAGACTCAAAATCAGTTATTCTAAATGAACAAACACATTATCGAATTGGGGGAGGACTATTCTCCTCTAGGGTTGCCTTGTTTTGGATGTTAGCAGATCAACCACTTTTCATCCACTTGTCCCAAATTGCATTTTATCACCAAATATGATAGAAAACAAGAATTGATCTAGGAATTGCAGTAGCAACAGCAGAAATTTACGAAGGAATTCAAGAGACACGAAAAAATTAGGTACAATTCCAGAGGTTGTTTTGGGTTGACGAATGAAGTTGCTAAAGAAATCAAGTAGGTCTATTCTGCCCAGGAAGAAGAGGATGAGGACAGATTGGTCAAACTCTAACAGTATTTAACTTTAATAAACATAGACGCAACGAAGAAGAACCTACTCAGGAGGGTTTCGAAGTGATGGAGAATCAGAAAGAAATTAAAAGTCAACATCAGGATGAGTTTGAGAGGATGTACATCATGACTGCCTTCTTTACTCAATTCAACATTGATGAGATCATGAAAAATTACAATGAGCGAGTGGATGCTATTCTCAATTTACAGTCCTTGGCTTAAGAACGGAACATCAGAACTCAGTATCATTCAGTCAAGTCAAACACTAAGAAATCTAGGATAAGATCGATGTCTGCTGAACGAGCCGTATATTTTGAAAAGCTTATTGAAAAATACGGAGGGCCATCTTAGTTTTTAGAAAAACTAAATTAAGACAACTGATAATAATATTATTTATATATGTAAAATCTCAAACAATTGGTGTATATGAGATAAATGCCTTCAAATTTAATAGCATTTTCATCGAAGGAGGGCAAGAGACTATTCAAAGAAGCATTGGATCAAAACACTATGGAATGCTACTTTCCACTAGCTGAACAATTTATTACCTAATTGCATCCGACCACTTGTGGATCCACAACATTGGTGATGGTGTTGAATGCACTTAAGATCGATCCAGGAGTGCAATGGAAAGGGTATGAGAAGATCTAATATTAGAATTTGGAAATGGTACACCGAAGAGAATTTACATGGTTTAAAAAAGGAACATTTAGATAATGGTATAGATTTGGATGCATTTTCGCATATTGCTAAACACAATAAAGTGGCCATTCAAACCTTCTATCATCCAAATTTGTATGAATAGCAATATGAATAAAAAAAGTAAGATTGTATTTGCTTAAGCTCAGTTTTTATGATTGTTAAGAAAAGTGCACTCGAATTCAAAATCACCATAAAATAGCGTCGGTTCAAACATTCTACACATGCTTGGAAGCTTCTTCCAGGATGGACAGACTCTTTATGGTAGTAAATAACAGCAGAAAAATAATGGGGCAAACAGGAGAAGGACACTTCTCACCCATTGGAGGAATTCATCTAAAAGAAAAAAAAGTGATGCTCTTCGATGTGGCAAGGTATGTGAAATGGCAATATAAGATTCAAGTATCCTCCTTAATGGTGCGACTTCGATCTGCTCTATAATTCGATTGCTCCAATAGACAAGGACAATAATATGACAAGGGGATTCGCATTAATAACTAAAACATTGGATTACGACATTTAAAATTAATACTCAAGGTAGATTCTGTAGGATTGGTTTAAAAATAAGACTGAGACTAGTAGTGATCTGCCAAATCAGTTATCAGTTATATTTGTTTACTACTTGTTTATAGTGTTGCAGAGAATTGAAATGCAAATGACAAACATTCACACCGTCCCCTTTTAATTGGCTTTAAGGGAGGAATCGAGATACAATATTGATTAAGCATTAACATAAATTAAAGGATAGAAACATTTGCACAGTTTAATAAGCGATTTTACTTTTTAGTACCCTGATCTAATCACAACTATAAGTTGTCTTCTTTACAACATTTTGTGTGGTTATCAAATAAGCCATAGAGAGTTGACTGAAGAGTATGAATTGATGAGAATGATATTAGGAATTTGATTAATCATAATATTAATTAAATTAATAGAATTCATTTCACTTAAAGGATTGTAATCTTAAAGGCGATGTCCCTCCTCCTCCATTTCCAGTGGTATTATGTGCAATTTTCTTAACTGTTTTAATACTTTGAAATGTTTTAGTGAATGGCTTCTTCAATGACTCGGCAATTCTCAATCCTGTGACTTTGTCTCCTAATTTTCTGAGCTTCCAGCCTTTCTTGATGGTTAAAAAGAAAAATGAGTATCTAGAGAATTCAGGGTAGAGTCTTCTCTTTCCAAAGAACTTTTGAAGTCTCGCATATCTAAATAAATCTATTAATAAGTAAGCATTACCTTTTGATGACGATATCGTAATTATTGAGAGGGAAATAGTAGATGAAGATTTGCATTTTATCAAAGTCATTAATAATCGAATTGTTGGTATGTTAATTATACGTTTGATTATCCATGACAGAAGTATGATTAATATCCGTGGTCATTTCTCTTCCTTGATTCCTAGTAAACGTTCTGGTTGCATTAGATTGCCTTTTCTAAGTGGGTCTTTTTTAATGATGCCTGACTTCCAGATCAGAAGAATTAGGCGGGAATATCTTTTCAGGAGTCAAAGTCCGTTTGATAGTTTAAGATTGTCTTCCTTTCTAAGTGTAAGTATGAGATCTGAGAGAAGATTAACGAGGTATAATTTCTTCATTTGAATCCTTTCTAGTGAACGTGATTTTTTATTATTGAGTTCTGGCTATTTCCTAATTTTATTTGGCAGGCACTGGCAATTACATTAACACTTAATCCTTCTCTTCCTCTGATTCTTCTTCCGAGATTTCTTAATATTCATCATCCTTCATCAAGTCAACCCGAACACTATCCCTCATCCCTCCTCCAAACCCAGCCGTCTAGAGAGTGGCTCTGGGATTGACTACCTTCCTCGAATAGTTTTTGGAGTCATCATCCTCATTTTCTGTTATCATTGTCTATTGATTAGGTTTCTGACTAATCTTACTAAACGATCTAGAGTTGCTCCTTTGATTCAGAGATGACGGCACATCGATTTCGACTTATTGATATTTTGTATAGCTTACTTTCATCCTCATACACGTCATTCATTAAGTTGGAGTGTTGTTCAAAGTCTTCGAAGTCTGTCCCCTTACTCGCCAAATACTATTATTCCTATTAAATCTCCTTTGCCTTAGTCATCAAATACTTCTGTATCAACCAAGGACTCACTTCCTTCTCCTTATTCAATCTCCCTATCCTCTTGTTCCTTGGTTAATCATGAGGATATAACTCCTTCTTCAGTATGCTCTCCTTGTCAGGACAGTAGTGCAAGTAGTGACACTTATCAATCAGATGCTGATTACTTGAACAACTGTAACAACTCACCTGGAGTGCACTGTAATCTTAATGCAAGAGTGTATGTGTCAATTGACAATACTTCTCATAATCATTCGGATAAGACAGCAAGATCTTAATGAAGTTCTCCCTTTTGATTTTAAACACCTTAGTAAATGCTCTAGAAATCGCAGTTGCCTTTCGAGGTTAACCTGTAAAGAATGAGAACTCTCCAAAATAATCTCCTTAATAAAGGCACTTCAAACTATTCCTCTGAACTCTTTCATTCAAACTATTAAAGCCTTCGAAAATGATCTCCACCTCCCCTTTAGTAATAATATACAACGAAGAGTCATCCAATTAATTTAAAGTAATAATCCTCTCCTCAGGTGAAAAACTCTACTCCTCCATCTATCCCAACAATGACTTTATCATCTTTTCAGAAAATGTCTTGATCATCACCTTACAACTGCTGAGTATGTTTCCTCTTAACTGATACTGCAATTCCTCTTATAGATTACTACTCAATTTGCAAATTAGTGATGAGACTTCCTCGTCATTCATATTTTATTCTTCTTGCCAAATATACTCCAAGTAACTCCTGATTCTTGTTTACAATTCGAATTGAATCTTGTTTTTTGACATAAATGTATTAATGAGGGTAACACTCCGACTATATTCCATGGCTCCCTTATACATGTTAGATACAAATATTCCTATACTATTCACTGAATACGCAAACACTATTGAGGCTATCAACATTGTTAGATTATTCATCAGCAACTCCATGTTATTTTTAGCTGTTATGTCCCCATAACCCACAGTGGTCATTGTCATCGTCGCCCAATAAAAGGCTTTGTTGTATTTAGAGGCATTTCCCTTGTCTCTCAAATCGTATGCATCCAACCACGAATAACCATCATTATAGAATGCCAGACCATGCCAAACACATGCACAAATGTGAGCTATGAATACTATCATCATTGTCAGCTTTAGCAAACCAACCAAGTCATTCAAAGAACCATACAGATTGAAGAATCTAATATTATTACGCACACTTACTCCTATATTTATGCTAATATCTTATTGATTTTTGTTAGTCGAAGCACATAGAAAATAGCACAGAGAACTATTTAAACGATCAACATTTGATTGGACTCATCATTGTTTGTGAGAATAAAGAATTGAAGAGTCACCGTACTCAACGAAACCTTAAGTCCTTATATATTAACCATTATGTACCAAATCAACAAATGCATATTATCGAAAATAATTTATCAAGATTCGTTTTCTGTTTCGTATGATTAACCCCTTGTATATGAATGCCAAATTCAAACCAACAAACACGTCCAAACTCAATATCGATAAAAACACTATTTCGAGAGACTACTTGTATACGCTGATGCCTAGAAAATCACCAATTGAATCCAATTTGAATGAGATCTTGTATGGTAGCCAAAAGAAGATCAGCAAGTATGTTAAAATTTAAAACAGGCCCCAAATAAATATCAATTAACTGTAAGGAGTAAACACCTCAATGTACGAGAAGAATCGCTTAAAAGCCTCCCATCTAGTCAATGTTCTCTTGTCATTATGCAGGTAAGCCTCATTTTCTAATTATAAATCATCCAATGCTTGGATTTGATAAAAGGAAAGTTGATGCAGCTTTCTCAAATAGGATCTGTTCCACAGGTTGTTAATAAAATTGTTTTGGAAACTCTTGGCTATAATCAATTTCAGAAATTGAGGTTTTCCTCCTTATTCTTCCTCGTCTTCAATTGCATACGCAGATTGATATTCCGATTTTCGCATATTCCTCATCGATTTATGCATATCAATAGGCATCACATGAATTGATTGTTGACTGATATCTCCCAATTTCTGCTAATCCGGAACTGTGAAAGAATTCCAACTGGCAGGCAGATTCCTGTTGGAGTCTCCATCCCCAAGGACGATTCTCCCTGAAATCATACCCGAGTTTGGACCTTGAAAGTACTCATCTTACAAACTAAATGAGTTTTGAACATGCTCGTTTGAAATGTTCATTAAATATATTATTATCAATTTTACAGTAGTAACTATATGTATTTATTATTAATCTCAACTTAATCATTTGAAACTACTACTCGAATTGGGTTTCACAATCTCATTAAGCCATCCGACCCTAAATTAAATTATTTAACTTATTTCTTCAATAAAGCGTTGATTAACTACCAATATTAAGTGAATATCATAGTAATTATTCAAATTTAGATTTTAAATAGTGTTAATATTTATTCAATCTATTAGAAGCCTTATAATAATTAATTGGATAGTTAAAGACCTCAAATTCAGGGTCCAATCTTTACAATCAATTGATAATCTGATCTAACAGCTGTTTGATTTAATGAAATTTATACAGTTTTAAAATTGCTATCTAACAAATCATAATAATATTAATAAATCTAATTTTAGTATGTAGACTATCTTATGAGTTTCGAGATTCGACAACTATACTTTTCAGAACCTCTTAATTTGTTTACTATCCAGCATACATCAAAATACTTATATACTCATGAATTCAGACCATCATAATCCATTTAACTATTCTATGATATAAATATATGCTTTAATAAATCTTTTAAATATTCTTGAATAATTCTTACATTCCTTTGTATAAATTCAATTTAACTCACAACTTCCCTCAACTTCCATAATAATTATGATGCATTTATTCTCAAAATCATTGAATAAATTTATACTATTTGTTTAAATTTGCAATTAGCCAGCATACTCATTTTGAGATTCATCTCCTTATCGTAATGAAATTAGCAATAAATTTAGAAGTACACAAAGTATATTGAGTTATTTAATTTATAATTTGATGTAATTTTATTATTTAATATTAATGTCACTACAATTTACTCACCATAGTGAATTTGCTTCAAAGAAGTTTGGTTCGTTTTTACTGGGCTTTTAGAAGTTTCTAATGAAGTATTTACGCATTTCTTCCCAACAAAATAGACACATGGAATATGGAAGGCCAGGCATTCTAGGGTATACACTTAATTCAATACCCCAAATTGAGTATATCTACTGGTCTGGCACCGAACCAAGTATTGACTCCTGGGATGTAGACGATGCAAAGGAAAATGATGGTCTCAAGGATGACTCCATAGAACATGACAGCGTTGATGGGTGAATAAATCAATGACATCTTACGTTCTAGAGAGAGATATAAGATGGTATTTACATTTGCATGAGAACACATTGGACCATTAGACCAAGACAACAGCAACGAAGTAGGAGGTTTAAGCATATTTAAGAGCAGCAGTCTTGAAACAAGCATTTGTATTGATTGGGTATCCAGATCCTTCAAGAAGTGAGTCTGATCTATCAAAGTATCTGCACAATTGATCAGAAAATTGGTTGTTCCATTCCTCAAACACAGGGAACCATCTGTTGTCTGTGGAATTATAAGTAACAAAGATGTATCGTAAATCATAATAGATAAGTTCTGGATTGATCCAATTCAATGGAATGTTTTAGAATCCAACTGTATCTGCGATCTGATTTTCTGAAGGGGGAACCAATACTGGTGCCATTTACCAATTAGGACTGTAAGGTTGCTATGTTAAGAAGGGACTAAATAAAATAGAATAACGAATTACTTGTTCATATTAGGCATATCCCAAACCCAACTTGTAGGAGGGGGTGCATATGGTTGTCCATTTGCAAGGGTGATTGGAGTCCAAGGGATTTATTGATATGGTGTGTTCATAAAACTAAGAATGAGTTTTGGAGGGAATCCATATTCATTCATTGTACTGAAATAACTAAAGAATCCTGCAGATGTGGCTATGACTCCTTATAATAGATAGGCATGAGTGATCAATCTGAGGGACACCAAATGGTCATCCTTCTTCCTTGGTTTACGAGTCATGATATCAATTTCAGCCTCTTCATAAGCGAAGGAAATGGCAGGTAGGATGTCAGTACCAATACAAATGGTGAGAATGAAGGCATTACTCAATGGAAGTGGTAATCCAATAGCGATTTCACCTACGTATGGGAACACTTCAGTAATATTGGATGTAAGAAGATAGACAATAGTTTTTTTAAGATTGTCGAAAATCTTTCTTCCTTCTTCCACACCATCAACGATTGAAGCAAAGTCATCATTCAATAAGATCATATCTGCAGCATCCTTAGTAACATCAGATCCACTGATACCCATTGAGATACCAATGTCACCCTATTTAATAGCTGGTGAATCATTGACACCATCTCCTGTCACTCCGACTACGTGACCCAAATATTAGCAAGCCCTAACAATCATCAATTTTTATGCTGGAGATGTACGAGCAAATACAACTTAAGGTTTACTGCACCAACTTCTGAGTTTTCTGTCTTTCATTTCTTCAGGTAAATTTTCACCTTGTGCTGCCTCCTCTTCAAGTGCTTAAACAATTAAATCACCATGAATAACAATGGCTGGAGCAAGTCTAAAAGCTTCCTCATATGGCATTGATGGATTCTCATCCAAAAGATCATCAACAGTTTTACCAGTAATGATACCAATTTATTTAGCAATAGCACCTGCAGTGGGTGGTTGATCTCCAGTAACCATAATAACCTTAATACCAGCTGATTAACATTTCTTAATGGCTTGAGGTACAGTAACTTTAGGGGGATCCATCAAAGATAATAGACCCAAGAAAGTAAATGCTTCCAATTTAAATTTAAGTGTGTCAACAGAATTCAAATTGAATTAATATCCCTTATGATATTCAGCTCTAGGCAAGTGCAATTTGGCGAATCCTAACACTCTCTCTCCACCTTTACCAAAAGTTAAGTTGACTTATTTGAATTTCTAAGTAATTTATTCATCAATTGCTTGATTTCTACCTTCAACTAAGAGGTAACTGCAAAATGTCCACAATTTTTCAGGTGCTCCCTTTATGTAAACACAATAATAAGAATCTTGAGTTTCCCAATTGACAATACAAAGAGAGAACTTATTGGTTGAGTTGAATGGCATCTTAGCCAATGATTTATCTGGCAATTCTGCGAATTGTCTTCTTTGTCTTGTGACTTCAATGTCTTCGATTGGTTAAAAGAACTTAATCAATGCAGTTTCAGAGGCATCTCCAATGGTTGGAGTATCTAACCAATTGACATTTTATTTATCCTTAGCTTGTATATTAAACTTAGCTTCACTGGTGATGATGGCACAATCATGTAAATCTCTAAATGTTGGATCACTAGTTTCATATTCATATTCAGCATTCTTTCCTGCGATCAACTTATTCAACGCCCTCCTCTTCAATCCATCATACCAAACATTTTCAACACTCATCTTGTTCTAAGTCAAGGTTCCTGTTTTATCTGAACAGATGCAACTTGTTGATCCAAGAGTTTCAACAGCTTCCAAGTTCTTAACCAACACCTACTTATCTGCCAATCTTTTTGCAGTGATAGCCAAAGAAACTGTGATACATCCCAATAATCCTTCAGGCACATTTGCAACAATAATACCAATAGCTTAACCCACAGCAGTATCTACTGATGCCTTTTCAACAACCAATGAGAGAATCAAAAATAAGATACCCAAACCAACAGCAATACAAGAAATCAAAATAACGAATCTCTTCAATTCAATGTTCAATGGAGTTTCTGGTGTTTCTCCTCCAGTTGCCAAATCTGCAATCTAACCCATAACTGTTTTATCACCAATTTATATAACCATTCCCAATCCAGATCCTTCTTTGCATAATGTTCCAAAAAATGCTAAGTTCTTTGTTTCCAAAGGATTTTCACTTGTGCACTCAGTCACTCTCAATAATGGATCGCATTCTCCTGTCAAAGCTGAATTATCCACCTTCATCTCTCTAGATTGTATAATTCTAATGTCGGCTGGTATTTTGTCTCCCATCTTCACCTCCACTATGTCTCCTGGCACTATCTTCTCTGCTGGAACCTGTTTCCTTTGTCCTCCTCTAATTACTATACAATTTTAAGGCAAGAAATTCTTAAAGCCTTCCATCAAAGCATCAGCCTTGGCAGATTGATTATAAGTAATTGAACCTGTTAGTAAAATAATTGCTATCAAAATAATTGCTAAAATATAGATCTTGATATTGTACCCAACCACAAGTTAGACTTTGCTCCGAGAGCATTTGGATTCACACCATACAAAGCAAAACATGCGAAGGAGGCTATCCATAACAAAATTGAAAATGGCTGAACCATCTCCTTTATCAATTTAATCCACCAGGGAGTCTTCGCTTTTTCTGATAACTTATTGTCACCGTACTATTGGTTCTTTTATATGGCTTGATCATCAGATAGTCCATCCTCTCTGCTTGTTCCCAATCTGAAATATTATATAATCCAATTACCTGTTCGCTAAAGTCATTACATCCACTTTATGTTCATCCATGTTCCTGTACTCTTCCCCCTTGTTCTAAGCCTTTTTAAGGACGTCTTGTTTTGTATTGGTAGGAGTATCCACTGGTACTATGATATCCTATACCATAATTTTTTATTCCTAGGAATACAATTTTAGAGCTTACTTTCATCTGGTTAAGCATCTGACTTTGTTTAGAAACAAGGGCCTGTGCTTTCATGGAGCTCCTACGAGCAGATTCACTTTGCTGCATTCCTAATTTCACACTTTATCTCAAAATTTCGAAACCCGCAACAATCTGAGGATTCGTAGCCTATGTGAAGTTCTATTAACCGTCATTTAATGGTCGATACTAAGCCATTCACAATAAATTATGAAAAATAATATCTAAAGAATATTCATTCCATCACACCTTAAAATATAGAATCACAATTTCGAGCTGAACATTGCATCACTAATTAAATCCATAAATGTAAAATTATTCTGCTCAAATGCGACATCAAACTTGACATTCTAAAAAATAAACACTTTCCCCTTAAATCCGCTGCTCTATCTATACCAATCACAGAGAAATAGGCCAAGGAAGTTCTATATTCAGAACTCCACAATCTTTAAAAACTTCACTTAATAGAAATAAATCTGATGACATTACGACAATGAACTTTGGAGAATTCAAGTCATACTTATTTAATATTCATTTCGACCACTGAAACTACAATTATGAACATTATAGAAATAATCAAATATTCATTGAGAAATTCCATGACTTAATTCTGCATTACGTTGAAATAAGAATACCTTAATTCTTATTGTATAATGTCATTCGAAGATGAAAACAACCAATAAGGACTGGGATCTATGCTTCTTGGTAAGAAAAGAAAAAATGAGAATATTTTGATGGAATTAAATTAGAAATTAAAAACTTATATGTTAAAGTTAAATTATAATAATTTCAGCAGCATTTTGGTTTTTATTACTCTTTTTGCTTTTCCACCATTTCTTCAGTCATTTGCGAACCTATCCTTACACCAATAGACTTAATATTTAGATCATATCATACTTCATTTGTTGCATCAATGTCTCTCTATTCTATTTTTTTTAATACAGCTTCAGCTGCTTCTTAAAAGATCTAATATTTTTATGATAGAATTACTTTATCAACTTGAAATCCTGTTTTTGCAGAGGCCTCAACGAAAATCAAGTCGTGCTTCTTGGCAAATGTTTGTCCTTCCTCAGCCGAAATCACTCTTCTAATAGATTTTCCATACAATTTATACTTGTCCGATAAATCTGTTTTGTTAGCAACCAATACTAATGTAATTTTATCATTTGCATAGCTTTTTGTTTCTTCCATCCATCTGGTGATATTCTCAAAACTATCTCTGCTTGTCACATCATACACGATCAATGCACAAATTGATCCTCTATAATATGATCTAGTGATTGATTTAAAACTTTCTTATCCAGCCTAACATATACACATTAAGTTATACAGTATCCCAAATTTAGAGCTTTATGTTCTTTTATCTAATATTCAAAGTCTTGCTTCCGAACTCAACTCCTATTGTAGTGTCATGATCCAATTTAAACTTTCTATCCAAAAATTGCAAAAGCAAGCACGATTTTCCAACACCTAACTCTTTAAGCAATCTAATTACTTGAATCTCCGATTATAATAAATTTAAACAAGTATGCATAAGAACTCATCAGAATAATTTTTGTTTTTTATATAAATATTATATTATTAGCAATAGTTACTTTTACATTTTAAATGCTGAATTTGTAGAAAATTTCGAAATTATATAGATTAATATTGTTGTGTCTTATCAATTCTATTCAACAGCAAGAACTACGATTGATTTTCTTCTTTACTTCTTGTACAGCAACTTATTTTTTTAAACTTCTAATTCCCATTAATTCATCAATTTTTCCACCCTCTTCATGCTTTTTTATGAAATCAAGAATTTCTTATGTAAATTTAGATAAAATAGAAGGGATACTCAAATAGTTCTCATCCTAAGCCAAAGAAAATACGCTGCTTGAAGTTTGAGAATATTACATTTAATGAGTGGCAGCAAATTACTCACCTTCTTCGAATTATATGTAATGCCTTACAATTAAATAATCATCCTCAATACCTATCATTCCCACCTTCCTTATCTTAATCCATGTCATCATAAAACAATTTATCGCATTTATTACCAACCAATCTAATTACTATTTTCTCCTAATCCACATACTATTGAATTTCCTCATACCATTTCTTCAGGTTCTCGTAACTATCCCTGCTAGAAAGATCGAAAATCAAAATAATTCCAATGCATGTCCTATAATGAACCCATGCCATCGAACGGAATGGCTCTTTCCCAGACTTGGACATAATATACATGGCTATTTACAATGTCAATCAGTTTCAACTGAACCGGCTTCTGACCTATCAGTATTTCCTTTTGACCAATTGTGATCTTATCATTGTGTCTTAGCACAAATTGACTAGTCATAAACATTGATAGAAATGTTGACTTCCCCACTCCCGAATCTCCTATGATAGCTATGTTTAGCTCCCATTCACTTTACAACATTTCAAAATTATTTCAATTTTAATATCAATTATATTCAACAATTAATTATAATCATTTTTGAGCCTTGACTTTTTAAACTATACCATTGTCTAACTATGATTACTATATTAATTTATCAATCTAGAGTTTTTTTTCGTTACTCTCCAATTCCACCAATTTCGATTTCAAAATAGAATTCAATCTTTCCACCTCCAAAATTAAAGTAGTGTTTTTTTACTCCAAATCCTTATAGTATTATGCATTAACTGAACAATTGCATTTCTATTGGCTCAATTCCTTTATTATCTTATCCTTAGATCTACAATTAACTAAATACTTACTCTATTTAGGATTGCAATTTCTGTATAATGACCTTGCTATCAGATATGTGATTTGTTTTGATCATCAAATTTATCTAGTTATCTTACTTTTACAGTTAATCTAAGTAGTAGGTTTCTATGGCTTGTTTCTCTTTATTCAATTGATTTTTCTCGTCCTTCAAAGATTAACATTGATGACCTAAGATTGACAACTGACTTTAAAGCTATTGGATCTAGGAATTCAATTAATTCTCCAATTTCTTTTATTAATCTTAATCCTGAATTATTTCATAATATTTCGATTATATTTCCTCAATTTTACTAATTTAATTATTTAAATTTCTACATTTAATCAAATTATTTCAATTTCTCTTAATACAGATTTATTTAATCCTGCAATTATTCGATCTCCTTCAATTTCTTAATCTTAAATTCATTATATTCATTCATGACTGCCTTTAATTGCTGCTTGTCTTCAGCCACGCTTTTTTATCCAATGTTTATCTGTAACTTATGCAATTCAGAGTAGAGCAATCTAATTGTTATTAAATAGATTACTTATTATCCAATTCCTTATTGAGTAGCAGTTATTTCATTTGCAATCTCTCCTGTTGGTAGTTGTTGTGTAAAGTTGTAATTTTATCTTAAAGAACTTGAACTTAGGCCTAAAGTGAATTGATATTGTCTTCCTTTCCTTCAATTTCCTCTTTTGATACTTCCTATTAACTAAACTACTTCTGAGTATTCACATAAACTTATTCAAGTTCAAATTGGTAATTGTATAGTTCATTTTGTAAGTAATCAGTTTGATTGGTTAATTCTGATACCTTTTTCTCAAGAGCCCCCACTTTCTCTAATGCTAGATTAAATCTAAACCTTGATATAATGTCAATTAAGTTTATAAGTATCGATTGGTCATCTTCAATTCCTCATTTTGATTTGAATTTTTTGAGTTCAATCCTGATATCTTACTATAATCTATATTAGAATTCACTATCGGGTTTAAAGGGTATTATATTTAATTGAATTAAATAGAAACTCTTTCTTGACTCGGCCTCTTAGAATTCATAAATTGATATTTTTCTGTTAATTATTTTTGTTAATTTCTAATAATGAGAAATATGAATTATGAGAATTATAAAAATTTGAAGAAAATCTTCAATGATCTAGGATTGCGTTATATTTACAAATAATAGAAACACTATTGTATTAACTATCATTTAAATAATAAAACTAAAATAAAGAGATGTACTTTAAAATTTTGTTTTCTTTGGTTTAAATTTACTGAAATTTTTGAAATAAAGAATTATTTTATACAACTTTTTATTATAGATAAAAAGCCATTGCATCTTATTAATTCATTTAATCATTGATTTGATTAACAAAATAAAGATAATATTAGATCTTATTTTAGATTTTATGAAATCTGATGATAGAAGCAATTTTGGAGAACTATAAAAAAATAAAGATTCATTTAATGATTCTTATTTGGAGAAACAAAAATTGTATCTGTGTAATATTCATAATTCTAGATTATAGTTAATTTTAATATCATAGGTATGTTACATTTGCTAACTGTTAATGTAATAGTTAAAATCTATTTTTTATATGCAGCGATGAGGTAAAAATTACTTATTTAGTAGAGCAATCCATAAAGACTAAATAATAAAGAATGTATCCAAAAGTGAGTCTTTCAAATCGTATAATTGATTGATCATAAAATTTAGAATTACCATTATTTCGAATCTTTCCTTAAACAAGATTAATCATTATATGGTTTAAAATATTCAATTTAGATTAAGTTTAGATCAATAATTTGTGATTTATCAATATAAAAACCTTCTTCTTCTATATATAGACTAAATTTATTTTAAATTAATATTTATTATTTTTTTTTTCAATTATTTTCTAAGTTATTGAAAAAGTATAAAAAATGCTAAAACTGAGTGGTCTTTAACTATTAAAACATAAAACTATTATAATATCATAGAATCTGTTTGAATCTGCTCTCTTAATAACATCAATATCTAATTTCTCAAAATTGTTTATATAATTTAATAGGCAAGTTTAATTAAATTTTCATATAGTAAATTGGAAATCACTAGAATATGTTTTAGGTAAGCTAATAACAGCTCTAAGAAAGTTTTTAGTCATATATAGATTATACGTTTTGAATAATTACGAAATACTCCAAATAAATACTAATATTAAATAATGATAAATTCAAGATGCAATCTATTAAACTTGTTTATGCAATAAAGTCACTAATCCTTTTTGTTGATAAACTATTGAGATATGATATTCTAATAACTGAATAGAGGAGATTTAAAAAAATAAATAACTAAATTAGAAAACTAGCAACCAAAAAATAAAAGTTACATTGTTAAGGTGAGTGATTTAATATTCAATGATACCATTTTTAAAAGTAAAAAGCAAAATAAAAGCAACAGAGGAATATAAAGTGGCCCTTCCTTTTAAAGAAATTTTAAATAAAGAAGAAGATATCAATTAATTTAACACTATTGATAACGTTTCTGTCATCTGAACATTAAAGAAAATCCTTTAGCTGCTTTGCTAACTTGGAATTTTAAGAATATTTTGAGATGAATTAAGGTGTAAAAATTAAGGTAATATTCAAAGTAGCCATTGTAATAGGATTTATAAACACCAGACTTGCGTAATTTCTGGAATAATAGGTTGATAAGTTAGTTTATTAAAACAAAATCTAAATGATTTTTAATTATAAATGAACTAGTTTTGTTATAAAAATGAATTAATTATATACTTCTGGTAAAGAATTAAATTAAGAAATATTAATTATATTAATATTAATGCTTCAGAATGTTCTAACAATGGGATTGATTACACATGGTTATTTATTTTCAATTGATTGAGTAAATTATATCTTGAAAATATAAATTTAATTCATTAGAGTTGAATCGTAATATCTTAATAAATGTTAATATTTAAATTTCATTAAATAAGATCGACAATTAAATTATTAATATTAGATGAACAAATATAGTTTAATATTTTTAGATAAAGGATCTGAAAGGGATTATTAAGAATAGAAAATCAATTAGCTGAGAAAACCAGTCTATTTCTTTAGTGCAATAGGGTTGTTTTTCATCAGTATGACGAAAATGATCACGGAAATCTTGGATAACTAATTGAATCATTTGAGCATAATAATTGTGACTTAAATTTATCTCATCTTATCAATTTTCATAATAAAATGGAAGCCTCAATTAGTGTAGTCCTGTTTAGTGATTTTGAACTATTTGCTATTAGCATATTAATATATGCTAACAAGTACTATTTCATAAGAGGCCCACTAATTATTTGCTAACAATTTTGTTGCTTGTAACTTTGTGATCATTTTGGCTGTGGATGTATATTAAGGAATATTCCTCGTGACCACTACGATGCTATTACGATTAGGGTTTGCTATATATGAAGCCAATACTCCATAATACAATGTTTATTTTGCTACAATTTTGTTAATTTTCTTTTTAAGTTTTTATATTCGAAAGTTAAATTATGAGAGTCGTAGCTTCTTTTTATTGAGTTTAAAGGATAATTTGATGGAATAAATTTTGCCAATTATTGTGAATAAGTCATATATCTTATTTCAATTTGAAAGTAGCCATTTGAGATTTTCATTAATTTCATCGCGTTAATTGGAATTTTGTTGTGACAATTCAGAGAATTTGAAGTAATTTTTGAGGGAGTGGAATTATAAATAGTAGAGTCTCGAATAGTTTTGCTTTTCAGACATAAGACGAAGATAATCTCAAGAGATAAAATCTTATAGCAAATAAATTGAGATAAAAAAAGGGTCCAAATAAACGCAAACGATAACAATATGCTTCTTTAGTTATTAATAGCCAACATTTTTAATAAAATTTGAGAATAACCCTCAGGCTTAGGAGAAGCTAAAAAGTTATTTTTTCAAGACAATCGAAAAGGAAAGATATATTCACTTCAAGATTTTCAAATGTATAGTAAGCAATTTGTCAATTTCATTAAGATCGGCTAACTTGCATCAATTACATTTATTAAGGATAAATTGTTTCAAATAAATTTTGAATTACAAAATATTAAACAATTAGTTCAAATAGTAAGAATTTTCAATTGATCCCATTTTATCAAGATTAAAGGAATTTTTTAAATTTAAATAGATAAATTATAAAATTATCACATCATAAGAGGCTAAGGTAAAAATGATAAAGACTTACTTTATGAGACTGATTTTTGATGTTTTCAATGAGAGTAAAAAAGATTCTACAATAATAATTAACTTGGAGCATTTTTAAGAACCATATATAAGATATTATGGAAGAGAGATTAATGAATTGTAGGATACAGCGATTTTAACAGTTGTCAAAACTTTAGTAAAGAAGAAATAGAAATTAAATATTGGAAATAAAACAACTATTTTAATAATGTTGAATGAAGAACCAAACTACCCATTCTAGTTTTCACTATAGAATTGATTTTATATATCTGAAATCTTAATTAGAATACAAATATTAATCAATATTCTGAGATTGTCCTCTTCCTCTTCTGCTTTTTAATTGATTAAAGAATTTAGCTTGTAATAATTTTACGATTCAATTCATTCTAATACTAGATTGGAGTATCAAACAAAGTAACATTAGTATCTGCTTTATTAAGTGGATTGAGTTTATTCTTAATACTCCTATAATCTAATTATTTGCTATAATCTAAATAATTAGGTTTTTGAAGGAAACATTCATATTGATTGCCTCTTGTTTAGAGAAGCTAAGCATTTTTGAATTGTTCAAATATCCCTGTTTTGAGTTTAAATGATTATTTGGAGTAGAGTGTGTAGTTGTCTTAGAAAGAGCATTTTTAATCTAAGTATCTTCCATTGAGTTCAAGTTCGTAGGTTCTATTAGAAATTTTATCATTGAATCTGCATTTAGTTTATCTTTATCTAATTACTCGATCTTCAGTTTCTTGAATAGATTCATTGACTTTTTTATCTTGTAGAGTACTCAAATTGGGTCTTAAATTAAATGAAATATCATTTTATAAATTTACTGCCTTGCCATACCATTTAATCCTTTTTTATTCCAAGTCTTCTAACCCAACAAAAGTTTACCTTATTGATTGGATACGTCAGATGGTCTAACAAAAAGGATATCTTCAATTTTTGCATGTTGAAATTAGAACTCTTTTGGTGAATCAATGCTAATTGCCATCTAATGATTAACATGTCTTTCTCTATTAATAGATGGCTTTTTAGTTTCATCTCTTGTAAATGATAAAATATTTTGTTTGCGCATAACTGATAATTTATATTATAAAATAATGTAATCAAGAGGTCTGTCAACACCAGGAAAATAAAAATAGGAGGTACTTTAAATAGTGTTTGATCTTGGAGAAAAGAAACAAGTATATCAATCAAATTAAGATTTAAGGAAACATTGCATGTATATGATGATTCTGATATAACTATGATTGCAAAAGAATTTGTTAACAAACATTAATTAAGAGAGGAGGCTACTATTTTAATAGAATAAACTATTATTAGCAATCTTTAAGATAGCCATTGTTCTAAATAAAGCATTTTTGATCGATTACATAATGATGCTGCCGTTAAGACCCAAAAAAGACAATAATAATTTATCACCAACAGTCTATCTTAGACTATTAGTCCTTAAAAAACATTACCATACAATGCAGGAGAATAGTTGTATTTGAAATCAAAGCAAAGTCGAGTTTCAGAGCATAAATAAAATGTTTTATATTCTTTCAAACCGTATATAAGCGAGAAAAGCATGTCTTTGGCTAAAAGGCCTAACATGCCTACTTAAGATTATTTGATTATGCAAGGCAAGCAGATGGCATACAGAAAAGAACAATTAAGAAGCAGTAGAATGGCTGCATAGAATTAATAATGTTCATTTTAGCCTACCATCAATCCTATGTAAAATTAGATTAACAATTTTGATTAGAAGCCAAAAGATTTCTCAAGAAAAGGAAAGAAACTACTCAAGTGCCTAAACAAGCTCGATACATGATCGATTATATTAACAAGGCTTAAATTCTTTAAAGAAAAAGAAAGAAGCAAGCCAAATGATTAATTACTCTTGTATGATGTCTCCGATAAAAAGAAAGCCTTCAGATATTCCATTTTTAGAGAGAATGCAAATGTCCATACAGAAAAGGCAAAAGAAGTTAGAAGAAACAGTGCTGACTGAAGAGCCGACACATGATATAACAACTGGTTAAAAATTATACCGACCAATTATTGGAAGACCACCCACCAATGAAGTATTCATTATCTAAGAGATGTATTTTATAGCGAAATAACTCAAATCTTCCAATTGGAGAATACTTATTTCAGATGAGAACTGTATAAGAGGATCACCACAATTATTTAATTGAATAATAACGACAATCCCTTATGAATTCTATGGCCAAATCTTCGGAAAAATCAAGCTAGATTTATGAGGACAAGAAGAGGAAAGTTCTTGAAGATATATTCGGATTACTTGATTCAGATGGAGATGGATAAATTTCGGCATCCTCTATAGAGATATCTGGAATACAAGCAGAGATTTTATCAATTCTGGCACCTCTCTTATGTGAAATGGAATCAATCTAGGCTCATTTAGATTTAGAATAATTCATAGAAGCAGCCAATAGATTGATATAATCTTTAAATGTTTCGGATAAAAATAAATTAATAAATGGATTAAGACAAAAAAAAATACTAGATCTCGATTAATGTACTTTTTAAGTAAATGTTTATATTAAACTAAGCCTAAACTCTGCAAACACTCAATGAAATTAGTTAAATCAGGCCCTAAATTATAATAGAATGTAAAATATTATTATTTCATCGTAGAAACTTGAATTAGTGAAACAAGAATAGGAGCAAAAAGTAATGTAGGAATGTACCTTTAAACCTCAATTATATAATCCACTTAGAATTTATGATTTCATGCTTAACCAATGAAGATTTCTGAGAATTTTGTTATTAATTATATGTGTTATTATAACTAGAAATAGATATGGATTTACCTATGTGTTCTAAATATCTAAATATTTTTAATGGTTGCCTTGGATCCTACCTAATAAAAAATTAAATATAGATAAATTTATATTTCTTCAATTTATTCCTCGTTCCCAAATCCATGAGTGTACTTCCTCATTATATCTATCTCCATAAAGGACCTTAAATTTCTCGTCTGAAACAAAGATTCCTTAGATAGATCTAATGTAATATATATCGATCTAACTGAAAGTAATATTAATAAAATAAACACAAGAAATTAAGAATATTTCTAAAGTGGATATCTTTAATAGGTGAGAGTAAGTATTGCGATTCTTTTAATAATGATATGTTATTATTATTGTTATATAATCTTATTTTAATAAAAATCATTTTGATAAATAAATAAATAATTTTTGCATGGGGGCATGTTAAACTAGAAAAAGCAAAATAAATAGTTAAAACACCGCAACAACTCCTGTGAGTTAGTTTTCAAATAAGATAATATCATATTCACAGAATTGCATTGACACAAAACCAAAACCGATATTTGTTCCTCAAAGACCTCCTAATGTGGAATATAGTGATTATGATCCAACAAGTATCTAACTTTATTAACTTAGATCCGCATCGACAGTTTAATGTAAGGATAAATGGAGTTCATTTTGAAATCATAAATTCAGTTGAAGAAGACATTTTGGGATAACTAGATTGATTCAATTTTTAATGATATAAGATTTATTTCAATCAACTTTTCATTCTTTTATCTGTCATCATTATAATTAATTTATCTGAGCTCAGCCTCAATTACTCAAAGGCTCTTTTTTCATAATTCCAAAAAGACCTTTAAAAAATAAAACGAGTAACATTCTTGATAGCAGTTGTTGTTTATTTACAAATCCCAATCTGCAAAATTTAAACATAGATTAAACTATTTCAGAAAGAAAGGGAGGATGACAAGTCGAGCAGAATGACAATGCAATATTACTGTTCGAATTAATAATAAAGGCAAGCGATTGCAAAATTCACTCAAAGCAAACCATTTATACATTTTACTATTTTAATTCGTGGTTTTCATTCTCATCGAAGTTAATTTTATTCCCATTATTTAAATGTTACAGACTAAGTCTAATTGAGAATTATCTATTATTTTTAATTTTCTTGATTACACGATTATATAATAGACTTCAATTAATTAATTCATATTTATAAATCATTTCACACTATTTTTAATTTTTTATTGTGTGAATTCAAATTTAATATTAAAATAAAATCTTTTATAATTCTTCTTTAATATTCTTTTTGCTGAAAAAACTTTCAATTGAATCATTTTTGTATAAAATTTGAATGTCTCCAAAACTTCAAAGCTTTTTTGTAATTTTTGTTGAAACCATCATTCCTGATTGTATCAAATCCTATCGACAATTTAATTAAAATTAAGAATAATCAAGTTTTAGAATATTTCTAAACCCAATACTCAATTAGAAATTAAAATTTCTTCTTATTCAAGTGGCTATTATGAATAAATAGATAAATGAGCATTTACGGATTTAACTTTCTCATTTAGAAAAATTTCAATTATCTATAATAATATTGTGTAAGCCTAAAAGAGTATCACATTTTTGATAAATTTGATTTAAATTTTAGGATTTCCTTCATGAAATTTTCATCTCAAGGATAGGCAGGGTGTTTCTGTTTGGAGGCAAGACAGGAGATAATTAAGTGATTTCTCTGTGTTTTAAACAATTAAGTATAATTAAAATTTATAATTGGTAAATGGAATATTGGTCTGAAATTACAAATGAGACCTTGGAGAATGCCAGAAAGTATAAGAAATAGGAGTAGGAAAGACAGCATCTCTGTATAAACGATAGCTTGATCGATTCGGAAGCGTAGGAATAGTATGAGAAATGTTCTGAATCCCTCTTCCGTAATTGGTAAGTGTTTATGCTGAAATTGGAATGGGAGAGACATAAACTGCAAGATTGCCTGACTGTTGCAAAAAAAGCCAATATAAAAGCGGATTAAGAGATAAAGAAAATGTGTTGCGGGAGTATCAAATAAAATTTACAGGGTTATTTTGATTAATTATAGAGAGCTGATTTTGATATTATTAAAAATTTATGATTCCTAAAGTTGTTGGTTATGCGGCATTCTAATCTTATGGGGATTTGCCATATCCATCTCTTAAAGCAGGGAAACGTACATTGGACTCCAATGAAGTTTGGGAACAAAGTAAGCCTTGATTCCTACATTAACATAGCTGTTAGAAATGAAGACAAAGAGAGCTTTTACAAGAATTCCAACTATCATTATTCGAATAAATAAGTGTCTCTGGATTCAACAGTACAGCCTCCTCATTACAAGAATGTGTATAAGGCCAATAAAGTAAGGAAATGATATTCTAATTTCTTTATAGGCTCATTTAGAGAGTGCAACTTCTAGTGATTTTTTCCAAAAAACAGGGAATTCAGCTTTAACACCAGAGAACCCTCTACTCAAGACTGGTTGTGAACATTGGAAATCCACATACTAAGCATCAATTGTTGATCCATATGCAAAAAATAGAGCTATGCCACCTGAATGGAGTTTGAATAGGCCTCCTTATGTAGTGGAAACGTATTATGCATAGTTAATTATGATAGGAAAGTTGGGCCATCTGAGTATAAGAAGCAGTACGGATAAATCGGAGAGAATCCCAGAGAAAGATTAAATTAATTAGATGAAACTCATCCCAGAACATTTGATGAATTGAGATTGGGAACATCTTAAGAAGCATAGCATGTCCCTGGATATACAGGATTCATACCCTCTATTATAACTAATTCTAAAGCTATTGAACATGGAAATGGAACTGAACCAAGAACAGATTTTATGAAAACTAATTTAAAAGAGAATTAGTATAATCATTCATAGTAATCATAGTCATACAAAAATTCCAGGATACGCAGGACATGTTCCAAGATCTGTAGTCAATTAAAGAGACCAACCACGATAATCCTGCTTTAGCAATTGATACAGATTTCATTTATTATTAATAATTCATATACACATACCAAATAATTTATGACTCTTAAATAAACGATCTTTGTCTTTATTTATTTAATAAATAAGAAAAATATGAATACGAATAAAGAGTTATTTAGAAATAAGAAATTCATATAAGTTTGTTAATTAGTAATTATTTCACGTTAATTTTAACGTGTATTAATAAAAAAGAGATTGATAAAGTAGAATTGATTTATGAAGTTGTTTTACAAAAGAATTTAATTTAGTTTTAATTCTTGACTAATGAAAGAATTAGTAAATAAATTATTTTGATTTTGTAAAAATATTAATGGACTTAGATATAGCTATCGAGGCAAGAGAGAAAGTACGCAATCCAACAATCAAATTGAATAAGAAATTGGCAATAGCTATTGGAGTACAGGTATTTAGTTATTTAAGGGCCTTACTAAATCTGAAAAGAAACCATTTGATGAATTAGTCTCATAAGAACCAACAAATAAATTGATAGCAGTTCATTTTGGAGTTGGCGATTAAGATGATTATAATACCATCTGCGATTTCGTTAAACAGTTCGGATAGAACAAAGTGATGATCTACCCTGTAAGAAATTATGCATTTATTGAATTCCAAAACATCCAATAGAGTTTACAATTAATATAAGTATGACTTATCTAACCCTTAGTCTTTACAAATATTTGAGAATATCAAATACGCAAATCTCAAGTATCCAAATAAGGAGAGAGCCACCATGTTTTTTTATACGAACTAACAAGAATTGACTGGAGGAGGAATGTGTGATATCCCAAATGCCATGAGACAAGTCAATATCCCAGGACTGTATTTGATACACGATTTCATAACACCAGAATACGAAAAATACATTATGGATCTAATAGATAAACAAGAGTGGTCCAAATTGAAACAAAGAAGAGTTCAACATTATGGCTATGAGTTCTTATATGGAGATAATACAGTCAATGTCAATTAACCTGCAGAAAAGAATATTCCTGCCTTTCTTGAGGATGTCAGAGCCAAAGTGTCTGATTTAGTGAAACCCCAGGCTCAAATAAATCAACTGACAATTAATGAGTACTTGCCAGGCATGGGTATTCCACCTCATTTTGATGTTCATCCTCCATTTCATGAAAAATTTGTTTCTATTAGTTTGCTTAGTGGCTTAGTAATGTCCTTTAAATCCTACAACGGAGAAGAACAACATTTATATCTTCCTCCAAGATCTTGTGCTTTGTTTACTGGAGAAGTTAGATTTGCTTGGTTCCACTCCATTGCCTCTAGGAAAATCGATAAAGTTGAAGGCGAAACCCACTTTAGATCAAGAAGATTAAGTTTGACTTTTAGAACAATCAGAAATGACCTGAAATGCGATTGTTAATATCAATTCTTTTGTGAATCTTAGGGATACAATCCGTAGACAATGAAGAACAAAAATCCTTTGTTACAAGAATATTTAGCAAAGTAGAATTAAAATGGAATTGTGTAGGACAATAAGGTTGTTCCCAATAAAACTTAAGAAGAAATCTAATTACTTGAAGAACAACAATAACAATTATTACAAATACCCAAAGCTACAGAAGTAGAAAAGAAATATGTCTATGAAATTTATGAGAAAATTGCACCTCATTTCAGTTCAACTCGTTATAAGCCATGGCCCAAAATAGAACAATTCCTCAAATCCTTAGAACCTGGATCTCTTGTTGCTGATGTTGGGTGTGGAAATGGCAAATATCTAGGCTCAAATCCAGATATTTCAATGATTGGTACAGATAGGAGTGAAAATCTATTGAAAATATGTAAAGAGAAATCTGAAGCTTATTAAGTGTTTAGTGCTGATTCTCTGAGATTACCCCTCAAATCTGAAATGTTTGATGCAGTAATCTCAATTGCAGTCATTCATCATTTCTCAAATAAGTAATAATCCTCATTTACCTGTATAGAATTCTTAGATAATAAGCAATCAGAGAGTTGTTAAGGATTTGCAAATCCTAAGGATTAATATTAATATATGTTTGGGCTATGGAACAAGAGGAGAAGACCTTTAATGAACAGGATGTCTTCGTGCCTTGGAATTTGTAATTTAAATATGAGGATGAGAAAGTCATAAATTAGGAAGGTATCGCAGTCATTTATTATTGCTAGTGTAATAACAATTCAAAATTGACGATCAAAAGAAAACTGTTGTGTATAAACGATATTATCATGTGTTTAAATAAGGCGAAATAGAGGAACTATTGTCAGATATGCCTGGCTTTAAGATAGTAAATAATTATTATGACCATGCTAATTGGGTAGTTGTGTTATAAAAAGATTGAAAATTGCATATTCATTTTAATATTATTATTAATAAAATATAAAATGGCATAATAAAATAATCATCTTCATCTTAGATATTGGAGTTCTAGTGATTGGGATTTTAAGAAAAAGAAAGAACTTCAACATTAAATGCTAGTTACTAGATAGAGATTCTTTGAATCTATGAAGCCATAAGAAGTAAAACGGATTAATACTACCAATTTCCATCAATATGTGATTGATATCAGAGAATATTACGAAAAAAAAAATTAGCAACTATTGTCTAGTAAAAAATATAGCAGAAGCACTAAATCCTTAAAAAATTTATTTAGTAATAACAATCTAATCCTTAAATTTAAATCGTAAACATTCTTTCCAGATATAAATTGATCTGTATTATTATTAATATCTTAATTATACATCCCCTTATGATTCTGATTCCTTTCTCCATTATTTCGAGAATTTCTCAACTTATTTACAATTAATTGTTACTGAAAATTCAACAACCTGGTGAAGATGTAATATCAGTAAGTTTAGTAGATATTTAAACACCATATATATCGAATTAAAATTTCACTTCTAAGTATTTACAACAAAAAGAAATAGTTCAATACAATTGTTAAATCACTTTCCTATTATATGAAAACTAATTCTTATTATTGCAATTGATTTCAACTCTGTTTAGTGTTACACATAAACTAATTCATGAAAAGAATTGGAAATATTTTAAGCTTTATATTATTTCAAAACAACATTTATTATTATTATAATCATTTTAAAAGAAAGAGTCAATAAGAGATTTTCCAAATTAATATTAAAATGTTTTTCAGGAATTTATAGATTCAAAAAGTTTGATTTAATTTATTGCTTAAGACAATCATTTATATTTAATGAAAAACTTCCTTAATCTCAACTATCGATAAATTATAAAAACATCACTCTTGAATGATTAATTTATTCAAATTACTAAAATGTTAAGATCAATAATTATTGGAGTGGTTTTTTTAAAAGCAGGGCATATTATAGAATTTTTAGGTTTAAAATTAATGCAGCAAATTTAGTATAAATTATATCTAAAAAATTATATTATTATATAAAAAATTGGCTTTTTATTCAATTAATTTATTTTATTTTTAACAAAAATAAATTTCAAATTATAATGGTAATTTTAATTTGATTTTAGTATTAATCAAGCAGAACAAAATATAACCCTGAGAATATAATATTATTTTAGATTTCTAGCACAAGGGTGTAAATTAATTGATTAATTTCACAAATTAGTTAAATAAAATCATTTAGAATCTATGAATTAGAATAAGACATTTATTATGAAAATACTTTTCACAATATTGATTCTGTTACTTATTATATAAGTTATTTATCTTAATTTAAATTCTGTGAAGAATACAGTTTAATTCCAAGTTAAATTAAAACTCTAAATAGCTCTACTGTTTTATTTTAACTTATAATGAAAAGACATAAATATATTGCAATAGCTGCATAATAAAAAGAATCATTATTATTGTTTTTTAAACTTTTTTTCTAATTATGGAAAGGCTATGAACACAACAGTAACATTGTCAACGGTTTTTCTGGACATGGATTGTCTCATGATATTCTCAACTGCTTTTCCAGCAAAATGATGAACATCATGGGAGATCACAGTCCAAGCACTTGAGATGACTTCCTCACTATTCATTTTATCAAAAATGCCATCACCTTGATCTACAATTAAAATTACAAGCCAAAATCAGGAAATCTTGATCAGTAACTGTGATTTGAAATATATCAGGCTGAGCTGAGATTACTCCTTGAATTCCCCCATACTTTGGTAATTTGGCTTCTGCATCACCTAAAGTCCTTGAAACCGCTAGTCTACCTGGTAACACTCTATAGGGACCAAATTAAACATCTCCGCTTGAAATCTAAATCTAAGCCTAATAGATTTATCCACCAAGCTTAGTGATTCTTTGTTATTCGTTTTCTGAGGAGGGCTTATGATCAACAGTAATAGATGAGCATTTGCCCTAATGAGAGAGTATTGCGCGAGAGTCTCCAATATTGGCAATATAAATAGCTTTGTCAACAATCAAGGCAATAACAGCACAAGAGCCAGATTTGTCTAATACTTTTTGATCTGCTAATTAGAGGTAGTTTTTTTCAGCTTTTTCTATTCCCCTCGAAATAGCCAATCTTGGGTTTGATGGAAAACAGTCTTCTTTTATTATCTACATTGAATTGCGAAGATACATATTAATGCAAATTATCTCTCATATAGTCAGCACATGCAGCTCCACCGTGACCATCATAAATGGCAAAAAATGAACTCTAAGGCCATTATCCTGCATATGTATTCGAAGCAGGTTTCATCAGATTAAGGATTATTGATACTCTATCCTCATTGTAGGTTCTAATTAATCCTTAATGGGTATTGGCAGCATAGGCAGAAACTATACCAACATTTTTGGTTGAAATTTTTGATGGCTCAATATGAGGTAAACTATCAATAGGGATCAAGGGGGAGTCAGATCTTTATTACTGCTTTGTCTTTTGGATAACCTATTGAGACTATCTTGATTTTAGTATGTCTTTCTTAAATTAAGGTAGCATGTGAGAATCATCAGATTTTTGATTATCTCTGCTAACATTTATTTTCTTATAGGTTATTATGCTTTGAGATTTACTCTTCTCATTTATTTAACAATTAGTTTCCTTTGCTTCAATATACAATATATTATATACTCTTGTTAGTATCATCAATATAAGTTGATTTTCCTTTATTGATTTTTTGTTGATTTTGAGAACCCACTAAGGAAGAGGATAAATAGTATTGGGTTCTAATGTTGGGAATGCCTTTTAAAGATTACTATGATTATTTCATAAATTTAATTTTATCAATTATCATTTTCAACTCAAAATTCCCTAAATGCAAATCTGTTTTTCTTTCCACATATCTTTAATCATTCTTTTATAACCCATTCACAATTTAAAATCTTTATCTTATGATTAAGTTCTTTATAATTTTCAGTAATATTTAAACATGTCTATTAATCCTCCAAATGAGAATTCATAAATAACAGGTTTTCATATTCTTATTAATAATTCTAATCGTTTTTTGATATTTATAGAAAGTTAAATGGAGAATTTTCGAATAATTGATCTTTAATCTTATATGAAAATGATCACTATAAATATATATATATCACTTTCCTATAATCTACTTCATACTTATCATTCTTCTATCAGAATAACTAGCGCTTTATATATTTTTTAATTAATTATATATGTTTTTTTCCTAATTTTAACTAAAAATATTTTTGATTAATTTAAAATAATTTTATGAGCCTTAGTCTCAATCATCAAGAAAATAATTATTCAAGTGAAATTGTGAATTATTAGCTTGATTAATTATTAAGTGATTTTGAACACATTTAAAAACTGACTAAAATCAGGGGTTAAGATTCCCCATTTTCAAAGTGCTGCGTTTACTGCAAAATTAAGCATGATTACGATAGTGAGCATAATTTAGTAGTAACCTAATACACAGACTCAAAATTTATCAACGATTTAATCTCTGAACATGACACTCTCTATGAAATTTGCAAATGGGCACATGATAGTATTGGAAAATAACCAATCAGAGATTCAATGTCACAATAAGATAAAGCTTGGAATCATATTTTATCTAAGAATTACAATGAAGTGCATCAATATTTAGACAATGAAGAATAATGTATTCTGAATTCTTTGAGGCCTTTTGGGGAAGGAGAAAAATTATTTGACTTCATGGAGTTCTCAAAATACCAGAATGAAAATTGGGTCCTCACTCTTGAGTTACTCTACAAAGCCACATTAAGAGCCCCCTATGATAATAATAAACTATATTTATGGGCAACCTGCTAAAGTGTAGAATGGTAAAGTGGCATTTCTTAATTTAATGAAGACTTATGGTTGAATGTCAGAGCTGAATTATTTTATAAAGTCATGAGTAAGCATAATGAAATCTATCCCAAAATGATAAAATGCATCAATTTCGGCATCAATAAGCCTTTCATCTACCAGCCCAAATTTTATGAACTGAATTGCGGTTACATGAATGACGAAATAGATAGAATTGGTAAGAAATTCATCATTGAAATCATAAAATATATCACCTCAAAGAACAATATTGGCCAATTCATATAACTTATTAGGGACTCCCTTGTCACTCTGCAAACAAAAACTAATGATCTGAAGTAGGCAGCTCTGAGATCCCTATGCTACTTCAAAATAGGCCTAATGATATCAGATTTATTGGATGTCGACTTAGACAATGAATTCAATTTTCTGGATTTGATAAAGGAGATCGTAGAATTGATTGAATAAGAGTTCATAGATCGAAATACAAAATTGAAATACTTGATTCAACTCTTAAGTATTTTGGAACGATAGTAGGAGTATAAATATTTTATTTCTACAGTTTGCCAAAATATAATTCATTCCTAAGGAGACTCTCTGAGTTCTCTTCTTAATTACCTGATTGATTTTAAGTTTGATAGAGATTTTATCACAAATTTGGCATTTGAATAATTCCCTAAACTAAGTCCTCACCAGTAAAATGAGTTGCTATCAAAAGAATTTTAGAAGTATTTCTCATCGGATTCTCTATAACGTTAGGTTTATAGTTTACTTCCATACATAATTGAAAATATTGAAAATTTCAAGGATATCTTTAAATTTCTGTTAACGGAATATAACAATTTTCTATTTAAGGAGAGTGTATACTTTGAGGTGTATATCAATGAATAAATTGAGGAGATGTTGAATTATTTAAAGGACATAAAAATTCCCCCTTATTGGTTTGCGAAATATATTTAGTTCATTTTAAATAATCCAAATTTGAAGTAATAATAAATGTATTGATTTATCTTATATTCATTAGATTTGGAATAATGGAAGCGATAAAAAAGAATGATCAATTATTCATAAATTTGTCCATAAAAAGAGAGTTACTAGCCTAACTTGCAAAAAAGCTGACATCGATCAAATCATTTGTTAATCATTTGCTCTAATGATTTCATTTTTATATTTATATATATATATAGATAAGTTTATGCTTCAATGATAGAAGGTTTAAATATTAATTGAAATAGAATATGATTTTTTAAAGGATTTTATTGAACTAAAACATTTATATAAATGATTTAGATTATAAATATTTAATAATTTGAATAAATCTATAAACACATTAAAATGACTGTAAATCCTTAACTTCTAAATTCATGACGAAGTTAATTACGACTGTCTAGCTCTTGCCTAGAAATCTCCAGACATATATTAGATTATTAATATTTTTATGTTGGCAAAAAAATGTAAATAGGAATATAAGGGTTTGGTTCTTTGAATCTATTGCAACTTTCTTTCACGTCCTAGGTTTTAATGATGACATCTCAGAATAACTATTTAAAGGATAGAGTTTCTTATTTCGATATATTAATATTATTAAAAAATATTTAAGCTATGGGAGCTACTTGTTGCACGGGAACACCCTAAACTTAAGAGATAATTTCTAACGCTCCTACTAAGTACGAAGTACAAGTTGAAGGAAATGAACATTTGGAAACAGTGAAGCCAACAGAAGGAAGAGCAGAAAACTTAGAGAAAGACCTCGTTAAACCTCAGGAATCCTAACATATTTAGGTCGAGGAGCCTCAATCAAGTGCAAATCCTCCAGATGATGTATTATAAATCAACATATTCAGGCTTTAAGAGAATAATAAAGGTAACAGATTTAGTTTCACTGCCCAAACCCTGAAGATGCTAAATAATATGATAAGGATCCTTTTATCGAAAATGATTAGGTTCGCAAAACTCTGGAAAAACTCGGAAATTATCAATATGACGAAGCATCCTTGTCACGCTTTCATGATTGTATTGAGTTAGGACCATATGTAAATTATCATACGATAACTCTAGCAATTTGAGAATGGAGCAATATATGTGGGACAATGGAAAAACCATTAAAGATGGGGTAAAGGTAAGCAGTATTGGCCGGATGGATCCGTTTATGAAGGATTTTGGAGTTCTCACACAGCCAATGGAAAGGGACGTCTGATTCATGCAGACGGAGATGCTTATGTAATTGAGTGAGCAATCCTTTAGGATGGAGATTGGGTCGATGATAGAGCATAGGGACAAGGAACTTATTATCATGTTGACGGAGCCAGATACGAAGGAGATTGGTTGGAAGATTAATAACATGGGAAGGGAACTGAAATGTGGCCAGATGGTGCTCAATATGTGGGAAGTTATGTGAATGGAAAGAAGGATGGAAAAGGTAAATTTAAATGGAGTGATGGCGCAACTTATGAAGGCGATTTTAGAGATAATAATATTGAAGGTAATCACTCAATTTAGCAATTCAGGTTTTGGAGAGTATGTTTGGGCTGATGGGAGAAGGTATAAAGGATAATGGTTAAATAATAAAATGCACGGTAAAGGAGACTTTAACTGGCCCGATGGAAAGTAATATAGTGGTATTAGTTTTACTTATTTTCAGGGGATTACGTGGAAGACAAAAAGGAAGGCTATGGAATCTTCAAGTGGTCTGATGGCAAACAATATAAAGGATATTGGAAGGATGGAAAATAACATGGAAGAGGAATCTTGGTTGATAGAGAATCAAGAGAAGTTGAAGCTGAATGGGTCGAAGGAAGAAGAGTCAGATCAGATAATTGAAATTATCACACATTATTAAAATGAATACTGAATAGATTTAATATTTTATATTAAATCTATGAAATATCTTCTGAAATTCCTAAATAAAATCATGAGTTTGTCTTATGAAATCACTTGGGTTTTATATGCCTAAAAATAACAATTAGAATAAGTGGATCTGTGTACCACTTATTCGCTTATCTTATGAATACGAAGCTTTGTAAATACTTTCATTTCATTTTATATTGAATATTAATAAAGCTAAGAAATTCCTAACTTACACTAATCCCTTTGAGACTCTTTAGAAATCGTTAGAAATATAGTAGGTATGGTTCAATATAAATTAGTCATGAAAAAATTACATAATAGGATAATGTAAGATTTTCTTCATTAATAATTTATGTAAAATAGAAATTAGTTTGTTTCAACACTAGAGTGGATTAGCTTTTAATGTTATTTAGTGGGGAAAGACTACATCTGAAGGTTTTTGCTATCCTTAATAGAGAAGAAGGAATTAAAGATTTATAGATGTGATAATTTGAAAAGTTGTTTCTTAAGTATTGCTAATTAAAATTAAAAAACGAAGTATTTTAAACACATTAAGCAAGGAGGAAATCATAAAATTATAGCTTAACTATTTTGAATCCTACTTGAGTAAACATAAAATAATCATTTAATCATAGATTTTGAAAAAGGAATTTCCATTTCTTCATCATTATCAGAATCTTATTATTTTTTTTCTTTTTCATTATTTTTTATTCCTTTTTCTATGCTCAATTTATTACTGGTTTTATCTCCGCTTTCCTTCTAACCGCTTTTCTAAGCTTAATTCACCATTTTATTAACATCCTTCTTTGTTAAACCACTCGATTATTTTAATTTATTTCTTAAGGAATATTCTTATTTTGTTGCTTCCTTCTTAAAATCTTCAGGTTTATTACTCTAATGAAATTCTTAACTTTTAGATTCATAAAATGCATAAAATTTTTGATATGTTATTTTATCTATTTACAAAACCTTTAAGAGTTTTGAAGGTTTATGAAATATGAAATTCAATAATCCAAATAGATGTAAATTATCAATATCTTAGAATCCTGCTTGTATCATTTCCGCGCAATTATTAATAAATTTCATTCTTTTCTCAAATACATTCAATTTATTTACTGATGATAAATAAGTATTGATACACAACTTTACAAATTCATTGAACAAATCATCTGATTAAGATTATTATTTGTGTTATGAATAGATTTTCATAAATTTCCAAAATTCATCCCTTCTCGATACTTGATCATTCTCAATGACTTTCTATAATGATTATGAAAGAGCTTAAGTAATTGATATTTTTAAATCTCTAATGTAATTATGGTTTTTCATCAATTCCAATATTTAAGCTAAATATTGAATTCCAAATTCTTTATTCAATAAAATCGAAGGACATTAGTTAATTAATTTTATAGAATTATTAAGCAATTCCATTTATTGAACACTCAACTACGGTAAATTCTCTATTATAGAATGTGTGGTTCTTCTTTTTATTTCATTAACATTGTCATTGTCTTCCTCTCTGTTGGACTATCTAATTAATTCTGTAAATAGAAATTCATGCAGATATATATAGAGCAAAGAATATGTTTATGTTTGAATTTCTTGATGCAAGCCTAGACGTTATAATTTGAAATTATTTGTGTAGATCAAATTAGTAATAACTAATTGGAAAATTTAAAGGTGGAATCTCTCTTTGTTTCTATTTTCTAAGATTGTAAAACAATAGTTATAAAAGGATTCACGTATCTCCTTGTAATCACTTTCAGTCTCAATGTCCTAATTCTTCATTTGATTTAACAAAGTTTTTAAGTAATTTTATAAACTTGACGCAAGTAAGTTAGCTACAATTACTATACTCTTGTCGTCTTTGATTTCAAAAATCTAATGAAAGGGATTCAAAATCATCTTAGCATTTGCCAAATTGTTTTTAATTAAACATTCAATCTTTTGAATTGTAATTAGTGTTAACTTCTCCTTAAATATCTTTTAAGAGTATTTAATTATTTCTTTCACGTTATCCTTTACCATCTCCGAATCTTAAAGCACCTAACTACAATTATACACTATTTTGCATAATTAATTGACAACTTAAATATTCTAACTCTTTTAAAAAATCTTCTATATGCTTCCAAAAATTGACTTAATAAATTTACTTTGTATTATTTTGAAATTCAGATTCGCATAAATGTGTAAGAATGGCAACAATAAATTCTACAATAGATATAGTTTTAATAATATACTTCATCTATCAAATCCAATGAAACTTTGGTATTGCTAATAAGATAATTTGTGAATGCATCATTATATTAAGGAGGCCCATCAGATTCTTCCAACCACCAAAATTTCGTATATATAAATTCATATTGTAGAAGAGAGGCATAAAAATATAATCCTAAACTCTAAAATATTTCTCCTTAATTGCTATCAAAGAATGCTGCATACTACTCAGGTGAAGTAACAAATGGATGACTATGAATGAAGGAGATAATAAAGTTGAAACTTTCCTCATAACTTTATAGTTCAAATGGAGCATATTTCAAATAAAACTCAACCAATTTCTCAACTGATTTTATGGGCTTTTCAAACAAATGCAAGATAAAAGTTGAATCATACCTAATTCTTAAATTTTTTGAAAATAGTATTCGAATAAATGCCTAGCAAGTTTTCGGACCAAAAAAATTCGAACCTATTTTTGTAGATTAAGATAATGCCTTTAAAAATATTATTTATTTTCTTTACCTTTAAAAAATTGATCAATCTCAATTAAACACTTTCATTTGGATCAAAGATTAAACTCAAAATTGCTTCTTGTTCCCCTTTCAAAAATTCAAGAACAGATTCTAATGACTTTTTTCTCTCCAGTAAATGCTTATAAATCTTTTCTAGCTCTATCATGGAGGCTTCTCTACACTCGTGATTTTCACTTAAAAATAGATAACCTAATTAATTATGGTATGGATCAGTTGGAATTGAATTATTTAAAAAAGCGCTAAAAAGTATTTAGATTGATTTCTTTTTAATTGCAGATTAAACATCCTGAGTTCTATTTGTAACTAAGTATTCAAAAATATTATTTATAAATTACAGAATCTCTTTTTGTTTATCTTTATTCTCTACAAATATGATGAATTGTAATATTACCATTGATTTCTAAGCAATTAAGTATGGAATTCATAATTATTGAAATAATTTCAATTGCTGCTAATCTTGCTGTCCTAAATTTGGTTTATGACAATGTTGCCAACCAATTAAAGGCGTACTAAAAGAAATGATCACATTCGAATGGCAATTCTGTTTGTGTTGAAAATAAGGTGTCAAAAAAATTGATAAGCTTTTTATTATTCTCTACTTTAAGGCATTATTCCTCATCTATTAGGGTTTATTGATTTTCTGTTTATAGTTGTTCTAATTTGTTGATAATTTCTTCTAGTTTGATTTTCTCCAAATTGAGTCCCTTTAAATATTGATTACATTAATCTAAACCAACTAATTTCAAGTAGAAATTAAGAAAGCTTAATAATACAATCTAACTACTTTCTTATAATTAATCCTCTAATTTTAATATTACTTAAAACTATTTCATGTCTGGATCCTCCATCATGTCTACATATATATGTTGAGTGATTGATACCAAAAATATTGATTAATTTGTATTCGTCTATTGATTGAAGTTGTGATTGCTTTTTAGTTTACTTTTTGGTTCCTTTCCTCATTAATTTGTATTCAAATTTAAATAAATTAATAATTATTTTTTTATATTTCCCTCTTCCCAAAAATTTATTTATAATTAGGATTCTTTTAGTAAATTCAACAGTTATTTAAAAATAAATGTTTAATAGAAGTATAAAAATAAAATCAAGTTTATGACTTATTTTTTAGATTTGGATTGCTTATTGTTTGTAATACTTTAGTAAAAATTTATAAAATGTTACTCATAGAACTATTTCGAATCTTTAATTTATACATCAAAATTATGAATTTGAGATATTAATTTATTGAAATCTTTGTAAAAGTATTATAATTAGAAAATGGGAAAACGAATAACTTACAATAGAACTAGTTAATAAATTTATTAATTAATTGAAATATACAAATTTTAATGAATTTAATATAACAATGTTCATTAAAATCAGACCAATTTGTCACTCAAATGAAAATTTCTTGTTCTTCGAAATTTTATTCTTTTATCCTCATCATGCTACTCTTCCTTAATTTCTGGTTTTGAAATATGCTATAATGGTTTCGAATTTTCTGATAACTAATCTTTGGTAACTTGACCATTGTTCATATCAATTACAAATATGGACTGACGAAAGGAGACTGTTTTTTTATGATGTGGTGGTTAATGCTGATTACTTGATGAACTAGATTGTTCAGGAAGTGACGATTGATGAGTTGGTTGTGTTAAATCGAATTCTTTGGAATTTCTATCATCAATCATTTGAATTGGAGTGCCTCTGTTTACAATAGGAGTGCTTTGTTTTGATATGGGAGAGAGTAAAACTTGAGAATCAGTTGGAAGACTGCTCAGAGTTGAAATTTTATTTTTAGGTGTAGAATAATGAACATTTCTATCGTTATGATCTTCAATTTGAGGCAAGAATTACTGAGATCGATGACTGTCTTTGATGTATAATTTTTATTTTTTTAGTTTTCTGATGGTTGTTTAAACAAACAAAAATTGATCCTAGGAATCTTATTGAATTTAGGTTCTCCTAAACACAGGACTCACAGCTTCACTCTTGGGCAGAGTTTATTTTATTATTTAATAATCAGTAACTTATCTTTTTTAAGGAGATATTAATGGAAGGTGGAAATCAGCCTCATTTAAAAATAGGGATGGTCTAATTGTTCTAGCACTTAGATATTAAGGTAGAGTTGCACCAGATTTTTGTTCCATCATCTTGATATCAGATATAGTTTTTGAATGAGTGTTTGAATGCATAAGATATCGCTGTATATAAAAATTTAATATTTAATTGTCAGTGATTAACTTTAGATGTGGATATGAATTTAGAAATCAAATCATAAGCAATATATACACAAGAATATATTATGTTTAATTATATATATATATTTATATAATAAAAATAATGTCTAATCCAATTATTGAAGATTCAGGAACAGGGTATTATTTCAATCTTTGTTAGATATCTAAAAATAGGATTTGCAGGTGATAATTTTCCATCCCATTCCTTTCCAGCTATGGTAGGACGACCAACACTTAGAGCAGATGAATAATTGGATGATGCCAACTTGAAAGTATAAAGAAATATTCATCGTTTAGGATATTATGATAGGAGATGAGGCTTAGCCATATAGAGGATTATTAGAATTGACTCATCCCTTAGAAGAAGGAGTTGTGAAAAATTGGGAGGATATGGAATTAATTTGGGATTATGGTTATAAGAAAGTAAGAAGATTATAGTAATTGTTAAGTTACGCATTGATCCAAAAGGTTAAACAGTATTGATGACAGAAGCTGCTGGAAATCCAAAGAAAAATAGAGAGAAGATGGCAGAAATTAAGTTTGAGAAATTTGGATTCGCCTAACTCAACGTAGGAATCCAGGCTTTGCTTCCCCTATTTGCAGAAGGGTTGAGAACAGCCTTATTGCTTGATGCAGGAGATGGTGTCACACATTGTATGCCAGTATTCGACGGATTTTGCTTGAATCAAGGAGCTTAGAGAATGAATATTGCAGGAAGACATGTAACAGACCAACTAGTCAAATTATTATTCTAAAGAGGATATGCCTTCAATTCATCAGCTGATTTTGAATTAGTAAGAGAAATCAAAGAGGCATTGTGCTTTGTAAGTTCCGATATCAGAATGGATACTAAATTGGCACAAGAGACAACCTGTCATGAAAGTACATTCAGATTGCCTGATGGAGGAAGAGTTAAGATTGGCCAAGAAAGATACATGGCTCCAGAAATCTTGTTTTCTCCATGGTTACTCGGTAAGGATGCCCCTGGATGTGCTGATATAGTGTTCAATGCCATCTAAGTAATTAATATTTCATATTAAAAATAGAAATCTCCTATCGATGCAAGGAAAACCTTCTATGATAACATCCTCATAAGTGGAGGTACTACAATGTTCCCAGGATTTCCTACCAGATTGTAGAATTAATTGAGAACCATTTTCGAAGAAACCGTATTAAAAGGGAATGCTGCATATGCTGCCAATTCTAAAATTAAAATTAAAGTCTTGGTACTCATTCCAATTTTAATATTCTACTCTAGGATCCCGCAAGAAGAAAGTATAATGTGTTCATTGGTGCTTCTTTCCTGTCTAATGTTATGAAGGATAAAAAGAATTTCTGGATCTCAAAGGAAGATTGGGAAGAATAAGGAGCTGAAAGAGCCATGATGAAAGTTATGGAATCTTTATTATGAAATAAATAGTCGTATTACAATTTGATATTGACAAATAATTATTTCTTAATGTATTAAAAGAATAGTTTGAATGATCTTACACCAATCTCGTAAAGAAAATTAACTCATCAAGGAAAGACCAAAACTTTTTGTCCTTCCTTGTTTTTAAATCAAATTGATAGTTAACCCAAAAAAATTGAGGAAGACAATTTACAAAAACAATTGGAGTTAGAAATACCAGAAGAGATAATACTGCCTAAGACTGTCCGAAGAAGACATGCTATGGGGAATGGATTGTCTCCCTAAAAAACAGATCAAATCCTACCCAATATCCCCAGTCTCTCTTTACATGTGACCATGCAAAAAAGGAACATGGATGATCTCCTCTAATTTCAAGAGATTTAAACTTAAAGGGAGAATACTGAGATGGAGAACATCAACAAAAAGATCAAATCTATCATCAATAGCAACAGAAGATAAGTTTCTTTTTAAACCTCTCATGTTATTATTGATGAATTTGATAATTATGAAGTAGTCCAAGAATTACCAACTTAAAGATACCAAGTCCCAAGGAGACGAACACATCTCAAATAGTTGACAACTGAAATATGAGTACAGTTAAAATTCATTTTATAGTATTATTAACTCTATCATTGACATTCCATTAAATGGATTATTTCCACTATTTAGACAATTTAAATGTATAATAATCTTGATAATTTTCATATTAAATTAATTTAATATATCCATCGATGATATATCATGAATATATTTTGATAAAGTCAAATAATTAATTAATATTTATATACATATGTTTCTAAAAGGAAAAAAAGAATCAAACCCAGATAACTTTAATCCTGGTGTCGGACTTTATGAAATTATCACTAAACTGGAAAAACAAGTACCTATCATGCATTCAGATAAACAAGGCCATCATAAAAAACATGAATCATATCCTCAAAGTGATTCATAACTCTCTTTTGATCGAAAAGTTGATTTAAATTATCCTCTACATAGTTATGCAAGTGGAATTTAAAGAGTCAGATAAAATAAAATATATCAAGAACTCAAAAAGCAAGTTAAATTTGACAAGAAACTAAATGAATTTTATCATGAATTTGATAGTCAAGTGCGTTCAACTATTAAAAAGGGAAAACTTGTTAAACTATAGAAATTATAACAAAGTTCAAAATAATCTTTAAATGATTCCCAATCACTTTATTTAGGATAATAATCACCTATCAGCAAAAAATCTACAAGCCAACAATATTTGAAACATCCACCTAAATTGCAATCATTAGAAAGCTTAGAACTCTTTCTTTTGAGAGATAAATTATAGAAAGTATAAGATGTTCCAGGTCCTGGTTCGTATGAGTTGCCAAGTGTTTTCAAATAATCAGATACCAGAGTCTAACCCTTTGGAAAACAATAAGGAAGAACAAAATACATAGATCAAGAAGCTTCAGTGGGAGTTGGATAATATAATATACAAGATTAATCAATCGTCAAAAGTGTTATAAGGTTTGACAAATACTCCAAAAGAATTAGCATTTTTGAAACCAAATAAAACTCTCCAACATATTATGACAATAACTCAAATCTTATCAGCAATCAATCCAAGCTAAATCTCGAATTTCCTATTGCCTTTGGCTCTACCTCCAAAAGATGAATATTCATTTATATATATAATCCTATTTTTATATCAACACTTTAAATATTGTATTAACTAATTTTATGTGAAATCAATTTGAGTTGTTTCTTATATTTCTTTGGTTTGATCAACTAAACTATTATAGCCTAAATAAATTTTAGACAAAGGAATATGTTAAAATCAGGTTTAGGATATAAAAACAAATCTTTTAATTTGAAATTGATATTACAATTAATTTTAAAAATATTAAGATCTGAAGCTGAGCCGATTGCATTAATAGCTTGAAATTAACTAAAACCTAATAAGGAACACCATCTTTCTAACGATGACTAAGGTTTCTTCAAGAAGTCTGAGGCTTTATTGGAGTTTATTAATAGGTTCTGATATTCAATTTGAAATCTTATAAGGTAAAATAAGGAGATTGAATTTGTTAATATTATTAAATTTATATATGTCAAAGGAATCCAAAAATATTTCGGTTTGTTGAAAGAACCTTGATTTTATTACAATAGGATAATTCATATTTCAAGTAGGAATTGAATTTAAAGTATTTGGATTAAAGTGTAGAAATATATACAAACTCATTCATTCAAATCATAAAGACATAGAATTAAAACAATTTGTATCATTTAATTGTTTTATAAAATAGAAAAATAAAATTTGCTAAAAACAAAAATTAAAGAAATAATAATATCCTCATGTCAAATAAAACCCAAATATCAACACAAGCATAGGCCACTGGTGATGATGTGCCAATAGTGTCTGTAATTTAATAAATAAATTTAAATAATCAACATTACGAGGATGTTCCTCTAAAGACAAGATTACCAGCTTCTTAAATAAACTAAAATTTGAATTTAGGTCAGGAGGTAAGTGATAATTTTCGATAACCTATCCAATATCCTATTCAATAACCTTTGTCATAACATTTTGTAATATAGTAGAGATAATAGCAATATGAAATGATTCAACAAAAAAAGTAATTAGATCAACCTAATGAGGTAGATGATGATAATAAATCATCATATAATTAAGAATTCAAAAAAGAGGATAAATGTATTGTTATATGATAGTACTAAGTAATTTTGCTGGCACCCTCATAACCTTATAGTAGAGAACCTTAAGTTCTAAAATGCGAAAAATGCTAGAATGTTATGATATCAAAGGTGGAATCAAAGCCAGGATGGGGAAGCTGTCTTTGTTGCTGTTTAATGTTTTTAACTCCTTTTTTCTTTTTGTTTTTTTTACCCTTTTGTATGAGAGTATTAAGTATATGATAAATAAGTAATGCAAAGATGCTCATCATTATTGTTAATCCTGCTCAAATAAACTCGGAACATATTATTTTATTTGTGAATGAAAAATGATAGTATATTGTCTTAACTTTTAAATATTTCAAAATAATAATATGATATAATAATGGTTTAGAGCGGAAAAACATAAAATCTCATTTATGTATTTTCACATTCCATAAAAACTTGATTAAAATGTATCTAAGCCGTCCAATCTTTGTTTATATAGACAATAAAACATCAAGTTAATGGAAGATGAAAATATATGAATTAATTGAATTTGAATTAAAATGAAAGAGATTAAAAAAGGCAAAGAGAATATTAAATATATTATGTAGTAGAATCTAATTTAGCTGAAAATATACATATATGAAATATCTCAGATTAATTTTTATTTCTTATAGAAGGGTTTGTTCATTATTGAGCTTCTTATTAAACTAAATGGATTGTTATAGGATTGCTATCCCTAATTTAACATTTAACAATATCGATTTAAGGATGAAAGACATCTTTGATTCTGAAAATATTAAGATTCTAAGTCTCTTCATCCAATACATAAATAGAATCTTTATAAATAGCCATTGACAAATCATCTTGCAATGTTCTTTCATAATCTCTGGGCGCTTTCTCAGCATAAGCTTCTAGATTTTCTTTTTCATTTTTCTTTTTGGCAATTGGATTCTTAATTTTAAATTTCAAACTGACACCAGCTTTGACAAGTTCGAAAACCTCAATAAAAAAGTCTTCTTCAGTTTTGTAATAAGATATGAATAATTTGGGACTTACCATATCAACAATTGGTTTTGTAAATCTTGAATTTACGAATGGAGATTTGAAGGATAAATCAACATTGAATTCCCAATTATCTTTCAATATATCATAGGTGAAATAAATGAGTTTATCCGAAGTCAGATCGATCTCACTTGAAACACCACCAAATAAGTATATCATATTCTTGTCTGCATCATGTAGGGCTGTTCCTCCATATATGTTGATCGGTAGATTTTTTAAAGGCTTCCTACAGAAATTTATTAGAACAATAATTTTACCATTATTTGGTCTTAATGGTGTAGACAAAGACCTTATCAGTAATTTATTTGTTAAGGTTTTCTCCAAGTTCATAGCCTCCAATGACATAGATCTTGCCTTCAGCATATAACAGAGAGGGACTCAAGATAGGGGCCGGTATGTCAGGCAATCTCTTTAAAGTAACAGTCTGTGTATCCTTGTGCTTATTGTATGCGCATTCATAAAGGTGCTAAGTTTTCATATCCTCTTTAATAGCTCCAGATATATAAATAACATCGATAAAGTTAAATGTGAACATGCAGTGTTTAGAAATTTTAAAGTTAGTTTAGTTTGGTTTTAAGATGCAGACTTTCATAAATCTTGGGTCCTTCATATTTTCTAATGGAGTTATGATAATGTAATTCTGGCCATAACCAACCCATAAGATTGCCTAAGCCTTGCTTTGCATCTCATTGAATTCAATATTTTAAGCTGTCAATGATTTGCTTAAATTCAAGGCTGAATTCAATACATTGACATAGGGTGTTTTCTTAGGTAATTTGTAAATAGACTTTAAAAATTCGCTGAGACCATCGTAAGCAGTGATTTAAGAATTTGAAAAATCCATTGCGTCAATATCTTACACTCTTTAAAGTGTAGCTAGACAATATAGAACCTTCACTGCATCATCAATATCTGTAGAAAAATTCTTCCTATTAGCTACATACCAACCTGATATTTTAATAATTCCAGCTTTAGTAAAGCATAAGCTATTAGTTGATAAATTTCCATGTTCCATATGATTGTCTTTCAATTCTTTTAAAGCCTTAAAGATAATTTTTACAATCAATGCTAATTCTTTTGCTTCAAAAGGATTTTTATAGAGTCTTCTGTTTTCTACTTCAGAATCTAAAGTAGTTGAAATTTCCTCATTGACATAATACATATAAAACGAATTTTCTAAGATAAAAGTTTTGATTACTTTCTTCTGAACATGCAAAATATTCAATAGGAGTCAATAGAATTTCTGAAAGAATCTTCTTATTAAATGCTTGGAACAACTAGGATACTTCTACCAAAGACTCAACTTTGATCTGATGTAAATAAAATTTTTGCTTTTCTTCTACAGTTTCAGCACTTAAATAAGCCTCATTCTGATCTGCATATAAGTCTTTAATCACACCATATTATCTGACATGCTGATAATCATAATTATTAAATAATACCTTTGAATATCTTCGAAACACACTTTCATCCACCTATTTTTATTATGCCTTTACAACAAAGCTTAGCGTTTTGGGAATGAAAAGCAGTAAGTCTTAATTAGTGTGCAAAGAATAGCAATTTAACAATTCTATGCAAGCTTAATTTGGCAGAATATTAAAAACACAATGAACTGTCTCTATCTCCTTTCTAGCCAAGCAATGCAAATATCCATTCTAAAATAAAAAATTATGTCCTCCAGCATCCAAACACTTTAATTCAAAAGGTTGGTTTCTGGTTTCATAAGCATTCTGATACAAAATAGGATTTTCTTTGTTGTTCTCTTTGTAATTCTATAATTAGGTAAGAGAAGCCAAAGAATAAAAACATCTAAAATTAAAATCCAAAATCAGCATGTTTTTTGATGCCTACATTAAAAATACACCATGCTGAACTTCTATACAAAATACGATATGTTTAATTTTAAAGTTTAATAGACAAAATTACTTGAATATTTCATCAGTACTGCATGCAAATCTCAATAATCCTTCTTTGAAATTTCCTTTTCTTTTTGAAATATCGTAATAGCAATATCTGATTCCATTTTAGAATACATTATTGTAATCAGGTATACAATAAATGTAATTGTTATGTGGATCAAAGAAATGAAAAGAACTTCTATGCCATTAGAAATTCTTCGGCCCTTAATAGATCTTGATTACCTTTTTTGTTATGTACTCATCATCTCCATAATTATAGACATCTTCTTCATTATCATTTTTTACTAACTCTAAATTAAATGACACTTCAAAAGAATTAAAATACACTTCTTAAGTAGCTTCATCTACTTACTATTATTAATTCATAACCATAATTTTTGATAATAATTTTGGTTCTTACTCCAAGACATTCTACTATTATTATTATTACTTGTTGCCCTTTTTATTATCTTTCTTATCTTCAATCACTTCTAAAGGCTATTCTTAATTAGCTTCATCTTCAGTTGCAAAATTAATCACCAATAGTTATGGATCTTCGAATTTGACGTTCTTTATATTCCTAAACAATTCAACTTCTCGCTTTTAACTAATACTTCCTCTGTCATGTGATTCATCATACACCTTTAACAGGAATGTAGATGTGTTGTGACTAAAGAAGAAGAACTTATCTTCGGTTGGATGATAAACTACATCAGATTCAATTTTGAATGGCTGCTTCTTTCTATAAACCTTCAAAAAATGAAATTTATTAGTTTCGTAATTATACAAATGAATTTGATTTGCTTTAGTAAAATATAACCAAGGAGATGCTTCAGGCAATGTCTTTTCCTTATGATATTATAGATAGGCTCCAAGTGAATCATTTTTAAAATAGGTTTGCATTCCTTTTTATCGAACACTTCTTATGGCATGATTAATCTCACTCATTTTTGGAATGTCAAATTTATCAAAGACACTCATTTGCTCGATTAACTGCATAATCATTTAAGGCACATCATTTTCAAATTGAGATGCTATTGACTATTTATAGTTATCAACCAATCTAAACTGATTAAGCATATATATATATACCCTTCCCATTCATCTTAATTCAATCGAAGTTCAATTAGTGAATCAAAAGTGTAAATCTTATGATCAACCAGAAACAGAAATAATAATGAAAAAATCACACAATCATATATGTAGTAATCACTTTCTTATTAAACAAAGTGTTTGATAATTTTCTAATATACTTAAATTTAATACTTATTCTTTATGATTCGTTTATATAGATGGATTACTTAAGAGAAATTTTTTACCGTCCTTTGTTAAAATGCTTTCAGGCCTTAGGAAACGATATGCGAACTTTTCTTTGTGTAGCTAATTTAATGCATCGCTAACTTGTTCCAAAATGAGTAAACTTTGCATTAGAGATTCTAATTTTAAATGTTCCAGAGAGTCGCTCAACGTATTGTATTTTGGTATCATTCTATCTATTGCATAGAGTGTTTTTTCTGGCCTCAATTAAACATTTGTTGATTCAAATTAACTGATTGTTAATGAAGTAAACCTTAACAAACCTTCAGCGCTGACTTTGTTCATGTTATACAAATATGATATATTATTCGAGGCATTATCAAAGCTATCAAAAAGAGAACGCTTAAATATTAATTATGTTCCAAAACCCTAAACTATTTCATAATTAAGTTACATCTAGAACTTCAGCTGTAATTGATGAAGTAGTTGTCTTTAGAATTCTTGCTACTTTATAACCTTTTGGTTTCAGTAGATTCGTGCAGTGCTTCATTGGATCATCCCAGTTCACTAAATCTTCATCTTGGATATCCAATTTATGAATTTGATTAATCTCTTATGTTTTTTTATTTAATTGTTGCTAGAACACAGATTATGATGAAATTGTTTGCCCTGACCTTAAACCTAAATGTGCTTTCTTTGTTTTTGGAATTACTCTTTTATTATTCGTTCCACAAATAGAACCCATATGAGAATTTAATTATAATTATTATTGTTATTTGTATAATAATATTTACTTATATTGTTTGTTTAAACTAAAACCTCATTTTTTAAATTCTAAATTCAACAATTTTGTCATCTAAATAAATATTTATATTTCATTAATGTAGAAAGAAATGAACCATAATTTATTTTAGTATTCAATTTTGGCTTCACTGAAAAAGTGATGAGAACAAAACCATGTTTCCCTCTCGACTTATAAGCATGAGTCCTTCATAAGAAATTTGAATACTCATCTTTAGTTGGTTTAGTATCTTAATTTTAGCTTGATAGAGTTCCATCCAAAATTTAATTACAACTATAATATTAAGATAATTAGAAAATTTATTTAGAAAATGTAGTTCGTTTTGTTGAATTTTGAGATTTCATATAAATTTATAAATTCTATTATTCATTAATAATACATTTAAACAGGATATTTGCTATAAAATCAAACCCTTTGAAAATAGGATTGTATCAAGCATCTAAATGTTCAGAAACTAAAAATCGTATCTGAAATCAAGTGGTTTACAATTTATTTCTAAATGAATATTGTAATAATATTTTAAAACTGTTATTATTATTATTATAAAAATTTAATTTGCGATGAGTAGTGCTAATTTGGTGCAAAAATCACTATTGCAATTTTAAACCCCCCACAAGCAAGCGCATAGACAAATTTGCATCTAATAGTGGAAGAATAATAAAACTAGTAAGTATCAATAAGGAATAAGTATAATTTTTGATAGAAGAAACTACGAGAAATCTATTCACTAATTTTATAGCAGCAATTGAATAAACTTGGAAGGTGATAGAGATATTGGAAAAAAATAAAACTACTGAGATCTAATCATTATTCGGAAAGGTAAGATTGGGATAAAAATAAATTCAACACACAAAAGACATTCAGGAATTATAAGAAAATAGTGGGATGAAATTAAGAGAAGACTAAGATGAATAAGATGAGTAAGAAATTATTGAAGAATAACCAGCATTGGAAATAACGAGAGAGGGTAGTAAGGCTATTGTGGCAGTTGGAGGAGTCATAACCAACGAACATGTGAAGTGCTTAGCAAAATATGCTAAAATACATATTGTTATATATAATGCAAACAAGAAAAAATATTTTAATTTCTGGTTCGATAATTATGATAAAATTGTTTATCTTTACAGAAAGAATTGATTATTTAGTGAATTTATAAGGAGAAACGATTAAAGAAGATCCAACAATAATGGTAGAAAGTACTAGGGTAGAACTATCAACCGTATAATAGATAAGAGATGTTTGGATTCAGAAAAAATCTAATGGGCAATTAAAGGATGCATGAGGGTTAATTTAACAACTAATGGAGGACTATAGTTAATTTAATGGGCTATTGGGTAATTATGGAAGTGATTTTCAACCATAACCTGGCTATTATAGAAGGACAAAATTCAGAGAATACCCTCAAGGTTTTGCCCTTTTGGTTAAAGAAGAAGGAATAATGAAGCTTAAGGTTGAGTGCTGACAGATGACTCAGCAAAATTTATAGGCAAGTCTAGGCAGGTGAACTAGAACTTGTCTTAAGGGAAACCAAGTAATAAAAATTATTAGATCGTTTCCCTCAATCACCATAACACAAGAAGCACACTCTCGGAATAAAAAGTTTAATGTTGGCTCGATAAGGAAGGTGGAAGTCAAGTAGCAAAATAAAACTAACCGCATATTATTTGTCTAAAGGAGACACGATAAAAATCTATCCAAAACTCTCCTTCATACACTTTGTTCATAAAGAAGGGAGGACTGAACACTAAGGAGGAGTGGTTATTATAATACACTCTTGTATTGATTTTACTGACGTCTCGGACAAGGTTAGTCCTCCTAATCTAGCAGATTATGACTCTATTGCTAAAAATTGTAGAAACAGCTGCTTAGATTTAATCATTCTAAATTTCTACTTCCCTAACAAATAAATATTTAATAAGAATAACAATTTTTCAAATCAATGGATATAAGATCTAATGTTCAACAAAAAGTAATGTTAAAGAATCATTTTATGTGGAGATTTTAATCATAATAACGTACATTTAGACTAATTGACTAACATTTAGAATAATCAGACCTGAAATTCACTAGAACAACCTTAGAAAAGGTAGTGTAATCCCTCTTAGACTCCATTTTTACTCAAGACAAGCATACAGCAAGAAAAATCACCTATTTACTAAACTCTCAGATCATGCAAGAATTAACTATCAACTAACTCTTTAAGGACCTAAAATCAGAAAAAACATAGGATTAGCTGGAGTAAGACGAACGCTTATAACCTCAACTAAGAAGCACATTAAAATGTAATGATTTTTAAACATGGTACAACTATGTAAGATATAATCTAAGAAAACGACAAGTAATTAAAAAGATCCTTGTAACTTTACCAAATCAAGCTAAAAGAAAATAAACAATTTAAGTATAATTTATGAAAATGGCTACATTATTTATTCAACCAAACTTCAAGTCAGCTTTCCAAAATATAAAAGAATGGCAACTCTTAATCCTCAAAAAACGAAGCTCGCATCTTTTGATGCTTCAAGGATGACCAAGGTAATATATATACTTACCTAGACTGTGAATAAAATTTACTACAAGAATTAGACAGAATTTCCAAGAGAAGTATATATCAGCCTCTCAGCCTTACTATTTTGCCCCCTATGTCAAATGAAGAAATTCAAAAGCTATAAAAACTCATGTCAAGGATAAAGTTATTACTATAGATGGTATATCAGACACTTTTATTAGGAAAACAAAAAATCCAAACATATTAAAGATCTCTGGAATGATAATACTCGCCAAATAAATAAATATATTGGTCAAGCTAGTGTCGTCCCACTAAATAAGTTATACACAAAAATCCCCTCAAAATAGCGCTTTAGACCTTTCACAATACTTAGCCCATTATTTGCAAGATTTAAAGAATTTGCGAGCATCATCTAAAATATGAACAAATGGCTTCATATCTAATAGAGGAACATAAGTAGATATAGAGAAATTAGTCTCTTATTTAGACAGTGTAAATAGAAAGGAGAGGAAATGTTTAATCTTTATAAATTTTTCAAATGCATATTGCACCTTCATCAGAATCAAGTTATTTTAAATTATGGAAGAAAAATAAGTATTAAACTTGAACGAATTAACATTCCTAAAAGGACTATACTCGTTACTTCATTATTAAGACCCTATCAAAGAATAGAAAAATGTTGGTTTAAGAATGGAGGCGTCTAAGGATCCCCATTATCACCATCACTATTCAATATTTACTTGGATGCTTTCTTATAAGATTTATCTTCAAAATGAATCAGGAGCTGAATGTTAGAGCTTATGCAGATGATCTAGTTTTTATTGTAGACTGTAAAGATGCGGATTAGTTTATTTGTTTACTCGAGGAAAATAGTAGATTATGGAACTTAAATTTAAATAAAGCATAGTCAGGAATATTTCTTATTGAATAATATAAAGCCAGACCAGAAATAATAAAGGGTATATAAATCTTAAAGAATTACAATTATTTGTATTTTTTGAATTCAAAATAATGTTGTTTAATATTGGGACTAAGATTAATTTGATTATATATTAAACTCATTTAATAATATATTTGCATAATTTTTTGTAAAATTTTTCCTCAACTAAATTCCTTATCTTACGAAATTAGACATTCTTGTAGCGATATCTATTGAAAATCTAACAATAAAATTTAGATAGATTATAAAACAAAAGATATTTGATTTATATGTTAAAGATCAAATAAATTATTTCGATAATTAATTTTTTTAAAGTCCATAAGAATTTTTAATATTCTAAAGTGAAAAATTCAAAGGTTACATAAAATTATTAAAAGCAATTTGATTTAATTTAAAAATTATTCATTTTAACAATATAGCTAGTTTTCAAGTTTGGAGATAGGTTTACTTCTTAAATCCCTATATTACAATAACGTAAACAATTGCAAATATTAATTTCAAACTATTTCATTAATGAAAGAATTTTAGATAATTGAATAAACATGTATGGAGATAAAGCCAATAGTGAATTATTTTTCTATCCATTTGAAAAGTTATTAGCTTTTTAATTCACTCAATTAATTTCTATTGTTCATCTAAATTTAATAATAGAATATTTCAATTATTGTAATACTTATAGTTCTATAGATAATAGATAAAAAATTTTTTCAATTAATCAGAAGATAATAAAAGTTAGTTTCAATAGCATTTTTTGGATGGTTTTACTTATATCTTCCCAACATTTTGTAAAGGTATATTTTAGCAATTTTTCAATAATCCTTCTTTTTTCTTCAATTTTACCATATTTTAATACTTTGTGTTTGAAAATTAGGAAGATGAACAAAATGGGGAGGCTGTGTAAAGCTTAAATATAATTTTTAAACATTTTGGAAATTAGCCTAAAATTTGTTAAAGAATCTATCACATCTATTAATTATTAGAGAATAAAAAAATAATAAAATTTATGACCAATTCACTAAAGTAAATAATTTTATTATTAAGTAAACAGGATAATTAAAATATATATATTTGTATGTTCAATAAATATAATAAGGAAAATTGAGATAAAAAATTATATATACAAAAACGTCAACGAAAATCAACCAGAATTAAAAAAAAAGTATATTTAAAAGATTAATAAAAGAAACATAATATATCATTTAATCAATCTATCAATTAATCAAATAAAGTTATAGAATAATTTAAATAGTATTCTAAAATAAATTATTGTAGGAAATTTATCAATACATATATATTTCAACAACTTGTATTGTTTAATATTCTTGTACATTGAAATTTATGGAATTAATTTCCCACAATCCAACTTTTTTGCTTTTACAATATAGTCCATTAGAAGTGTAGATTTCATCAAACCCTTTAGACTAGAATTCGACCCATTTACCAACCTAATGACCATGGCCTGAATCATCATAAAATCCGCCACCACTAAATATAGATTATTGTTAAAATTATTAAAGATATTTATACATCTTTTTGTTAATTTCGTCATGTTTAATCCAAATATCCCATCTACCTACTTTTTTGCCATTTTGATATTCACCATTCAAAGTAACTTATTAGTCATAAAAAAAATTATATGAAATTTCGATCCATTACCCTGTTTTATATTCATCAATATCATCATATAATCCACCACCACTAAATTTGAAAATTAGATTTTAACAAAAACTATATAAGGTATTTGTACATCTTTTAGTTAATTTCTTCATTTTTAAACCAAATATCCCATCTACCTACTTTTTTTCCATTTTTATAGTCACCATTCAAAGTAACTTATTTGTAATAATCAAAACCATCTGAAATTTCCACCCAATTACCTGTTTTTTATTAATCACCTGCATCATCATATAATCCACCACCACTAAATTTGAAAATTAGATTTTAACAAAAACTATATAAGGTATTTGTACATCTTTTAGTTAATTTCTTCATTTTTAAACCAAATATCCCATCTACCTACTTTTTTTCCATTTTTATATTCACCATTCAAAGTAACTGATTTGCAATAATAAAAACCATCTGGAATTTCCACCCAACTACCTGTTTTTTATTAAACACCTGCATCATCATATAATCCACAACCACTAAATTTGAAAATTAGATTTTAACAAAAACTATATAAGATATTTATACATCATTTAGTTAATTTCTTCATTTTTAAACCAAATATCCCATCTACCTACTTTTTTTCCATTTTCATATTCACCATTCAAAGTAACTTATTTGTAATAATCAAAATCATCTGAAATTTCCACCCAATTACCTGTTTTTTATTAATCACCTGCATCATCATATAATCCACCACCACTAAATTTGAAAATTAGATTTTAACAAAAACTATATAAGGTATTTATACATCTTTTAGTTAATTTCTTCATTTTTAAACCAAATATCCCATCTACCTACTTTTTTTCCATTTTTATATTCACCATTCAAAGTAACTTATTTGTAATCATTAAAATCATCTGAAATTTCCAACCAATTACCAATCTTAATACCATCACCAGCATCATCATAAACACCCCCGCCACTTAATTTGTTCAAATAAATTAATTTTAACTAAAAATTATATTTTTACATCTTTTCATTATTTTCTTTGTTCTTATACCAAATATCCCATCTACCTACTTTTTTTCCTTCTTTATATTCACCACTCAAAGCAATATATAAGAATTCTTAAAAATCATCTGATATTTCCAACCAATTCCCAATCTTAATACCATCACCATCATCATCATAAACTCCCCCGCCACTTAATTTGTTCAAATAAATTAATTTTAAACTAAAATGTATATATATACATCTTTTTATTTAATCCTTCATTTTTAAACCAAATATCCCATCTACCTACTTTTTTTCCATTTTTATATACACCATTCAAAGTAACTTAGTTGTTACTAAAAAAACCATCTGAAATTTCCAACCAATTTCCAATTTTGATACCTTTACCAGCATCATCATAATATCCTCCGCCACTTTATAAGTTCAAATAAATTAATTTTAACTAAAAATTATATTTTTACATCTTTTCATTATTTTCTTTGTTCTTATACCAAATATCCCATCTACCTACTTTTTTTCCATTTTTATATTCACCATTCAAAGTAACTTATTTGTCATTATCGAAATCATCTGAAATTTCCAACCAATTTCCAATTTTGATACCATTACCAGCATCATCATAATATCCTCCACCACTTTATAAGTTCAAATAAATTAATTTTAACTAAAAATTATATTTTTACATCTTTTCATTATTTTCTTTGTTCTTATACCAAATATCCCATCTACCTACTTTTTTTCCATTTTTATATTCACCATTCAAAGTAACTTATTTGTCATTATCGAAATCATCTGAAATTTCCAACCAATTTCCAATTTTGATACCATTACCAGCATCATCATAATATCCTCCACCACTTTATAAGTTCAAATAAATTAATTTTAACTAAAAATTATATTTTTACATCTTTTCATTATTTTCTTTGTTCTTATACCAAATATCCCATCTACCTACTTTTTTTCCATTTTTATATTCACCATTCAAAGTAACTTATTTGTCATTATCGAAATCATCTGAAATTTCCAACCAATTTCCAATTTTGATACCATTACCAGCATCATCATAATATCCTCCACCACTTTATAAGTTCAAATAAATTAATTTTAACTAAAAATTATATTTTTACATCTTTTCATTATTTTCTTTGTTCTTATACCAAATATCCCATCTACCTACTTTTTTTCCATTTTTATATTCACCATTCAAAGTAACTTATTTGTCATTATCGAAATCATCTGAAATTTCCAACCAATTTCCAATTTTGATACCATTACCAGCATCATCATAATATCCTCCACCACTTTATAAGTTCAAATAAATTAATTTTAACTAAAAATTATATTTTTACATCTTTTCATTATTTTCTTTGTTCTTATACCAAATATCCCATCTACCTACTTTTTTTCCATTTTTATATTCACCATTCAAAGTAACTTATTTGTCATTATCGAAATCATCTGAAATTTCCAACCAATTTCCAATTTTGATACCATTACCAGCATCATCATAATATCCTCCACCACTTTATAAGTTCAAATAAATTAATTTTAACTAAAAATTATATTTTTACATCTTTTCATTATTTTCTTTGTTCTTATACCAAATATCCCATCTACCTACTTTTTTTCCATTTTTATATTCACCATTCAAAGTAACTTATTTGTCATTATCGAAATCATCTGAAATTTCCAACCAATTTCCAATTTTGATACCATTACCAGCATCATCATAATATCCTCCACCACTTTATAAGTTCAAATAAATTAATTTTAACTAAAAATTATATTTTTACATCTTTTCATTATTTTCTTTGTTCTTATACCAAATATCCCATCTACCTACTTTTTTTCCATTTTTATATTCACCATTCAAAGTAACTTATTTGTCATTATCGAAATCATCTGAAATTTCCAACCAATTTCCAATTTTGATACCATTACCAGCATCATCATAATATCCTCCACCACTTTATAAGTTCAAATAAATTAATTTTAACTAAAAATTATATTTTTACATCTTTTCATTATTTTCTTTGTTCTTATACCAAATATCCCATCTACCTACTTTTTTTCCATTTTTATATTCACCATTCAAAGTAACTTATTTGTCATTATCGAAATCATCTGAAATTTCCAACCAATTTCCAATTTTGATACCATTACCAGCATCATCATAATATCCTCCACCACTTTATAAGTTCAAATAAATTAATTTTAACTAAAAATTATATTTTTACATCTTTTCATTATTTTCTTTGTTCTTATACCAAATATCCCATCTACCTACTTTTTTTCCATTTTTATATTCACCATTCAAAGTAACTTATTTGTCATTATCGAAATCATCTGAAATTTCCAACCAATTTCCAATTTTGATACCATTACCAGCATCATCATAATATCCTCCACCACTTTATAAGTTCAAATAAATTAATTTTAACTAAAAATTATATTTATACATCTTTTCATTATTTTTTTTGTTCTTATACCAAATATCCCATCTACCTATTTTTTTTCCATTTTTATATTATCCATTCCAAGTCATTTATTTGCAATTATTAAAATTATCTAATATTTCCACCCAATGACCTATCTTCCGACCAAAGCCTACACTATCATATATTCCTCCTCCTCTAATTTTGTTCAATTTAATTATTTTGAAAACTACATATTATTTTTATACATCTTTTAATTATTTTCTTAGTATTTAAACCATATATCCCATTTGCCTATTTTATTTCCATTTCTATATTCTCCAGTTAAAGTTACTTAAGATTATTCTATGAAACTTTTGGTTATTTCAATCCAATTTCCATTTTTTTAACCAAAGTTATTATACTTACCTCTTCCTCTAATTAGTCTTTTATAATAAATATACATTTCCTGATCATTATAAATGTATTTCCATACTCCTTTACGTAGGTTATTTTCATACTCTCCTACTTCATAAACTTTCGCTAAGCTATATTATTTAATCTGACACATACTCATTATAATTTTCTATGATTTCTTTCCATTTACCTTATTTTTTCCCATCTACAGAATATAAGCCACCACAACCTATCAATCTTTCTCCTCTCCATAATGCTGTCCATAATCCTACTTTTTAAGAGTTTTCCCCATTCACAGCAATCCATTTAAAATGCTTAAGCACTTCTAAATTTTTTATGATATTAGGTTTTTAAAATATTACGTTTTGTTAAAGTCTTTAAGCTATTATATTAAATATTACGTGTAAATAATTTCGCCATTATGAATATAATTCAGTTATCTATTTTCATTAATATGAATTTAGAATTTTATTTTCTTTAATCCTCCAAATTACTTTTTTAAACCATCATATTAATGAGTTTTATTATACCAAAAGACTGCTTAAAATTAATCTTGGATTGATTAAATTAATTTTTAAGTTTCTTTTATAAACAAAGTATCGATTTAGTTTAATTATCTTAATTAAAAGCTTTTTTCAGAATTCCAAATACTTAAATCGTTTCCTGATAAGATATTCACTAGCTTGTCTATCTATGCTTATGGTAAATCTTAAGGAGAAATATCAAATTTAATCAACTTAAGATATTTCTCATCTTCTCTCTCAATCATATCATAAATCGTTTAGATCGATTGATTCATATTCTCCCATAAATTTTTTAAGAATATCTCTCTTTCGCTCAGCATTTATTTTAAATTCATGTGCGATTATGTCAACTAAATTTTAGCTATGAATTTTACTTCTTCCTTCTACTTTAATAGTTGCGCTTCAAATTTCTGGATTGGAAGTAAATACTTAGTTTCAACCCCATGGTCATAGAAACAATCAACACAAAGCTTTCTTTAGCACTTATGTAATGCAACACAAATTAATGAAATCGGATTCAAAGTATGATCTTAACAATTCATAATGATATTTTATTTAATATTGATTTCTATTACTTGTTATTTATGTAAAGATAATATCAAAAGCATATATTGAAAAATAGAAAATTTAAATATATATGTCGAAATGGTTTAAATACTGTAAACAAGAGTTTCTTGGAAATTTTGTTAAGATGGATTTCATGAATTCTTTTCATTAAATAATTATCGATATTTTACATTCATATTATTTTTAATGATAATCCTACATAAAGGGTTGACGAAAATTCTATTGAGCATTCTTATCAGTAATAATAAATTAATTGTTCTAGAATATGTAGAGCAAGGATATAATTAATGAATTATTTCAAGTTCTTTAATAAACTTTTCAATTGTAGTTTTGATTTTTTCTCACTTTAAAATGCTTGAAGAAATTTTTTGTAAAGTAATTAACAATCATGTTCATTTTGATTACCTTGCATTAATAATATTGGTCAACTTAAATTGCTTTTTGCTTTATATTTTTAAATAAGTTCTTAATTTTACTTCTGAACTTTTTGTCATGAATCTTTGTAAATATCATTATAGCTTTTTGAGGTGCTCTTAACTTGGAATGTTTTATCTATTATGATCAAAAATATGTTACGATTAGAATTATTTATGTTAATATTAGAAGGCGCCTTAAGTAGGGATTTAGAATTAAACTTTCTCAGTGACAAATTAAATGTTTCTTTAAAAGAATATATAATTTTATTTTGATTTATTATTTTAGTAATTTTAATAATTTTATTACTGTAGATAATGAGTAAAATTAATTATTTTTCAATGTCTTTTAAACTTTATATACTTTAAGTCTTTGGTCGATTCGGCTATTCTAATTGTAGAATATAAAAATAAATGGTTAGGTTTAGATTGATACTTTGTAACTTATGAACTTTAGATTTTTGGAGTCGGTAAATGTAGCACATAAAATATACTAATTTAGAAAGCTTTTGTTGTTAAATTAATTGTAATTGACAAGACTATCGACCCTCAATTTAAGTCCTTATCTTTCATATTTCTGGTAATTTTAGTTCTTCAAAATAATTCATAAAATTTGCCAAGCAATATATGTCAGTAAGTTAAAATCATCTATAAAATATATTTAATGAATCCACATATAAAGCAGTAAATTACCCTTTACACTAACATATACAACAAATACTAATTATAAGGAGGACACAATGATTAAGTTATAGATTCACTTTCCAAAAAAAATTACTGTTTAACTGTAATTTCANTTTCGCTCAGCATTTATTTTAAATTCATGTGCGATTATGTCAACTAAATTTTAGCTATGAATTTTACTTCTTCCTTCTACTTTAATAGTTGCGCTTCAAATTTCTGGATTGGAAGTAAATACTTAGTTTCAACCCCATGGTCATAGAAACAATCAACACAAAGCTTTCTTTAGCACTTATGTAATGCAACACAAATTAATGAAATCGGATTCAAAGTATGATCTTAACAATTCATAATGATATTTTATTTAATATTGATTTCTATTACTTGTTATTTATGTAAAGATAATATCAAAAGCATATATTGAAAAATAGAAAATTTAAATATATATGTCGAAATGGTTTAAATACTGTAAACAAGAGTTTCTTGGAAATTTTGTTAAGATGGATTTCATGAATTCTTTTCATTAAATAATTATCGATATTTTACATTCATATTATTTTTAATGATAATCCTACATAAAGGGTTGACGAAAATTCTATTGAGCATTCTTATCAGTAATAATAAATTAATTGTTCTAGAATATGTAGAGCAAGGATATAATTAATGAATTATTTCAAGTTCTTTAATAAACTTTTCAATTGTAGTTTTGATTTTTTCTCACTTTAAAATGCTTGAAGAAATTTTTTGTAAAGTAATTAACAATCATGTTCATTTTGATTACCTTGCATTAATAATATTGGTCAACTTAAATTGCTTTTTGCTTTATATTTTTAAATAAGTTCTTAATTTTACTTCTGAACTTTTTGTCATGAATCTTTGTAAATATCATTATAGCTTTTTGAGGTGCTCTTAACTTGGAATGTTTTATCTATTATGATCAAAAATATGTTACGATTAGAATTATTTATGTTAATATTAGAAGGCGCCTTAAGTAGGGATTTAGAATTAAACTTTCTCAGTGACAAATTAAATGTTTCTTTAAAAGAATATATAATTTTATTTTGATTTATTATTTTAGTAATTTTAATAATTTTATTACTGTAGATAATGAGTAAAATTAATTATTTTTCAATGTCTTTTAAACTTTATATACTTTAAGTCTTTGGTCGATTCGGCTATTCTAATTGTAGAATATAAAAATAAATGGTTAGGTTTAGATTGATACTTTGTAACTTATGAACTTTAGATTTTTGGAGTCGGTAAATGTAGCACATAAAATATACTAATTTAGAAAGCTTTTGTTGTTAAATTAATTGTAATTGACAAGACTATCGACCCTCAATTTAAGTCCTTATCTTTCATATTTCTGGTAATTTTAGTTCTTCAAAATAATTCATAAAATTTGCCAAGCAATATATGTCAGTAAGTTAAAATCATCTATAAAATATATTTAATGAATCCACATATAAAGCAGTAAATTACCCTTTACACTAACATATACAACAAATACTAATTATAAGGAGGACACAATGATTAAGTTATAGATTCACTTTCCAAAAAAAATTACTGTTTAACTGTAATTTCAAGGTGATTTATGTTGAACGGAAATATCTAATATCAATTACCCATCGATGGATGCTCTTGTGGATGTGATTCATGTGGCCCAAGTTAATCTTAGGTTTAACAATAAATTCTTATTTCAATATTTTAGACAAACATAGACTCTACTATAAAGTCGACTTACTAAGTTATGCATAAGTGATTCATAAATTAAGGTATGAATATTAAAGATCATTAGCTATTATATGGAAAGACAAATTTACTTTAGATTCTCACAGTCTGATAAATTAAGTAATGGAATTCAATATGCAAATGTTAATAATCCAAACCTAACAGTGATAGTGGATAAACACTATATATTATGATATATTAATACCATCAAATTCAAAATTAGCTTTCTCTATAACTCCAACAAGTAACTAATCATTTCAAAATTAGTTTATTGTTAAAATAAAATATAAATTAAAAACAAAGAAAATCTTCCTGGTTAGAAGCTACTTATGGAAATTTAGTAAATTTAATAATATGATGCTTGATTTTTTAAAATTGATGTATTAACCTTGTGTTTCTGTTTAAATGAGATTCTTTCAACACTTAATCAATCAGACTGTATCAATATGGTAACCATTTTTGGTTCTCGTAAATCTAATTTAAAATACGAATTAAGAAAAAAATTTTTATGTAATTTTATGTTTTATTTAAATCATCCATAATATGGCTAATTTGGATTTTGATAACCTTGTGGATTATGATTTTAAGCTGGAACTAAAACTCCGCCAGTGGCAGGTTGATACTTATAAGAATCATCAAACTGTACAGCAACAGGCTAAATATAATAGTAAATTGAATATTACGTTCATAACTTGTGGATTCCATCCAGAAGGAGCCACAACTGGTTAATCATAACTTGGTATCGGCTTAGCTACAATCCTAATTGGAAATTCTATTCCTGGAGTTGTTGTACAGCATAAACAAGTTCCATCTAAATCTCCAGTAGCAGAGAGTTGATAATTATTCATCACTACCTTTCCATTTGTAGTTGGATCCAAGGGTTAATTTCTTCCTTAATCAACTAATGATAAGGTCATGTTCTTTCTTTGTTCATTTAGAGCAGATTAGCCTGCTTGAAGTCCTGGAATCATTGAAGTTCCGCAACTTCTATGTATTAATTTAGAGTGGCCCTATTTACTCACAATTCTTAATGTATTTGTCAATCTTCCTGTGATTGTCGGAATGCCAACTTTTGATTGAGAATTATCAATCTCTACTTGTAGTTAAGCAATTTCACCAGGCTAATAAGCTGTTTTATCAAATTGAAACTTAAATAAAATAGTCTAAGGTTATATTTAATTAAATATACTCCTAATGGTATACAGCAACATGAAGTTGGCTATAAAACTTATGAGCCTTCGCTTTAATTGATTTACTCCTTAATTGGTTCTCGAACAAGAAATTCTTATTTATATTTGACCTTATCTAAATTTTTATTTGGCGAGTCTATTTCTGCCTTAACACTATATCTTATTCTGCACTCTAAATCCTTTTCCTGATATTCAAACGAGCCTGGCAAGTTTTCTTTCAATTTAAAACTGAATGGAAATGTATATTGTCCTAAAGGAATCATTCTATCATAATGTGAATAGATACCCTTGTTAAAAAATGTAAACTGGAATTTTGTGTTAATAAAACTCATTTTCGTTATCATAATGTTCTGTAACTTATTTTGATCTTCTTTATGGAGGATTTGTTCCTGGAACATCTTCCCAAACAGTTTTGACTTCTGTCCATTTAGCTTTTTCGGATCCTTTAACTTTCAAGTAAATTGTAGAACTGGGAAATGCACCTCCCCCAACATTCAAGTAAATATTGCCTTAATTAACTTTATAAGTTACCTTTGACTTCTTCGCCTGCAAAATAAAATGGTTTATCGGTACGAATGTACAAACCACTTTGTTTAGAATGGTCGAATCCTTAGCCATGTTGGTTTCCCATAAGTAAATTAAATTAAATATATGATTATTAGAATACGTAGTATTTTATTTGGATTTGAAATTTTATAAAACAAGGCATCAAATTATATTAAATTTAAAATCATGATAATCGATACTTTAACAAAAATTGAAATTAATAAGAAATTGAATAGTATTACATTCAATTGGAAATTTGCTTCGTTATAATTTTTAAATAAAACTCATATTATATACTATTCATTCACTTCCACCACCTGGACAAGCAGCTTATGGCTTTTAAGAGTAGAAATCATAAACAGATTGTTTCACCTGATTTATAAGATCTATCTGATCCTTTCTTACCTAGCTTGCCTTTTCGTATTCAGACAAGAAGTCCTTGCACATTCTATCGACTGAATCTAACATTTACAGATTTCTAACCTAAAATAATCACAATAATTAATATACTTTTTTCCCCCTTGCGGTATCTACAATAGCTGTTTATTAATTTATGCACATACTCATAGCAGTTATGTGATCTCTTAATTACTATTCTGTTCTTTTTAGATTATTAAAATACTCAACCAAATGGATATTTCGATCATCATATTCTTAGATTTATAAATCTTCAACTTCTTAGTAATCTTATAAATTTTTTTATAAAGTTTGTTCGAAATTGACAATTAATTGCTTCAGTTTTTCATATACTTCTCTATATCCTCCATTTTCAGTTGCTACTTATGCAAAAATCTCTGAAATGTCTACCAAAGGTTGATCATTCTTAGCAATTACTGCTGTTTAAATAAAAGCCATGGCTACTTTTCCTAATTCAGCTAATGAGCAGTCTCCTCCAGTGAATCCATCTAATGTAAGTAACACTTATTAAAGTGAAGTTAAAGCATCCAAGTGATCTCTCCTTTTATTTGAAAATAATCTTGCTGCCTCATCTCTAATGCCTTTCAAAATTTTGATATCGCTATCTGTAGTCTATTTAGAATGAATCAAAGTACTTTTTAAGACTCCAGATTATTATCTAGTTCTGATCTAGCTTTATTATTTGATGTAGAACAATTTTCTAATTATTCATTTGCTCTAGAACCAACTTATTCAGCATCTTTTATGTCTTTTTTTCTTAACTCTAATTCTAATGAACATTAATTTCTTTGTTAAGTGTATAGTTAATCATGCCTAATTTACTCTTCATCTATTGTTGATTTTAGATTATCCAAAAACGCTATTGTTGTGGTTTGTGCTCCACCTGATTTTATTTGAGTTTGCAATTCCGTTAAAATGCTTACCAAACTTGGTTTTGGATTTCCAATGATCTGATATTTCTCAAGCAATTGCGAATATCCTATTATCAATAACAAATACAGAGCGATTAGTTTCATAAAACGAATTAAATATATTATGTCAAATGATAATCATATTGAGAGACATAAAAGAATACTAAACATTATTTCTCATTTGGGTTTAAACAAGTAAAATGCATCATTCCAGTCTTCGAAAAGATAAGGTTATCTTAATCTAGAATCATATTTTATAAACTACAATAATGTCAAGAAAGAGGAACAAGACAAATTAATTGTTAAAGCTAAAGAGTTATTATCTAAACCTGTTAAGAGAGAGCACATCAGATCAGAATCCAAATTAGTGCAAAAGATTCCAGAAAATATGATATGCTCAAATAAGATGCTGACGAAAGCAGTGTTTATCATCATATTTAGCTCAGTTTAGTGAAATTATAAGAACAATAAATACTAGGTCAATTTCATGAAGTTAAGAACAACTTAAGAATGTCTAAAACCTGTTATCCTTAACCTATTACATTTCCATAACAAAAGATTTAGATATAAAACATGTTCGAAAAAAATGTAGTCAGCATAACATTGAATCACCTAAGGACAACACAATAGGATAATGATTTCTTATACAAAACAAGAGAATCCTTTAAAGATTTCTAATCTGATATTTCGCATTATTAAAATCTCAAATAGCATCATCGATTATATAAGTAATGAACTGCAACCTACTTTTAACAATGATTTTCAAATCAAGATTTTTTATATTTTTTAATATCTTCATATTTACATTTATTGCTTAAATTTTAACAGAAGGATCAAAAATATTTAGAAAAGTAATATAAGATATTAATATTTTATTATTATTAAAATTTCTTGTTAAATCAATCTTGAATATAACTTTGATGCTTATATAAAATAAAGAGGTTGAAAAAATGCCACAAGGATATTTATATAAAATTCTAGAAAATAATATATTGAAAAAATTAATTATATATTATTTTCACATCTGAATCTTCCTAAGTGAAAATGCATTTAGAAAAAGGATATGATAAATTTAATATTTTATCATAGCTCGTAAATGAATAATAAATGTTTTTAGAAAATTATGAAAGATAGTTCATTCAATTTTGAATCATCTAATTTCTGTAAAATTAATCGAATGTAATTTCTTGAGATATAATTTATAGTCTAAAATTTAATTTATTTGTCTGATAATGATCTATTGAGATTTTTATCAAATAGATTTTCATATCATACAAAGATAGTTCAGAAGCTGAAAAAAATAGAATAAAATAGAACATATATGTGAATGATATTACATATATGAAGGGTTGTTCAATCAATTGGTAAATTCATGAAAATTGAAAAAAATGTCAACAAAAGATAGAAAAATTTGCCTAATAAGAAATTCTAGAGTGAAAACTTTTTAAATTTGTGACATCAAGATATGTATGTTTAAATATTATCTAAATATTAATATATTCGTTTTGGTAATGAAGAATAGTCTAGTTATGATAACTTTCATATTTGCGCTATCTAACTGCCTTAACATAAGATAACGTAAGCCTGCTATGTGTTAAGGTACAGCTATGGAATGTATGGAGTCAAGCGAATGGAATTAACAGTGAAATCCCACTAATCTAGTTCAAAGCAGTTAATGACAAGCTTAACTATTTACAGTCTCAAATTGTAGAGGTCAACTAAAATGAGTTTGAAACATGCTTGAATAAGTGTTTTGAAGCAGGAAAAGGCGTGCAAAGACATAATGTCCGAAATTTTCAGCTTAATTGCTGACTATGATTTTTAACTCTGCTTAATCTTATTCTACATATCATCTTTTGATAACAAATTAATCAAAATTTATTTTCCCTTCTCTTTATTATCAATATTTCATTTTGTTCTGAACAATTATTGTTGCAATTCCAAGTATTCCACTATGTTCATACTTATATAATTTATCTTGAATTATTTAAAGAAAACAGTGAGATTAAGAAAATTAAAANTCAAATAGCATCATCGATTATATAAGTAATGAACTGCAACCTACTTTTAACAATGATTTTCAAATCAAGATTTTTTATATTTTTTAATATCTTCATATTTACATTTATTGCTTAAATTTTAACAGAAGGATCAAAAATATTTAGAAAAGTAATATAAGATATTAATATTTTATTATTATTAAAATTTCTTGTTAAATCAATCTTGAATATAACTTTGATGCTTATATAAAATAAAGAGGTTGAAAAAATGCCACAAGGATATTTATATAAAATTCTAGAAAATAATATATTGAAAAAATTAATTATATATTATTTTCACATCTGAATCTTCCTAAGTGAAAATGCATTTAGAAAAAGGATATGATAAATTTAATATTTTATCATAGCTCGTAAATGAATAATAAATGTTTTTAGAAAATTATGAAAGATAGTTCATTCAATTTTGAATCATCTAATTTCTGTAAAATTAATCGAATGTAATTTCTTGAGATATAATTTATAGTCTAAAATTTAATTTATTTGTCTGATAATGATCTATTGAGATTTTTATCAAATAGATTTTCATATCATACAAAGATAGTTCAGAAGCTGAAAAAAATAGAATAAAATAGAACATATATGTGAATGATATTACATATATGAAGGGTTGTTCAATCAATTGGTAAATTCATGAAAATTGAAAAAAATGTCAACAAAAGATAGAAAAATTTGCCTAATAAGAAATTCTAGAGTGAAAACTTTTTAAATTTGTGACATCAAGATATGTATGTTTAAATATTATCTAAATATTAATATATTCGTTTTGGTAATGAAGAATAGTCTAGTTATGATAACTTTCATATTTGCGCTATCTAACTGCCTTAACATAAGATAACGTAAGCCTGCTATGTGTTAAGGTACAGCTATGGAATGTATGGAGTCAAGCGAATGGAATTAACAGTGAAATCCCACTAATCTAGTTCAAAGCAGTTAATGACAAGCTTAACTATTTACAGTCTCAAATTGTAGAGGTCAACTAAAATGAGTTTGAAACATGCTTGAATAAGTGTTTTGAAGCAGGAAAAGGCGTGCAAAGACATAATGTCCGAAATTTTCAGCTTAATTGCTGACTATGATTTTTAACTCTGCTTAATCTTATTCTACATATCATCTTTTGATAACAAATTAATCAAAATTTATTTTCCCTTCTCTTTATTATCAATATTTCATTTTGTTCTGAACAATTATTGTTGCAATTCCAAGTATTCCACTATGTTCATACTTATATAATTTATCTTGAATTATTTAAAGAAAACAGTGAGATTAAGAAAATTAAAATATAGCTAAACTTAAATATTTTCATTTACAATGTGTAACAATATTGATTGTAAATAAAGTCGGATAAATAGGATCATACATAATATAAAAATAAAATTATTATGGTTTCTCTTGTCAAATTTATTAAATCAATCAATTTACACATTGAAGTTTTGTAGAATTACTTTATCCTTGGATATTTAATTTGTTAAGAACATATCAATACATCAGAGGATAGCGACTGTTAGAATTAGCACTAAACCAAAATGCAATTTAATTTATTTTTCAAATCTTTCAAGTTTTTCCATCTTAAATTAATTTCTATTATTTATATCAAATAGTCTTTGTAAACGATAAGTTGTATCAAAAATAGAATAACGATAAAGCAAATTGAAATTTATAATAATATTAATAAAATGGGTTAAGCTTGTGGCAAAAATCATATATATGAGAGGGCTGAATTAATCTACTATGAAAAGAAAGTAATTAGAAGTGTAAAGGCTGAAATTCGTTCAAAATATTCGAAAACTTAGTCAATTAAATAAGTATGTGGGAGAAAGGAATTTTTAACATTGTTAATGTAACCTGAGCTTTATCAGGAGCTTCAAACAAAGCTTGCTAACGAATAAGATATTAATAAGGAAAGCATATAAATCGTTTTGAATGTATAAACTCAACTATTCTAAGATTTTTATATATTGTAATTTTAAAGGAGAGAAGATTAAGAATTGCTTTAATTTGTTAAATACTAATAGTGATTATAAAGAAGACTTAAAATTAATTGGAATCTATCGCGAGTCCTCTTTAAAATGTCATAAGAATGATTCATGCATATTGTGCTTGTCTGAGAATATGGAGTGCTATAGTTTAAGGTGTGAGCATAAGTTTTGCAAAGATTGTTGGGATCAAATGATAGAAATTTAATTGTCAAACTTTATACCGATTGTGAAATGTTTAGAATATCGATGTTTCGAAAGATTACCTCATTTGTATTTGGAATAGAATTAGTCTTACAAAGAAATATTGGTTAAGAGGATGTTGGATAATGATAGAAATTTTACTTGGTGTCCAGGTATAGATAAAATGTTATTTATAAGGATTTTAATGTTAAAACATTTATAAATTAGAGTAGTTTTCATAGAAATAGAAATGCCATTGTGGGTTAAAGTTTTGTCCAAATTGTAAGACGGATAATCATTATCCCATAACTTGCCATATTTATAACGAAATCACATAATTTAAAGAAGCAAATTAATCTTGGATATCATTAGACATTTCTGCATGTCCTAATTGCAAGAGATACATACAAAAGATTCAAGGCTGCATGTAAATTTCATGTGTTTGTGGGAATGACTTCTGTGTGAAATGTTCATTGCCTTGGAATCCAGATCATGGGTAGGACTTTTATAATTGTCCATTTGCAGCTCATAATAAAAACCCTTCTTAAATAATGAATTAAATGTGCCTAAATGAGTCTGCTATATCAAGGATTATTTTTGAATTAGAGTATTATCAGAGGTTACTAAATTAATAAAACCATAATGATTCCACACACATACTGAGGAGAGGTTTGAATAATTTAATAAAATTTAAGAAATTCGAAAAAATGTAAAAATTTATTTTAGTTTAGTGTTTTATATTATACTTATTATTTAAATGAAAAATTTGGTGATCATGGATTCGATCACAGTCAGGAAAAATATTCTTAAGAATTAAAAAACTACTATAGAATTCTACTAAATTAATTATCAAGTATTCTTGAGGAAGTCTAGAAGGTTGAAAAAAATGAAATGATTGAGTTCAACATTTTTTAAAATTTGGCGTTTTAGATGGATTTGAATTTGTATACTTAAAAATAATGTCTTAAAAAATAAATAATTGAAAATCAATAAGAAAAGCAGTAGAATATACACTGACTTAATTAAATAGATATATAAACTATTATTATTATATAAGTTATTAAATTGCAAATTAATTTTAGTTCTACTTTTTTGTATCTGATTTAAGAAAATGATATGAATAAATTAGAAGAGTGTGGATATCAAATATACTGATTTTCCCATATTCTCTAAGTTAATTAATTTGTAAAAATGTATAAAAATGACTATTAAAATCATAATATAGAAAAAGCATAACCGATAATTAATAAAAGATGTAAAATATCAATTATTGATCAATATTATTAATTCTGAGTTAAAGATGCAAGATCAATTAAGTCTAACTTTAAGTTGATTATTAGTATTGACATAGAAATACTGAATATAATTATATTTAAATTAATATAAAATATGGGTTGTGGTTCTTCAAATTCTACTCAATAAGCAGCAGAACCAGAATAAAAATAGCGAAGTGCTTCACTTAAGTCTACTTCAACATCAGAAATAGAAGATCTCATTGGCAAGAAAATTCCTAAAGTATTAGAATGAAAATATCTAATCAATAGTTATTGGTCTAGCCTGAGTCAAAACACAAGCAAACAATGGACAATGAGGAATAATCAAAAATGTATAAAATGTTATTATTTAGTGAGTCTCAACTGGCTCCAACTTAGCCACCTCCAGAGGAAGTTGTTAGAGCTTAAAAAAAATAGCAAAAAAAATATAGAGGAGGAGATGATGTAAATCATTAGATCCATGAAAATGTTACAAGAATTGATAGAGAAATGCAATGTACTAAACAAAAATATTGTAGAATCTGACATTGACTTGATAAGAAAAAGCTTTAAAGGTCATTTCGTATTTTTTAGTCTGCCTGAGGATTAAATAGCTAAATTAATAGAACATATGTTTTACTGCACTTTAAAAGCTAATTAGTTTATATTTAAATAAGGAGATCAAGTATTGCATTCATCTCTAAAATTAGGCTAGCTCTTATTTTGTGATTGAAAAAGGATCTGTAGAAATTATCATAAACGATAGACAAATTCGGACATTAGCAGAAGGCAGTTATTTCGGCGAAATTGCTCTTCTTTACAATGCCACACGATCTGCTTCTATCAGAACTCTAACAGATTGTGGATTTTGGTCTTTGGATCGTAGTACATTCAAAAAAACAATTGAGGAGTTGATGTTAAAAGAATATGATGAAAATAGAAAATTTATAGACGAAGTACTAAATATAAATAGAAATAGGTTCCATTTTTCTCATTTATGACATCAGAACAAAAGGATTCAATTGCACATGCCTTAATCACAACTAAATTTGCTCCAGGCTAAGCAATAGTCAATGAAGGAGATTAGGCTGACTCATTTTATGTGATAAAGAGTGGTGAAGTATCAGTTCTCAAAGGAACAAAGGAGATCAGAAAGATGGGTGCTAAGGATAGCTTTGGGTATATGCTAAAGAATTATAATTAGAGAATAAGCATTATATGAAAAATCTAAAAGAGGAGCTACATGTGTTGCTGAAACAGAAGTTAAATGTGTTGCCTTGGGCAGAGAAAACCTGACTAAGATTTTAGGAGATAAAGTCCAAATTATCATTTTTAGTAATATAATGAGATGGAGTTTTGAGAAAAGTGAGGTTTTAAAATAATTATCAAAAATTTAACTCGAAAAAATAGCTTAGAGAGCTAAGATTGACAATTATAAGAAAGGCTAAGTTATTGTAGAGGCTGGCAAAGCTTGTGATAAATTAATTGTAGTTTTAGAGGGAGTGATGACTAATTCTAAATAAGACTCAGTACCAAAAGGTTTGTGTTTTGGAGATTAATTTTTAATGAGGGAAAAATATGGATAAATAATTGATTCTGAATATGCAATGGTTAGAGATGGTGTATTAGCTACTATCTCATATTAATCTCTCTTTGTAATTTTTGGGGGAGATTTAGAAACTGCATTAAAGAAAAATGAAAATTCTCACGAAAAGAAAATTAAATAATTAGGTGAAAGAGCAGATGCCTCTCACATCTCAGTTGAAGATTTAATTTATATCAAAAAATTAGGAGAAGGACAATTTGGTATAGTCTATTTGGTTAAGCATAAATCAATTAATAAAGTGTTTGCTCTTAAATCTGTTAGCAAAGCTTCAATAATTGATTAAAATCTAGAAAAGCATATTCTGCAGGAAAAGACTGTATTGGAACAATGTAATTTTCCTTTTATTATGGGCTTTGTTAGAACATTTAAGGATGACATTTCTATCTACTTTTTAGTAGAGTATATCAGAGGAATGGAATTGTTTGATGTAACATTTAAGATCTATTTCCAAGGTAATTAGAGACATGGGCCTATTAACAAAGTACGATACTTAATTTTATGTGGCTACAATGATTTTAGCATTAGAATATCTACATTCCAAATCAATAGTATATAGAGATTTAAAACCTGAAAATATAATGGTAAATGATGCTGGTTACATGTACCTAATTGATTTGGGAACTGCAAAACCATTAATTAAATCAAGAGCTTACAGAACTTACACAATTATTGGAACTCCTCATTATATGGCCCCAGAGATTATACTTGGCAAGGGATACTCATTTAATGTAGATCTTTGGAGTATGGGTATATGTATGTATGAATTTATGTGTGGAGGAGTTCCTTATGCAGAAGAATAAGATGTATCTATTTGTTTCAGCTTAGGACCCTTATGAAATTTATGAAGAGATAATGAATACACAATTAAAATTCCCTACCTTCATTAGAGATAGACAGGCTAAGAAGTTTATGGAATAATTGCTCAGTAAACAACCAGAAACGAGATTAGGATCATCATTTTCTGCTTTAAAAGCTAATCCATGGTTTGATGATTTTGATTTTGATAAATTGTTCAGCAGAGAATTATAAAAAGTTCCTGTAAATAATTTTAATCAATATTTGTTTAGTATGTTCCTCCTAAAGATAGAATGATCTCAGAACATGATATTGAGAAGAAATTCTAATAAGGAAAGCCAGTTGTTCAAGAAATCAAGTAAGAACAATCTATGCAAAAACAAAAGTACAAAAAGGAATTAGCCAAAGATCCTAATTGGGACAAAGATTTCTGATAATTTTCTTATTCCATTTTTTGACCAAAATAATTATGTCCAAACATTATCATTCAGACTATTTATTAGTTATTTAGCAATTTTAATTTATGGTATTCTATTTTATTATTAACTTACAACTAAAAAGGGTAGAGACCAAATTTAAGGTCAATTTTCATTTATTATTAACTAATAATTAATAAAAATTGAAAATCTTCTAACCTATTCTACCAAAGTATTTGATCAATCATCTCAAATAAATAATTTATATCTGAGATTATAGTAAATTATTTGTTTGAGTAAAGATTCTTCCAATTTTATAAGATACTTAAAATTACAAATTAATCTATTTGAATAATATTAGATATATTGAACTAAGAAATGTAGATACATATCTAAATTGAGAGATTATCTCCAAATGCAATACTTGGTTGAGCACCGATGATAAGATTGAGGAAAGATATTAAAAATGTAAAACACTTAATCACATGTTCTGAGTTATAATAACAACAATTTTATCTATTAAGATATTATTATAGATCAATTTCATCCCCATAATTCTGTAATTAGCTAATGCTTCTGCTCCAACTCACTAATTTTTTTAAATGCTAAATAAGGTGCAATATTTTCAATCTGTTTATACATATCCTGTATCTTGTTTGTAATATCTCTACCCATTTATGCGGATCCACATATATATATGATTCCTTCCATTTATAAATGAGAATGTATTTAGTGTAAATCCATAATATCTGTCACATATTATTTTACAGCCTTCTTTGAAAAGGCAACTTTCAAATTTCTCAAAGTAACGTTCTTCTTCAAAACAATATTCATCTTCAGTTCTGCATCCAAATAATAATTCCATATTTCCTAATAAAGGAGATTTTTCTAAATTATTTGATTCAAAATAATAATCTCTTTCTTAAATGAATGCTCTCATTGGTGCCAATCCTGCTCCTGGTCCTATTAATAGCACTGGTGCTTTAGGACTTTTAGGGAAAGCAAATTTAGAATCCTAAAGATACCCTTTTAACAAAGACCCTTTTTTTAAATTTGAAAAATATTAACTGCAAAGTCCAATTTTTTTTTCATACAAAACAAGTTGACCTGCTAAAATATGAATGTTTTTTGGATGTTTCATATTACTAGATGCTATTGTGAAAAATCTAGGGGTTATTGAAGGACAGATTTCTAATAATTACTCAATGGATAAATTGTGTATATTGTATTTTTGATAACAGTTAGTAAATTTTCTCTCATTTTATTAAAATTTTCATCATAGAACTCTCTGCCTTCGAAAGAAGCAGCTTTCAATAACTCTTCTTTATGTTATTTGTTGACAACTTAATTAGATAGTTCCATTAATTGTTTTTTTGTGATCAAACCAGTAAAATCACAAAAAAAACGCAGCCAACTTCTACGAACTTATTTAATCAGGTTCAAATTCACTTAGATTAATTACTAAATTTTAGATAACATCCTTACTCTTAGGGAGATAGTTCATTTTTGTTGTTTGACTTGCAAATTAGAATGCCAGTCTACTCGAGTTTCCTGATGTAGTACCATAATAAATGTAAATCAGACCTCTGGACTCAAAAAATGAAGCAGATGATTAACCACAACCCATATTTAAAATAAGATTTTCAAATAAATTTAATCAAACAATATTATTTGCTAATATTATTATTTTTTATTAATATAATTTAACGTAATTTAAAGAATGCATTTAATTATTATATCTTATACAACGAGTTCTATTTAATTCTTGAGAAACTGGGCAACATAACAAAGGAAATAATCTCCTTTATAGCTAGAAAATATAAAAGTAATAGTGTAGTTTATACAAGGGAATGATAAATACATAATTAGGATAAGATCGATAAATAGTTCCATAATGCAATCATATATCTATAATAATTAGAGATTCTATAAAAAAGGATTTAAACTTCAATTATTTTATCTAAGGTGTCTATTTTAAACACAAATAGTAATGAAACATATATCAAATGAATCAATATTTGATGAAATCAAGCTAATATTACACATTTTTATAGATTCAAGATATTTTTAGTTGTCAGTATTTTTTAATATATTTTTAGAATAAGAGTGCTTAAAGAGAGGATTTAAGGAAGATAATATTCAATAATTTTTGATAGATTATTTGATGTGATATTATTTAATTCTTAAATATTTTTGAATAAATTACTAATTCATCATATAAATAAATAAATTAATGAATAATTTATTGGCTATCTTCCTAATTACATTAAATGTAATAAATGCATTTGAATTGGATGTTTATAGAATGGTAGGCATTGAATAAGATCAATTTTGGAGCGGAAGTAAGATAGCTTCTTTCTAATTGCTCACGACTCATTGGTCAGAATTGTCATCAAGAAAAGTGGCATTAATTAAATTTTCAGAGATTAATCCAAATTCAATATCTGAATTGCTTACTAACAAACCTAATGGCGTTTTGATAATCCTGGATCAATTATCACAAGATAATGAATCCCAAGTTTGGGACTTAATCACAACTGATTTAGGTATTTAATTTATTGAATGTAGGTCCCAAGGGAGCAACAATCCCCATATATTTCACTTATGAATCCGAGACTATTAATAATCATTATAAGGAAATTTAAAGTGAAACTGATTAGGAATATTAATTATAAGTCACAAGCGTAGATTAAAAGCAAATGCTTACATTAGAAGATTCATATGTAAATTTTAAAATCTAAAATATTAGAATTTATTAGAAAGCATCTCTAACTTTAAGTAAAACAATCCTTCAACTCTTATTGTGTTGGGAATTGATGAGAATTTACCCTCAGCCGAAATAACAATTCCAATCAATAGATTTGGAATTCAATCATCCATCTTCTTTAAGATCGCCAGAGAGTTTAAATATTAGTAAAGATTGAAGTATTAATCATTTAATTACCTTAGTCGAAACATAATATTTTATATTTCAACTTCCTAAACTTTAGATGAATATGGACTTAAGCAATTTTATAAGAAATAGGAATATTAAAGAATCCTATCCACTATAGACACAATAATAATCTTTGATTAAATTAGGCAAAATGAAAAACTACACGTCGAAGTCAGTTCTTAACTTTTAACTTAAGTTTAAGCATAGTTGACTGAATGCGATACAACAATTGAGGAAACTGAAACTACCAACATTTCCAATAAAGAAATAGATACAATCAGAATATACACCTAGAAATAACTCAAGATTTTGACTCAATAAAATTCTACCAAAGTGCAAGACAATCAATAAATTGTACTCAATTTGGTGAGTCAATTGATTGACGGAAAACCTTATGAACAATAGCATCAAGATTAACTATTTGATGAAGCTTTGAGCTAATTTATCCATACACCAAATAGACATCCTGCCAATCTGTAAAAGGACTCAAAATTCATTAATGATTTAAACTCTGTAATTATGTTATTTTATAAATAGTTATTAAGATAATTATTTAAACATACAACTAAAATGCAGTATATTGTGAAAGATAGAAAATTCTTTACATCATCTCAATTGAAAGGACAAATTATCAAGTTTTATTCGGCATTTATTGATTTGTATCTCATCCTAGGAGTGGGTGTATGGCTAGTTGTCATTTATGGAATAACAAAAGTAAATTAAATTATTATTTTAGTATGTTCCATTATTTAGAGTTGAATAGAATGCAAATAAAAAAAGAAAGTGATTTATTTATCAATGTAAATAAATTTTATTTGTTATAATTTTAATAAAAAACAATGGGAAATCTCCAAACTCTGATAAACTATCATGCTCCATTGAACTACTCATAGGATCTAAGTGATTAACTTTTAGATTAAGGAACATTGTAACACCCAGGCTTGGGATAAATTCAACTATGGAAGATTAAAGCAAGTAATTTGCCTCTCTTATTTTCTTTTGTAAATTAACCATCTAAAATACTTTATAGCATGTACATATATTTGAAAAAGACTCATCAATTATTAACATACATAATTTTCGAAGTTCTCTTAAGCACCCTAATTTGATTGAGTATTTCGCTTGTACTAGTTCAAAGTCGCTTAACATTGGTAAGGTCCAATCTTAGCAATTCTTTTTTGCCTATTACCCTTAAACCTTAAAAGAACATATTTAATCTAGAACCTTGACTGAGGTATAAATTTGGAAGGTAACATAATAAAATCTATTAGATAGATAATTGAATAAATAGTAAATTTAATGGTGTATTTGTAAAATTTGAACAGATATCATTCAAATATCAATTCAGAATCAATATTCATAAATGATAATTTGCATATCAAAATGTTAGACAAAATCGGATAAAAACCCAATAAAATAGCTATAAAAGATGATGTACGTGATTTAGGAATTGTTATTATAGAACTCTTAACTAAAAGAAGTAATTTATGTATAATACTTAAGCAAATCAATTAAATTTTATTTAATAAATAAAAAATTTACATGGAAAATTTACTTTATAATTATTATAATTGGTTGCAAAAATGATAGATGAAAACATAGATAAAAGACCTGATTTTATTTAAATCCAAAAGATGATTAACAATAGGTTCAAAGAACCCATATTTTTCAACAACCCAGAAAGAAATGGAAATCTTAATATATTAACCGGAAGACTATCAACCCAAGAGCATTTAAATTATAAGATGGATGAAATGAAGATTTATAAACAGCTCTCCCCTATAAGAAATTCATACAATTTGTTGTTGCCTTCTAAATTGAATATTCCTCCAACCATAGTCGAAAAAAGTCCTAATTAATAAATGCAGGACTAGAATAAAATACTTGAGGTTCATTACTAGGATAATATCTAATAATCTCCTTAAAGGAAAATTAATCAAATCCCAATCGAGTAAGTTCCTACTACTGCCAAGAAAGAGAGCCCCATAAGTAATTATTGACTTAAGTATTTAGAACTAAGGAATAATGCCATGAATAGCCCCTGAGACTTTAATATTTAAAATATACCAAATTGATTAAATTATTATTCAAATTTTGATTTTACACTAAACATAATTTTAGATTAGTTTTGTTTTCTTTCAAGTGTTAATAAATTATTTAAGTATACGGCATTGAAAAATACAATATTACTTATTTTCTTTTGTTGCATAAAAAATAATTAAAATATAATTTATATGACAACATAATCTGGCCCGTTTTCCACTCCAGCTTTTATTATTAAGCTTTACGATATTTTAGATGAATAAGTAGGCCTGTTTATTTATATGATCCCTAGGTGTAGTTTAACTAGATTATTAAATGGAGCGATGATGGAGAATATTTTATTGTATTATAACCAAAATTGATGGAGAACGAAATCCTCTTGCAATATTTCAAACATAATCATTATCAATCCTTTCTAAGGTAACTCAACATGTATGAATTTATCAAAGCCAGAAACTCAGAAAATTATGAGATATTTAGTCACCCCTTCTTCAAAAGAGGCAACAAGTAAGATAATATTAATGTTTTAGGAAACAATTGTCATTGATCAAACGCAATCCCATTAAAACCAAATGCAAAGTCAAGAAAGAATTGAAGTCAGCTGTAAAATAATATGATTTTTAAAAATAAATGGATTCAGAATTATTATTTTTAAAACAAAGACAAACCAAATTTGAAACACAATTCTAAGAAATAATCTCATAGAATGAATAAATTATGGATTAACATAAACAAATTTGGTAGGAACTAGGCAATTCTAAAAAAACACTTGATGTTAAAATCGATAGAATCAGTTATTTGCTTAGTTTTATAATCCAATAATAAGGGATCAATAACCAGGACTCCATCGAAATGCTCAATTAGATTTAATGTAAACCAAAGTAAGAATATTAACCAGTGGAATCTTTATCTCCCCTTTTAAAAATGATGTAGAATCAAATGACCTGGAACTTAAAAGTACCAACTCAGATGGGTACTTTTAGTCCCTTGTATAATAATGATTAAGGTATGATAACTCAATAAATTAACATTATAGCTTATTCACCTTTAGCCATTAGAAGCCAAGAAAGTCTTGATAGTTACTAAAGTTTAAGTCCCTTCTACTAATAATTCAAAGAGTAGTGATCATATAACATAACTTTATTAATTAATTATTGAAATCCCATTCTTCAGTGTGAATAATGAGGAAATATAATTGATTTTAAAAATCATAAAATATATAATTGTAAACAAATATTTTTATTATATGAACAATTATATGTTCTTGGTTCTACATTCAATATTCGCTGGTTATAAAAATCTCCATTTTTTAGAGTCAGTGTTATTAAGTATAATAGGACATAAAAGTATCAAGATATTAATATTTAATATAATTTCTGAATAAATGTTTCAGTAATAATAATTAAGTTTATTTAATAACTATTTCTACCCTAAATAGTTCAAAATAAAACTAAAGCTTATTTTAAAAAAAAGTGAGAATTGATAAAAATTTCGATTAAGAATTAACTAATTAATTACAAATAATCTTAATTTTTCTATTTTCTATTTGAATTCAAATATATGAAATACAGGAGTATTTTTTCATGAAAAATTATTAAGAAAATACCTTCCTTAATAATAAAATTATTGATAAAAAGCAAAGTTATAGATTAATAGGTTGATTACAATATCATTCTTAGGTAAATCCACATTATTACAAGTGTTAGTTGATAGGATTATATAAAAATGGAAACATTGGAAATTTTTGAATAACTAAATAGTGAAAAATTACAATTTAAAATGTTATCAATATCAAATTTCCAAAATGCGAATTAGCAACACTTGAGGAACATTATCTGAAAGTTGAATCTTGCAAGTTGATAGCAATTAGATCTCATAGTAGAGATATTCGATCAGCATATATCTTTATAATTTCAAATTGGGTAAAATTTTAGGTATAAATTTATTATGACATTAAAAGAAATTTTTTAATTATATAGATTTATAAATGTCAGTCAGTATTAAGAAATATGCAATACTTTAGATTGTGTATTCAATATTGTTTGAATTTTTTCTAGATAACAATCTATGATTTCTATTATGTGAATTATATGAAATTATCCTACATGGACTAATTTTCGATAGATAACTAACTATAAATATTATCATAAATATATGGATTTTATTTTTGGTTCTTTCTTCTTTTTCAATAATCATTGAAAACTTCAAAAATTCTTGAAATCCACAGTTTCTTATTAGGTAATTATAGGGATCACTGTGATTATATTGAAGTTTAAACTTTAATTATAAATTAAAACAACGCAATACCAATATCTAAAATAATTCAGATATTTTTGTATATTTAATTTGAACTCTTTTTTTCTTATCCTATCTGCATGATATCTTGTAAATACTTTTGGAGAGTTTCAATTTTCATAACTAACTGAAGGAGAAAAAGATGCTATGAGAATAAGCCAAAATCAATTCACTAAAAATTTTAATTTTGAATTATAGATAGGAAAGCTTGCCTAGTAACGAATGCATCAATCATTATTTTATATAATGAAGGCATTGATAAATATTATTTTATTGATTGTATATAATGATTTATTTTTCAATGCCATAATTTTAATGGATTATTCTATTCTTAAGTTTTTTATGCTAAAATTTAATCTGCATTTTGATCTCGCAAATAAATTTCAGGTCTGTAGACTGATCTGACTGGATTTTAAGCAATTCTAAACAAATTAGTGATTTAATTGGTTGTTGATAATTTAGCCCATACTCCTTCAATCAAATTCTTAAATGATTATAATAATACATACATATCCAACATAAAACACTGCTATTGATGCAATAGCACCGAAAGTAAATGCATGAGCTCTTTACAATCTTAAGTGATAGGATCTTTATTTTGCATCTTAAATGCTATGAATAAATAGAAATTTTACTATGAATATTCATAGAGTTTTCTTAAGGATTCTTCAGCAGTCAAATGTGAACGATTTTGATTCACCAAGTCTTTCATTTTATATATTTTATAATTATTAACAAAAATAAATTGAATTATTCACACTGTTGACTAACTATAAAGTTCTAGCATCTGTAATCTATTAAGGATGATCATTTCATAGATAATATAATTCTCAAATCTACTATATATATGTGTGTCTTCACTACTTACTAGATGTTCATAGAGAACCTTTTGTATTTTAATACAAATAATTTTGAATAACACATATTCCTATTTGTAGATGGTTAATTTATTTTTAGAAGAGATATAGTTTGATTTTTCATTAATTATCCATCCAGAGTTTATCTTCTTTTATTTATATAATTGATAAATCATTAAGTAATAATATCGATTTAATAAGTACTTTTACATAGATATTTAATAATCAATTTTGTATCCAATCATCATCCGAACTGCTTTCTACCTTTAATTTTCTTATCCTTCTGCCTTGAACTTATTAAGAAAATTGATTGGATTTATCAACTTGTTTTTTCGATTCCTATTATTTTGGGTTAAGTTATTTAGATTCATTTGGTTTAGAATTGATATCACTTAATTTGTCGTCTTACTATTTATATTTTGATAAAATTTCTTCGACTGGATCCTTGCTCTTTATAGCTTTTTTCGATTTTTATACTTTCTCTTCAATTATTTGATCTTATTTATCATTTTTCTTCTTAGGTTTCTTCATTTACTTCCCTGGCATCTTTTCTTATTAATTAATCAATCGTAACTCTATTTCAATCATTTCTTAATAAGCCTCTAAAAACTTATCTAAATCTTCTCTCCACATTAGAGATATTTCTTTATTAATCAAAGCTTCCCTGCTTTGAACCCTTTGATTTAATTCATCTTGTAATTTCTCTACCTTTTCATAAGTAAGTGAGAACAATGGCATTGATAATAAATAATTAAACTCACTTATATCAATCGATGGTGTTTGTTGTAATTTTTTTGAAATTTATTTTTTTTATTGTTAACCCTCATCTCCTGACTTTTCCTCCTCTTCACTCCCATCATCATCAACATTTTTCTACTACTTTTAAGATTCACCAAATGCTTTAACTTTTGTAGATTTTACTTAAATCAATTGTGAAAACCTAGTAAATCCAAACTTGTCTAATTGCTTGACTAAATCAACTTTCTTAACATTTCTTAACGTAATCTCTTCACTAATTACCATCTTAATGAATTTCAGTTTATTATCTAATAGCTACACTTCTCTATCCAACTTGGATATTAAATAATCTTTCCTTTTATGATAAAACTCTAGTCTAACCTAATAAAACTCTTCCATTATATCCTAAACACATTCATATTTTTTGATTTTATTATTTGAGTCAAATAACACCATATTGCTACACGAGGCTGGTGAAGTCAGTTTAAAGTACTCTAAAGGACTTTTCAAATCCTATACAAATCCATCCACCATTTAAATTTCAAAATGAATTTTGTATTTAGTGTGATACTCTCTCAAATCTACAATTTGACTGCCTTCCTCAGCCATTTCTTTATCTAACCATTCCTTGTAATTTCTTGTCCATTTTTTAATTGGAAGTTCTCTAATAGTGACAATATCAGTGGCTTCATTGCAATCAATTAAGCCTTTGATGACACAATTACCATTTGGTAGATTTTCAATAATGCCATCAAAATTTCTATAAAAAGGAGTCATTGGCTCAAACGGTTATCCATCCAATCTATTTTTAATTTATTGAACTAATTCAATTGGATTATAATTTTAGATTGATGTAGACCAACCTGTACCAATGCCTTCAGCTCCATTTACCAAACTCATAGGGATGATGGGCACATAATATTCTGGTTCAACCATCTACCCATCATCTTCCAAATACTTTAATAAATGATCATCCTATTCAGGGAAGATATACCTCGTAATCTTATTAAGTGCTGTAGAAATATATCTCGCAGATGCATGATCCTTGCCACCCATAGCTCTGCTACCAAACTAACCTTTTGGTAATAATAAATTGATGTTATTGGAACCAACAAAATTCTAAGCCATCCCTATGATTGTAGAAACCAAGGACAAATCTCCGTGATGATAAGCAGAGTGTTCAGCTATGTAACCACCCAATTAGACCACCTTGATTTCTTATTTCAAATTTCTCTTAAAGCAGGCGAATAACACTTTTCTCTGTCCTGGCTTTAAACCATCCATGAGGGATGGAATAGATCTGATATTATCAGCCATAGAGAAATGAATCAACTCTTTGTGAATGAATTCTGAATAGCCTAATTCGCTTTTTGTATGATCCACATATAGATCATGATTGTATTATGCAAGCCACTGTTTTCTATCATTTGCTTTTTTCTTATTAAAACACAAATCAATTGAATTGTCGTCATCATCTCCATCGTATCTAAACTATATTGTATGTGTTCTTAAATTCTTAAAGTACTCTTGAGCCTCTTGATCATCAGATGTACCTAACCCTTTGTAATACTTTATCTTCCATGCCTTGATGTCCTCCTCTTAAGCGAATTTGTTGAAATCCTAAACTGTGAAGAATGGAATTGTTTAGTTTCCCTTTGTGGCCTTTATCAGAGGAGTAACAAACTCTTTCAAAAATCCACGATACTTCACCAAAGAAGGCCAAAAGTGATGAATAAAATTGATAATCAAACCCTTGATATGCGATCCATCTATATCCTGATCTGTCATAATCATTACCGATCCGTACCTAAGTGACTTTAAATCTGTGTATTGTCTTTCCTTCTACAAACCTATTATCTTTATCAAATTTTCAATTTCTTCATTTTATAGAATTTGCTTCAATGATGCCTCCCTTACATTCAAAAGCTTACCCTTCAACGGGAACACACCATATCTGTCTCTTCCTACAATATCAATGCCTGCCATAGCTAATGCTTTTGCTGAATCTCCTTCTGTCAAAATCAATGTGCAAAGTTCTGAGTTCTTTTTTCCTGCATCGTTTGCATCATCCAGCTTCTCAATTCCATGCAATCTGCCAGTTTTCGTGCCTTTCAATTACTTATTCAATTTGGCATCAGCTTTGGCTTTGGCTTACTGAAATATAGTTTCAATGATATCTGTCTTTATTAAGGCCTTTGAGAATTTCTCAGTTACTTTAAATTTCTCTTCGTTTGTACCTCCAAACTCTGACACCTTAGTTGTCATATTCTCTTTAGTTTATGAATCAAATGTGGGATTATCAATTAAGCAATTAATAAATACCCAAAGTGATTGTTTGATTTGATATTTTTAAACTTCAATCGACTTATACTTTTTATTATTATTCATTTCATTTTAAATTTCTTGTATAATTTTATCTGTTACATAATTCACATGGGTTCCTCCTTTTGCAGTATAGATAGCATTGACAAAGGACACATGTTAAAATTGAGTTGGAGAATAACTTACGACTACTTCCCACCTTGGAGTAGTCATATCCTTATCAAATATTTTAATTGCACCTTCATTTGGTAAATATAAATCAACATATTTTTGGAATGAATTGATCTTAATCTTTTCATCATTCAAATACACACTAATTCTATTACCATATATTCCAGCCAAATCATATACTCTTCTGGTTAACAAAGCCTGAGTGTCTGTTTCTATCTCTTTCATCCCAAACCTCTTGTAATCTGGCTTATATGAAATACTCACATAAGGATCTTTCTTTAGCTGTTTAATGATAGGGATCTGTTTGTTACTCATATTATTGTTCCAAACCAATTTGAAGTAACTTTTTCCATCGCAGACTTCCAGCGTGAACTCAGTTGAATACACATTTGTCAATTTTGCCCCGTAACCATTCCTCCCACCTACCACTCTTTTTTCAGTATCATCGAAATTGCTTCCAGTTAGAAACACTCCAAAAATCAACTCTGGAACATAGATTTGTTATTCCTTGTGGATTTCAACAGGTATAGGAAATCCGTCATTTTTAATTGAAATTTCATTTCCTATGTCTACTTTGATATAGGACTGTTTGTGTTAACGAGTATCTCTTTGTAGATTATCGGCTGCATTAACCAAAATTTCATCGAATATTTTAAAAAACCCTGGCACATATTCAATCTCTTTTTAAATCATTTTTCCATTTTGAATTATCCACATTTATTCGGAGGTTCTCTATAGACTGCCAATATAAGTATCTGGCCTCTAAAGAATGTGCTCAATATGAGTCATCTTCCTATATTGTTCTTCTATGGTCTTTTGGCGCATAATAATTGAAATTATAAACAATTTAAATTTATTCAACCAGAGAATAGAGATTAACTGCGAGCCTCTTGAACTTGTTTTCCTTTTGATTGATGATGCATAAGAGTTTGAGCCTTGCGATGTTTAGGCGCGTCGTCCATTATGATACAGCTTTCTTCATTTAGACTACCCTCCTCTCCGTCTATGTGACATTACAGAGTGATATGAGTATCACTAAACAATGAACCATGATTGGTTTCATAATCTTTCAAGAACTAGTTGACAGGTTTCACTGAGGACTTGTTGGCCATGAATTTTAAAAATGGAATCAATCTAAGGAGACATTCATCTTCATCTGAATCAAGAAATGAAGGAATCAGCAAACCATTATCAGGTTGTAAGTCAAAGGCATTTGGGTTATTCTATGAATGCTACAAAAATGATACATCTATGAAGATCAACTAATCTAGTGGCCGATCTAAAATGGTCAGATCTTTCAAACAGTTTCCGTTCACAAATATACAATTAGATCTTGCATAATAATCACTTATGCGTTTGTCCACATCTATGTATTGCAACACTTTGTCACAATATGATTCATAGCCAGCAGTAAATATGATGATCTCGTAGTATACACTCATTTGCTTAAGAAATTCTCTCAAATAAGGTCGTCTACACAGGTACACATTGTATAGCACTCCCCTGTGCCAAACATCCAAAATAGTTTCATAATTGAAATTTTGATTTTCCTTGAATTCGCAGTGCACCAAGGTTTCATCCAAATCAAGAACTAATGTTTTCTTTTTCCTCACCTCAGATTCCTAAGTGGATAGTCTATACGATTCTTCTGGTCCCTCTCTCTTCTGCCTGAGATTTTAATAGCATTTTTTTATATATTGCAAACAATTCATTTTAATTACTCAATGCTATTTCGAGGGTTATCTTTATGAAAACAGGAAAACCATAAAAAATGAAGGCCTCTTTTGAAAAATAGGATTGTATAACTAAGTTCAAATTCTCCAGGAATACAGTAACCTTTGGGAATTCTATTCAATATTCATCAAACAAAAAATAATAAAAAATTATATGTTATAACAAAAATTATTTCAATAACTTTCCGAATAAATTCATTAATATGCTTACGGAGATTCCATCCACGTCAGATATGTTGTATTATATACATCTTATGATAACCTCATAATTATTGCAGAAGACAAATATAAGTTGTCTGTGTAAATAGAAACCTTGAAATGGAAAAATGATCCCATCATCTCCATGAAATTCCAAACATTCGCTTTGCACATCCTCACAATGGAAGGAGAATACATTGAAATCGTCTTATCCAATCTTTTCCAGTAGAATAAACAGTAGGATAACCTCATGATCAATATCAAAATAAATGATGTATATTTGCCAAATAATGTGAAATTAAAGGAGGCTTATCAAATCAAGAGGTTTAGTGATTTCGTCATAATGAACAAGAATAAATTAAAAATCGCCTTCATATCCCAATAGGGTCAAATAGTCTTTTATAGTCCAGATCAAAAGGTGATCACTCAAATCATCGCTCTAAGACAAAGTCTCATATCATTTTAAACTATTGAAATGGATCAAAAGGAAATGGTTGTTGGAATCACCGAGTTCAATGACTTAATCACCTTTAGTGATAATGACTAGGAACCATAAATACATCGTTTTACGGATCCCAATTACTCCATTATTCACATCTACTTTGTTGGCAATGAGAATATTTTAATATTGTAGGAGAATAAGACTGAATAACGGTTTGTTAAGTATCAATTAAAACAACTTAAATTTGTCAAAAAATATTACTATCTCCCAAAAGATGATTGTAATTATAAATTCGTAGAAATACACGAATTGCCTAAAATATTTATAGCATTAGTGTTTTCAACACAATTCCAAATAATCTCTTTCTCTAAAACAGTACTCCAAGATCGATTATTTAAATGCATCTAATTCAATTTTCAAAATGTGATGGATGAATTCAATCACCCCATTAATTTTAACTAAATTCTATATTGTCCCGAAACAACCACTCTGAATATTAAAGAGATTCAGAATTAAGCCATTCATTTCTCTAGGTACAATCAACAATTTGGCATCAAAATTACCAAAAAGAAAATGGTGGAGGTCTTGCAATCTGATTCACAAATCTTAAACAAAGAGGATCAAGTATCAAAAACCAAGTAAAACAACATTTTATATTTAATAATAGAAATTACGACTAGTTTTGTAGTCTATTAATAACCTCAACTTAAATATACACTATTTAAATATCTCAAGATTGTATACAAGATCTTACTTTTCAAGTCCTTCAGCAGTTCGAAAACTATCAAAGGACATTTGGGTAAATCCCATAAATGAAGTTGAGTTGGTAAGAATAAGTAATTTCCAATTTGTGGCATCACTTGAATTGCGAACAAGGTTTAAAACTCTATTTTGCTAATAAGGATCAGGTCTCAGAAAATATACACAGCTGGGTGAATTCATTAAAGTTTCATAAGCAGATGCTATACCAAATCTATGATGAAGACCAGGACCAAGAAATTCTTATCGAAACTTAGTATGATAAATGTCTGACCACAATTGCATTACTAAATTTCAAGAATCTTTCAAATGAAATATCAATTTCTAAGATAATTGCAATGGTGTTCAATAAGGTTTTGTCTTAATGCAGCAAAATAGTCACAGACAACTCCAATTCCTTTTTGCAATTGATCTAATGCATCAAATAAAACAGCAATCCAGTATTATGTTACAATTACTGGAAGAACTCTTAACAATTGTTATTCATCTTAATCAATATCCTTGAAGTGTGGCTTACTAATATAATGATTAAGTATGATGTGATATTGCTTAAGGCCCAAGAATTCTTTGAGCCTCTTTTCATTAATAAAATTAGAAGTTTAATAGTTTGCTCGAAAGTGCCAATTATGCTGAGATTAAAATTAATCATTTTCTTATAAGATCAATCATACATTAAGCTATTCACTTTAGGAGTTCAGACTATCTCAGACAGACAGGAATTGCTCTAATTTAGTAAAGTCTGTAACATAACTAACGATGCTCCATCATTTAATATATTTAGTATTTCATATTTAATAGATGAATGTGATATAAAATATATTAAAAACTTAATATAAATCTCAGGCAATTTGGAATAAATGAATAATTACGAACCTACTAAGTGTAAAAATCCATCATTTGGATTGATAATTATGAGCATCCTAACTTAATAATCGAATGAGTTTGAGATTTGTAAGATCATCAACTGGTTTTTATCTTGATTTCATAATGTATAATATAATAAAGTAGATTGTATAATTATCATTATTATGCAGCAATTTAGTGTATTAGGTAACATATATATGCTTGAGAGAACAAAAAATCCAAACGTTCTCTAAATATTATAAAATAGATAATCAAAATATTTTTATAATTATATTCTTAATTATCTAAAATATAATTATGTATGAGTTTGCAAATGAGAAAACAAGAGGAATTAATGGATCAAAAATTATCAGATAAGATAAAACAAAATACAGAGTATGAATCAATTTTAATAAACACATAGAGTCACAACTTTTTTTCTGTGAATCCTCATGTCAGGATGTTTAGTCAATTATTCTAAAAAAGCCCGTATTTAACGTAGTTTAAGGAGATGCTCTTTGCAAGTCTTTAGCAGATTTATTTGAGGACTTCGTTGATACTAACTGTTTTACAATGGATGCAACCGCCAATTCTTTGTAACTCTTAGAAAATGAGAGATCAATAATACTTAAAAATTATATAATATGCTCAGTAGACTAGATAGTTGGGAATCGTACCAGAACAAATTTATATTATTGAAATAGAGAGGCTCCTTAAAGTCTTATAAAATGACAACAAAGAAATATCATTAAAAATTCTATATGAACTTTGTGTTGCCATGAATTGCATTATAAGGGGCAAATAGGAATTCGTTTTGTATGATAAATTTTTTGCTTATTTGTACCATCAATTTAATTCAGGATACGATTTTGTTTAGCAATCTATTCAACAGAGAGAATATTTGAAAAAATAAAAGGAGGAGTAGAGACTAGGTAAATTAAATCAGCACGGTTTAAGAAGAGTAGGATAAATATCAGTTTTAAAGAATGAATTTTATTTAGAAGAATAGCAGAGTGAGGGAATCAGTAACATTCCATAAGTACTTACGATTGATTCCTAATTGAAGCTTCCAAATTCAAGAGTATTATCAGGAAAACTAGCATAATAAATCTAAAGTGCTGAAGTGGCAATTCAAGATTTATAAAAGGAAGTAAAGGACTATTACAATATGTATGCTGAATATTTTTATGATTCAGTAAAAAACTTGATCTAATTCAAAGGTGGAAATGAGTCATTAAACTATAAATTTCTAGGACTGAAATTCAATATGAAGTAGATGCTATCTATCAATGCAATATATCAAAATGAAGAGAATGGCACTAAATTATATTTGCGTCAATATCAACTAGTATCTGGTCTAAATGAAAAGCAGAATTCCCTAACAAACTACTTGACATATCAATCGATGTTTAACAATAATAACAAGGAGGATCAAGTCGAAAATCTATAGGAGTTTCTGAGATAAAGTCCTCCCTTATCTCCTCACTAATCAAATATTCATATTAAAACAGAAACTGTGCATCAATAGACTCATAGCAACGAAGATATCAGAGTTGAGTGTGAAGATGGAAACTAGAATGAATATGAAAACGAATGTGGTGTCCTATTAGATTTTACATTATTTGATCCTCAAACAACTGTGCAATATCAAGTGTACTCAGTTAATAGTGAATGCATAGCGGGCATTAAAATATCATTTCCTGAAGAGTAGAGTAGTTTTCGATTGATCGAATTTCCATGTATTGAACCATAAGAAGGAGGCTACGATTGCCATACCTATCAATTCAAGCCCTTATCAAATATAAAAGGATGCCAAGTTGAATTGGTTTAGATGACTCCAAGTAGGAGATTCATCAAAAATTTCATCTTATTGGTTCAAGATTCTGATAACCCATAAGATCCAAATAAACTCAAGTTTTTGAAATTTGATTTCTAGAAAAATTAAGAGATGGGGGATATTTAAAATTTACATGATCAAATAATGCCGTACTTTAATGATGACTGGAGAAGGGCAAGATTTCCCTTGTATGTTAATTTTCTATATAATCATCTGCCTTAAGCTTAGCAATAGTTGATTGAAACAAAGTTAAAGAAGATCACGTTTGCGATCAATAGCATGTTTCCTTATGTTGAATATTTAGAAAATAAAAAGAAACTCATGTAAATTGATTTGATTTATTTATAGTAATCCGAATGTGTTTGAGATGTATGTGTAAGAATTAGGTCGATATAAAAATAGGGATCAATATCAAAGAACGGTGTTCATTTAGATTGAAAATTGGCAATAAATTCAACAAGAGAGAATCATCGATAACATACTTGATAACATAATTATTTTTATTTGGAATGGGGGATTCGAGAATAGGAAATTATAGTGATTATTTATATTATTATTGTTCTTTTTAAAAAACGGTTTATATATTATTATTTTTATGAAACAAATAGTCATACTCTTTGTTTTGATTATATTCGCAACAGCTTCCAGTGGTAACTAACCTAATATAAACAGTAGATCTGCTAAAGTCATTATCTAAATTTGCTGATAACGGGGATAATTCTTCCAAATTTGCCAAGAGTACAGTTTCTCCATTTTCTGAAGAAGAATCTGAAGATTACGATAACGAAGACACTGAACCCACTAAGAAAATGACACCCAATTCCTAATAAGACGACGACGACGACGAAGTTGATGTTATGGCCTAATTGAAAAGTTACTAACAGAAACTTTCCACAAGCAAAGATGCTAAGCCCCCTCAACCACAAAAGAAGTAGGTTCAAGTAATTTCTGAATCAGAATCTGAATACGATGATGAAGATGACAGTGGTAACATGTGGAGTAGAGGGATATCAAAAAAATTGGCTTAAACTGAATCTAAACCATTAGTGTTACCAATACAATCAGCTAAAGAATAAATAAAGAACGATTTCAACCAATTTACAAGTTTAAAAATGCCTGAAGTGCAATAACGACCTCAAGAAACTAAATCACAAGATCAAAGTCCAAAAGTGTAAGAGGATTCAGGAAAAGAACATTCAGCTGATTTTGAAAAAATGAAACAAGCTTAATTAGAGAAATACAGCAAAAGATTTCACCTTGATGAACCTAAAGAATCTAAGAGTATGTATGAGGATGATAGTCTGAAAGAATTCATGCCAAAAATCAATTTTCAACCTATCAACATACCAGAGTCCAAAACTTCATAATAAATACAACCAAATCCAGAAAAAAAATAAGAAAATAATAAACATTATCAATCAGAAACTGATGAATCTGATGAAGAAGAAGAAGAAGAAGAGGAATCTTTGGAAATTAAAAAAAAGAATTCATTATCAAATAAAAACAATAATAAAGTTGACTAATAACCTAACACAGATGCATTTGATTTCTTTAATCAAAATAAACAATAATAGAAGTCAAATAAGAAAAATTAACAAATTGAATAGTCGGAGTCTGAGAATGAAGAAAGTGAATCTGCTTAAGAAGTGGATGACGATGAAGATTATGTTTAATAGGTCAAGAAAAGCAAGAAATAAAAGGACGATAAAGAAGAATAAAAGAGAAAATAAAAATAACTCCAATAATAATAGGAAGAAGAAGAAGAATAAAGAAGATTGATGATGAAAAAATAAAAAGAATAATAAATTCAATAAGAGGAATTAAGAAAGAAATAAGAGGAGGAAGAGAGATAGCAAGAGGTAGCCAAATAGTAAAAATTAAAAAGAGATTCTGATGAAGAATAGATTCCTTAAAAGAAGAAGTCAAAAAAATAAAAAAAGTAATTGAGTTTAGAAGAATTTCAATAATCTTTGAAAGTAGAAGAGGAGAAACCTCAATTGACATCGTTTGCATAAAAGGAGGCAAAAGAAAAAGCAATATTAGAATAGAAAACATTTACATTAGTAAAGGAGACTCCACAATAAGTTTAAGAATAGAAAGTATTTAAATTGTAGGCAGTTCCAAAGAAGCAACAATAACTTATTCAAGAGGAAGAGTCGGAAGGAGAATCAGAAAGCGAAGATGATGAATTTGATACTCCTAAATCTATTAATTGCTTTGAAAGTAAGAACAAATTTATATAATAAATCTGCTAATTATGTTAGACTAAAGTAGCTTATTAGGTTAATCAACAGAATTGGTAGAAGATTGGAATAAATGACGGTTTCAGGTATTTATTAAAAATTGTATCATATATCTTAGGAATTTAGGCAATCCTTTGAGCCGCTGATCGAGTTCACTTTCAAAAGCATAGGTGAAGTTGGATCATACTATTTGAGTTTTAAAGATCATACAGTTTGTTTAAGTGCGGAAAATTTAACGAAGATGGTAGATTTGATATATTATGTTTTATAGACAAATGTGGATAAAGTATTAAAGCACTTCACAGGGAATTAATTAGCTGATTACAATTCCCCAGTTGATATTCCAGCTAAAAGTTAGCCCATTAACTTTTTATTGAGTGCAGAATACGGTAAATAATGTAGAATAAATTTAGATTCCTTATTAAATGGATTTTCATGCCGAAGATTTTAAATAGCCATAAAAACAGATCTGAAATATAAATTGAGTAAGAAAAACGATATTAATGTTAAGCAAATAATATTTTATAAAAATAAGGTAAAATTCATGTTAACTGATAGTTAAAATTAAAATATATTGGTTTGATTTAAATAAATGGTGTTGTCCATCAAGCAAGTTTTGATTAGGAAGAAGGAGGAGAAGTCACAAATTTAATTGTTACTCAATTGAATCTGCCCAAAGAACAAGGAGTCATAGCCAGTTTGGTTGATAAATATGTGGATAGTAATTTCGTTGCAGATATGCTCCAGAAATCGGGTAATTTTTAGTTCTTAGACTTAGAATAAATGATGGCTGATTTATAGATCTAGACACATATTAAGAATGATGATATTGGACTCACATTTAATTTAAGAAAGAGGAAGGGAAAATTATGAATTTAGATTTATTTTAAATTGAAAAATAAATCAATATCATATTTCATCTCCAGCTGATTACCTTAAAGCCAATTATTCTCTTAAGGTTCTTAATTCCTTGTTGACTAAACCGATGGTTTCTGAAACTACATCTCTGTCAGAGGTTCTGGCTGCTCTGGAATCTTCATAGTCTTAGACTGCTTCTTCACATTGGGTGAATCTGTCGGTTCTGTCAGCAGTAACATTTTCAATTCTTTAGTTGGTTGTGTCTAAAGTAGCTTCAACTTAGGCAATGACATCATTCAATGCAGCTAAATCTGCTTAGGCATTAGCAAGGGAAGTTCCTGCAACAGTGAGGGCGATGACGACAAAGTTTCTTTACTTCTTGTAGGCTTCAACTCTCTTGTCTTCGGCGAATCTCAATAAGGCTAAAGAATCAGCAATCTTGGCCAACAATTCATCGGCTAAGTCAATGATCTTTTAGACTGCTCCAGCATCAGCCAATTGTTCAACCTTGGAAGCAATAGTAGCGAAGGCCTTGAATAATTTGCTGTATCCCTTTCTGTGTTGGAATTTGGCTGTTTTTTTGGCAGATTGGGTGAAGTGCTTTTAGATCATACTTGCAACTTCTCTGGTGAATGTATGGGCTGGTTTCTTTGTTGCTTTTCCTTTTTAGATGAAGGATTCGTGTTCAATGTTATCAGCGAATAGTCTTCTGGCTTCGGCAATGATAGCTGTGGCTTCTTGGTGTTCCAATACTTTCTCTTCGAAGTCAGCGTTCTCTTCAGCTCTGTAAGCATCAAGTTCATCCAAATCCTTTTAGTATCCTTTGACTTCACCTTATTTCTAAGCAACCAATCCTTTTAAGATTTCTCTTTATGGATATAATTATCCTTCCAATCTGGCTTCTAATTCGATCTTCTTTCTGTTGGATTCAGCCAAATCTTTATCGAAAGCAGAGATGTCCTAAAAATAGTAGAAAGGGAATATCTTACCACTGTGCAAGCATCTTAGTATTCGTGGTTTCTAGCATCATCTTCCTTCTATTCAGCAACGTATCTATCCTCTAAATCAGCCAGGGTTTAGATTAATCTGTCCAATGGATCTCCTGTTTGGAGTTCGAGCCAAATTGTATCAAATAAGGTTCTGCCAAAAGGTGAATTGTCAATCTTCTTAATTTTGGCAATAACATCAGCTTGTGTTGATGAGGCCAACACAATGAGGGCTAAGGCAAAGATAATTGTCTTCATTTATTGATATTATTAAAAATTAAAAAAAGCTAGTCGTTTTTATTTTTCCAAAAATGACGTCTTATTTCAATAAAATTATCTTTCTCTGACTAAATTTATCAAATTAAATTTCATAAATTAATTAGCAAATACCTTAGATTCTATGTAAAGCATTCTCTCATAATTCTGAGCAAAGGCTTTCATAATCCATTATTTATTTTTTTGGTAGAACATAAAAAACAATTTTCTCAATAGAAATTTCTCAAGAACTGAAAAATTTATTTCTTTGATTTAATGGTAGTGTTATTTGCAACTACACACCAATATTGAAATCCAAAAATATTAGTAAATTTTACCATCAGTTTAATGATAACAATTATTAATAAGCATAATTTTAGATTAATATTATATTGAATATTACTTCTTATATATTTAGTATATATATGACATTCAATTTAATTAAATATATTAATCTAAATGACTTATCAAGAATATATTATTATAGATTGATTGACTAAATTCTTATATATTTTTTAAAGCAAGAGATTTGATAGAAGAGAGTAGATATTAGATTAGGATGGTTTAGGGTACATATCACACTGATCAAAAGTGAAATAAAAATAAATGGACTAAAAAAAAGCATTAATTTATTCAGAGTTTTGAAAAAAATTAATTAATTTAGTGATTAGTTGATCAGTTCTTGAATACTTCAACATATATTATTAACAATTATTTTTGTTATGAAATTTTTGATTGTTAATGGATTTACTGCAACTGCTCTTCACTCTAAGATCTTTAATCAATTTAGACAATAAATATATGAAGTATTAATTCAATATACCTAGATCACTTAAGCATAGAAGGAAGTCGCTGATATTGACTTTGATTATATTGAGCTTGATAGACACAATTTAGAAGAATATTTATTTGAGCCAGAAACATCTCATATCAGGCCTGAGAAAGGGCTGAAATTTAATTCGATAGACATGGTTTTTATCATCGCTTCCCCAAATACAAGACCCTGGAATCATAATATGCGAAATGTATCAACACATCCACTATTGTAGATAATAAGTCTTATAAGAATGTGCATCAAAACTAAGAAATTGCTTTTTATGACCTCGTTTGGAGCTCAAGCACTTGCGTATTTGTGTGCTTCCAATATTTCAACTGTATTTATTCTCATTTTATAAAAGCATATTAATATTACAAATGGAAATGGAGAGGGCAGTAAATTGGTTGATTTTCCAAAGTACACTATTGAAGCCTTGAAGAATGCTCATGATGACTACTTTTTGGACACTACAACTGGAGATTTGTATACATACAACAAAGTTACAGACGAATGGATGCCTAAATGTAACATTGGAATTCATCACAGAAGAGACGCAATGGAATATTAATCTATAGGAAAGTACGTTGTAAAATCCCCAGCTTACAAACCCAAATAAGCTATGCTCAGCAATCAAACAGAAATGACGTGCATAATTAAAAAACCATTTTTACATTATTGGTTGTTTAAAGATGTTAACATTGAGTTCTAAATTAAATAATCAAACACATGGGATATACATGCCATCACATTTACAAACCCAGAAAAAGTAACAAAAATCAATTAAATTATAGAGATTTCAATCTTTAGCTGAAAATAACCTACGAGGTCCCTTAATAATTCAGTGTGATAACATAATAGCAGTGTTGTTTGAATTGGATTATAAATAAAAAGACTAGATTAATCTGTTATCGAATTTTATAGAAAATGGAATCAAGATAATTAGATATTCCAATTCATATGTATCAATATTAACATTCTTAGAACACAATTAGTATTACAAACGAAAAGTAATTTACTTCCCCAAGAGGATTGGAAAACATATAATTGATCTATAATTAGGATACTAAATCGAAATCCTAACATTTATAGGAGGATATGATGAAGAAGCAACATAAAGCTTATGTGAGGGAATATCGCAAATTAGTTAATAAGGCTATTTTAGATTCAGAGAGAGATAGAGATAAAATTTTACATGTGGGATTCTCAGTAAAGAAAAATCGTTTACCAGAGTATGTAGTTATATACTATAAAGAGTTGTTGAATAAAATAATATACAGCAGAAAACATTGAAAGCAACTCAAAGGAAATCATTTATTGCGAAAAAAGAACACTTTTAATAAAATTTTGACTCTCTTAAACTTAATTAAGATGCAAATCAAAGTTACAAGAATCCTTCAACTAGTCGAAAACACTTAAAATTACGAACTGAACCTAAAGGAGTGCTATTTCAAATGATTGATGAACCTGAAGAACAAAACTTAATTTAAACCCATAGAGTACTATCCCACATCGAAGTCAGAAGATAGTTACATCCTTCACTAAATCAAGAGTTTTTGGGATCTTCAAAAAATTGGATCCCAGGATTCTTGAAATTAAATAAATCTAAGATCTCCTAATCATAACCAAATTCTGCTAGACATACATTTTAATAACTACTTGATTGATTAATTTATAATAGTATTATTGAACTATATATTAACACTTAAATTCACGATTCATGACACACACACTTAACACCTACCTAATTTATTTAGTAAAACAAGTAGTTCTCTAATCATTTATATTCTATAGTTTCGAACAAGAATTAGATTTGATAGCAGTAATTAATTATGTTTTCTTAGATCATTTACAAAAAATATTTTGAAACTTATTATCGTGGTTCATTGAATATTACTTTGGGATTCAATATGTTATTGCAAAAAGTATGTCAGAATTAAGCAATAAGAATTTGGTTATTTTAGGAAATTACCCTTCTTAAATCAGAAATTGTATTGAATTAACAAATAATGTTGTTAGCTATGAAAATTAAATAGCTTCTTCATTTATTTATTCATCCTTCTTTGAGTTAAATTAAAAATAATTTCAAATCATCTTCAGATAATTGAAATAATTCTAAAAGTGTTTCAGAGTCGTTATTTGTGTATTGCTTGTACTTTTTGCTAGTTCTTTGAAAGTAGATTATTTTTTTAAAAGAGGTTTTAGTATATTAATAATTTTTAGTATCTTAGACCACTGATTTTTACATCAGGGAATCGAGAACAAAAATAGTTTCATGTTTTTGATTTGCTCAACAATATTTCTAAACAGGGTGAAATTACCCAATTCAGATTTAATGCTTTGAGTTAGTCAATAATTTGCTATATTTCTAGATAAATAACGGAGATAGTGAATATTATTGCAAAGTACACAAGCTTGGAGAACTTAGAGAGAATAAGTTTGAATAATTTATAAAATTGCATATGTTGAATAAATTTATTAATTTAATTATATGAGTGAAATATTATAGTAAGATGAAGAAATTTAATTAGATCAAGAAAATATTAGAGGATATTTAGATGATGAAATTCTAGGATAGATTGTAGAATAATATTAGCATTAAGGACTCACAAACTAAACAATAACATAATATACTTAGTTAGTATCAAGAGGTTGCCAATTAGTAAATTTAAATAACTTATTATTCAGTTGCATCCATTGTTACCAAAGCTACCGGACTAAAAAGGAGTAAAATTTATAAGTTAACAAGAATTACTCAATTTAGATAAAACTTTGTTGGGACGACTTGAGAGTGATTAGAGATTCAGAACATATAGGGAGAAAATTATGAGAAATACTTCTCAGTCCTATGTGCGAAAATTCAATCTAACAGACAAGAGTCAATCGGTTTTGAATGACAGCTGCTGCTTGAAAGAATAGATTTAATTTTAATTGGATCACAATAAAACTTAGTTAAGATATTAGGAAGAACAGTAAAAGCAAAATATAATGAGAACAACGTTCGCTAGATCAAGATCTTATAATCATAATAAGCTACCGAAAATAAAAACATATCCTGCCAAAATCGATGAGGAAGGGTAAATTATGCCAGCCATAAAAGCCAAAGTTATACAGGTTCAGCAACCTGAAGAAGAGTTCACAATTCCTACTCATTATTTAGGATGGATAGATATGTTCTACGGAAAATGGAGACCTTAAATGAGAGAAGGAGCTTCCTTGGATAATATCTCTGGGAAGTTATATTTATTTGGAGGAATAAGTAGCAAACCATTTAATGATGTTGTTATTTGGGATCATAAGGAATGGCTTCAACCTCAGGTAATTGGAGAGAAAGCTCCTTTTGGTAGAACCAACCATATTCATTGTGTATATAGAAGAAATATATATATATTTGGAGGTGAGAAACCCTATGATGGTTAACAGAAGATAAGGGAGAGCACCAATGACTTTAGAGTGTTTAATACAGGTAATTTGGTGATATATGAAATAGAAAATAATGAGTTCAAAGCCTTAAGATTTGGAGGAGAGGTGATTGAAGGGAGAAGGGGGGCATCTGGAGCTATTGTAGGGAAGCATATCATTATCCATGCAGGAGTCAATACCAAAGGGAAATATTTAAGCGATTTATATCACTATGATATTTTGAACAATAAAATGATTTTAAGTTAGGTTGAGCAGAATGACTTTTTTACTAATGGGATTGCTTTTCATACGCTCATCTCCGTTTTTAGTAGTTAAAGAAATATACAGATTTATAAGAACTACATGGATCCTGAGGAGATGAAAGAAGTCAAATATAAAGTAGAAGGAGTGTATTTGTTTGGAGGAGAATCTAAGATAGGAGCATTGTATTCTGGTTTATACATGCTGAATCCTTGTACTCGTCCTATGTAATGGTCTTTGGTTTCTGGCAAAGGGTAATTACCAAGTAAATATTGATTTAATTTCATCTTAGGTAGTAGATACAAACACTCTGCTTCTTATTGTGAACGGTAGGGAATTATAATTATTTATGGGGGGATAAGCGAATCATCTTTATTTTTAAATGATTGCCACATTTTCAAAATTGAAACTCAATCTTGGAGCAATGTTGATTTAGAGTGCAAAGAAGGAAGAGCAGGTCATTGTGCTGTGGTGGATGATCATAAACTTATGATTTTTGGAGGCTATAACGAAACTGGATTTCTTAGTGCTGACTTTCAGATTCTAGAAATTGATTCTATGATAGCTTATCGAAATAGAAGATAAGCCAATATATCGAATCATCTTGTAACTAATCCTTTATAACTATCGACTACGAATTAAAATGTCAAAACAAAACAGTAAAATTACACTGACAGAATGAGTAAAATCAGAGAATAAGTTGCCAGTCTTTCTTATAATATTAAATCTTTCATACCTAAACCTATCATTAAATAGATATCTGCCAAGAATCTCAATAAAATCAATAAAGAATAAATGCTATTTTCTTAAAGGTTGAATGAGGAGACTTCCGAATTAATCAAAGATTTTGATTATATAGAAGAAAGCAAAGATGAAATGAAGACTTCTTCCAAGCTGGATGGCTCTCCGAATTCAAATAAAAAACTTAGTGATAGGCGCTCAATTTCAATTAGAAATTTATAACCATTTTCCCATTGACTAGTATTAATTTATATGTTTAATCAATATTTTATATTTAAATTTGAAAATGACTACCTAGTGGAATCCCTATTTCATACCAAAAGAAAATTATCAGTAGTTAAATGTAAAGCTTACAATCAAATTAGAATATTTCCTTTGTAAGAATTGATTAGAATTCCCAATAGCCTTAACATCCAAAATCCATACTATGGCATAATAAAATTTAGATTCAAGTAATATGGATCATCATAATAGGCAAATCCGAAACCTGAAGAAACAAAATATAAAAGAAACAAAAAGCAATCCAGTTGTATTCCATTCTAAATCAACATCCCCTAACAAACATCCAATTCTACCTTAACAAAAGTTGCTTAACCAAGTTTAAAACCAACCTTACAGAAGCCAAAACCGAATGAAGATAATAATTTGAAAGATTCAGCAGTATGGGAGAGAAAAGATTACTAAAATCCCTAAGTTACTTTTGAATCCTTTCTCAATTAATAAAATCTCTCGAGAAATAATTCCATAGATAGCAATAACAAAACTTAGTTCAAAAAAAATCATCGGCAATACAGTCATGTAGTTTAAGGTAATTCAGGAACATATTTTATGATTTCCAATATCCCTTAAAATAACAACGCTCACAACAACACTTCGAATTCTTACTATTCTAATTATGACAAGTATATATAAATGAATATTGATAATTTTAGCTGCAATTCTCAAAGAGAAGAAAAAAAAGTTGAAAAATTGAATGTTCTTAAATTTTTAATCTAGGACAACTCCTCAAATTAATTAAGTGAAAGAACCATCAAAAAGTAAAGTCCTAATAACAATTTATTAAAACATAAAAAAAATACTAGATGCATTTCAATGGGAGAACAAAAACATTTGGGTCTCACCCTAGAATGTGATGAATCCAGCATTACAATATTAAGCGACAATGCCAATTCAACCAAATCTAAAAGCATCTAAATGAATCAAACTGTGATTTAAAATGAAAACGATAAGGATTCATAAATTGGTGGATTCTCTTCTGAAACCCTATAAGCCTTGATGCTTTAAGAAATCGAACACTTTCCGAATCCTGATTACATGGTTACTATACAAACTCAAATAAGTCCTAAAGTCAGGGCTATTCTGATGGATTGGATGATTGATGTTTGCTCTGTCTATCAGATGAAAAGAGATACCTATTATTTAGCTGTAGCATACGTTGATAGCTATTTATCAAAGAAATCCATCCCTAAAGTTGATGTTTAATTATTGGGTACAGCCTCAATGCTAATTGCATCCAAAATGGAAGTATATTCATATGTTATATTCAAGGAAGTTGAGGCAAAACATGCTAGTGAATTTGAAAAAGCCGCCAATCATGGGTATACAATTGATTAAATTTATCAAATGGAGATTGATGTTTGTACTGTGCTATAATGGCATTTGAATCTTCCTACGATTAATCTTTGGATTGAATTCTACACTAATTAATGGGATAATTTTATAACAGATGTTCAAAGGAAATTCAGAGCCAGCAACACAGCTTCCTATAAATGTAATTCATTCGATTTTTATCCTAAGTAATTTTAAAATTGCAGGCATATATTGATTGTTGCTATTTGGATATTTATACGTTAAATTTTAAACCAAGAACCTTAGTAGCATCCTTTATGTACTTAATCTTGGCCATTGAATACTAACAATTCACTAAAGAATAAATATATTATGAAATTCCTAAGACCAGTAAATTCATACTTGTTGACTGTAATCCTTTATTTAATTCATAGCTTAGAAATCATTCAATAAGCTATTTACTGAATTTGTATAGTTTAGTTTTGGTTTCAATCTAGTAGATCTAATAGATGTTATCAAATATGCAGCAAAATTCATAATGCTTGATTTTAAATTTAGTGACACTGTCCAAGATAAAATCATTTAAGTAGTTATATGAATAACATAAATAGAGACACGAAGACTTACTTATATACTAAAAATATAATTAATCAGGACTTTTGTACATCGAAAACAAACTTCAAAAGTGAAATATGTTGAATTAAATTTGTTTTTTTACTTTTAAACAATTTAAGTTGTTTATCTAATTTAATCTTTTATCGTCATAAAATTCAAGAAATATTTATATTGAATATAGAATAACAATTTAGAATATTTTCTCTGTAAATTAGAAAATTGGAATATTATGAAATATTCTAAATAATAATAATATTTTATTCTTATAATCATTTTAGATGAGCGAAAATGATGCGAATTTGGGATTACTATCCAATAAATCTAATGCTAAATATAAAGAACCGAAGAAGAACAGCGATGATTTTGAAATTTAGGATTACGGAGATGATTAGGAATACGTCTCTTTAGATGATGCTAGTAAACTTGATTTTATTACTTCTTAGAAGTACAACATGCTGAAGTTATTTAACCAAAATAAATCGAATAACCGATCACTCCTCCTTAAAATAACATATAAAGTTAGCCAGAGCTTTAAAAAAATTAGAATTAATAATAGACTTAGCAACAGAACTAATTTANAAAGAAATCCATCCCTAAAGTTGATGTTTAATTATTGGGTACAGCCTCAATGCTAATTGCATCCAAAATGGAAGTATATTCATATGTTATATTCAAGGAAGTTGAGGCAAAACATGCTAGTGAATTTGAAAAAGCCGCCAATCATGGGTATACAATTGATTAAATTTATCAAATGGAGATTGATGTTTGTACTGTGCTATAATGGCATTTGAATCTTCCTACGATTAATCTTTGGATTGAATTCTACACTAATTAATGGGATAATTTTATAACAGATGTTCAAAGGAAATTCAGAGCCAGCAACACAGCTTCCTATAAATGTAATTCATTCGATTTTTATCCTAAGTAATTTTAAAATTGCAGGCATATATTGATTGTTGCTATTTGGATATTTATACGTTAAATTTTAAACCAAGAACCTTAGTAGCATCCTTTATGTACTTAATCTTGGCCATTGAATACTAACAATTCACTAAAGAATAAATATATTATGAAATTCCTAAGACCAGTAAATTCATACTTGTTGACTGTAATCCTTTATTTAATTCATAGCTTAGAAATCATTCAATAAGCTATTTACTGAATTTGTATAGTTTAGTTTTGGTTTCAATCTAGTAGATCTAATAGATGTTATCAAATATGCAGCAAAATTCATAATGCTTGATTTTAAATTTAGTGACACTGTCCAAGATAAAATCATTTAAGTAGTTATATGAATAACATAAATAGAGACACGAAGACTTACTTATATACTAAAAATATAATTAATCAGGACTTTTGTACATCGAAAACAAACTTCAAAAGTGAAATATGTTGAATTAAATTTGTTTTTTTACTTTTAAACAATTTAAGTTGTTTATCTAATTTAATCTTTTATCGTCATAAAATTCAAGAAATATTTATATTGAATATAGAATAACAATTTAGAATATTTTCTCTGTAAATTAGAAAATTGGAATATTATGAAATATTCTAAATAATAATAATATTTTATTCTTATAATCATTTTAGATGAGCGAAAATGATGCGAATTTGGGATTACTATCCAATAAATCTAATGCTAAATATAAAGAACCGAAGAAGAACAGCGATGATTTTGAAATTTAGGATTACGGAGATGATTAGGAATACGTCTCTTTAGATGATGCTAGTAAACTTGATTTTATTACTTCTTAGAAGTACAACATGCTGAAGTTATTTAACCAAAATAAATCGAATAACCGATCACTCCTCCTTAAAATAACATATAAAGTTAGCCAGAGCTTTAAAAAAATTAGAATTAATAATAGACTTAGCAACAGAACTAATTTACCCCACAGTAATAAATTCAGCACCCTTAAATTTAATAACAATAATAATAACAAGTGCCTATTAACTAGTACCAAGTATTTCAAATTTACATAATATAGAATTAGTATAGTTAATATCAATATACTCCATATCAAAATTAATAATATTCTTATCAATAGAACTAGTAATACAATCCAGTTTCAAATGTATTCCAATAAACAGCCGTCCTGATTGACAGGAGTTTCAATCAAAGAACGTAATTATTATTTCAACAAAAAGACAAACCTATTAAACTTGCATGCATTGTAAGACTCCCTAGATGATATAAGATGAAAAATAACCATTTATGTGCTTTAGATGCTAACAAATTAATAAGCCTAATTTTGGTTATTTTCAATGCGGCTCATGTAAAATTACAGTCATGTACCAATCCGGATGTAATATCTCACTATTTAATTAGTATCTAATTTAATTAGATGCACAAAATGCCAAACTATGAATTATGTCTAACAGCCTAACCTTCCAAATACATTATAATAATATCAATAGTCATAATAATAGTAGAATTTACTATAATAACAACAACAATAGCAATTTAATATTTCAAATTCTTAATTGTTCTAATCCTAAAATTAATAGGCAAATTAATAACAGTTATCTGAGTATTCATAATACTAACAGCCCAATAAGGAATAAAAGACTATTGCCAGAAACTAGGTTGATCCAATGTATCAGGAAAAATGATAAAAATTCCATATTATTATACAATATTTATTAGTTTATGTTAAACTAGGATTTTGATATTGAAAGTCTTTCCCAAAATTTTGCAGGGATCTCTAATGAGAATTAATAACTCATTAAGGACGTGTAAAGTATTCTGAGAAATGAAATTGTGGACGAAGATGGGTTGATAAAGTTGTGCCAATAAGGGTTTACAAATTAAACTAATAGATTACGAGGGATAGTTTGGAGATTGTTGTTGGGGTAACAAATTTAATTGTTGAAGGTATTTCCCTCTGAATAAAAAGTATTGGTCTTAGGTGATTATGAAAAACAAGGATAATTACAACAATATTAAAATAGAAAATATTAAGAAAGCACCTCCTTAAAAAAAGAATGATCATCCTCTATCTAGAAATACAGATTCTGATTGGAATAATCATTTTTAAGATTAATAATTATGGTCTAAAATCTAGAAGGATGTCATCAGGACTAGAGTGAAGGAATTGGGAAGAGAGGAATATAGAGAGATGTTAAATAGGATTTTATTTTTGTGTTGTAAATTAAATAAAATGGATTATGTCTAAGGAATGAATGAATTTGCTGCATTAATGTAATGCTAAATAGATTTAGTCTGTATATGTGTATGAGTGATCCGAATGAGAAATTACAGAATGAGAGTGATGCATTTTACTGTTTTATGATATTGATGACAAGTTTGAAAAACAACTTTTAGCTTTAAAAGGAAAAAGTAAGGGCATTTTAGGATTTATTAAAGAAAGTAGATTGGAAATTACATGATCACTTAGTGAATCAAAAAATGGATTTTTCGATCCTATATGTAAAATGGTTTATGATTATGTTCGCTTAAGATTTTCACATAGATGATTCTTTACGCATTTGGGACTGTTTGTTTTGCTAGAAAAACAATAGAGAAGAATTTTTATTCTGCTTAGCAATATCCTTCTTGATATAATTGAGGGAAGACTTAATCGTAGGAGATTTTGGATCAATTTTGTTGATTCTACAAAATCTGGAGAAATAAGACATCAATTTAAGTGAAGTGATCTAAAGAGCTCAACTCTTATAGAAAGAACAAAAAAAATGTTGATGATGTAAGCAAAACTTAAATATATTTAAATAAATTATAATCATGATTAACTAAAAGAAAAGTCCATTTATTCCTTCTTATAATGAAAATTGTTCTACTAAATTATTGAATGTTGTAATAGATCATCCTTATCCACTCCCTTTAAATTTGGGAATATTTTAAAAAGCAATCTTTTGTAATCCTTAGACAAAGCACATTAATTTTAATGACAATTGATAAATTCTAATGATTTATTAATGAGCAGCAATTATTGCAAAGATGAGATGCAGTTTTAACTGATATTTAAAATCTTTAAACATTTTGTATTGCTTAACTAAGAAATTTAGTTGTTTTGGGCGTACAACTCAACTAAATTTGGTGGCAATCCTTCCAAAGATTTTAAATTATTTCCCCCCACAGATAAAACTTTTAGATCTGTCAACTCCTCTAACTTTAGTTCTTTAATACATAAGGAATTTATGCTCAAAAATTATAGGTTCTTAAATATCATGGTCACTTCTCGAATTTCTGAACATCTATCATTAAAAATTAAGGTTGAGACATTATAAATAACTTTATTAAGGTTATGGAAAACTAAATAAAAGTCTGAAAGTGTAAAGGTGCTTATTCCATTTAAGATTATCTCCTATTCATTCTATTGAAGTTATTTTGTTAATTCCTTAATTTATTAAAAATGTGTCTTCTTTAATTGATGCTACTACTTCTACTTCGTTATATATTCAAATAATCATACATACTCTATCTCATTTTCTATATGAGTTATTTTAGCGAGAATCTTCTTTTATGCTTCTTGTAAATTCTCAATCCTCATTCTTGGACTTTTGGAAAATTTAGATGCTTTGCAACTTTATTGGGTCTTAACTAATTTTGTTGGGTCATGATAAGATACTCTAATTTCTTATTTGACTTTGGCATCATTCAATGTCAAATCATTAATAGAATCTGTTAAAGAATTCACACAAGTTGACAATTGTGGATCCTATTAATGAAGATTACCAATAATTTAAAAGAAGTCATCGTATGTTAATCTAATTTTCTTATATTTATAAACTTCTTCAATAACTTCTTCTAATGAAAATAATTCATCCTGAGGATTAACTTATTCTGTAATTATCTCATCCTTTAAAGAACTGATCAAATCTTAAATATCTAACACGCTTTCCTTTACAAAGAGCTTCTTTATATGGATCAACCAATTCAACTTAGATAAAAATATATCCATTAAATTAATTATAAGTATATGAGTACGGACCCAGGCTAATAAAATTCATTCATGAACACTTTATTAATTTAATAAGATTAGATAATTTAATGCTTGTTTTGTTTTTATCAATTTTGATCAACACCAATCTAGGAAATGTACTAATCTAAGAAAATTAAGAATCTACAGAATATTTCAAAATCCATTTTGGTGAACCCAAGATAATCTTAAGATTACCTGAGGCTGAAGATGCTGTTTTAGAGAGTTTCGATAAATCAAGTATTTGTGAAGTAAAACAATAAACTGTTTAAACACAGACATAATAATTTACCATACTTAAATCTGATGAATTCAAAGAGTATATTGATTAAATAATTGATTAATAGTTATGAGTTTGAGAATGATACTCCATTAAATTTTAGATAATTCATTGGAATGGTTCATGTTAATGATGGAATGATTGCTATTACATCTGATTCTGTAGCATACTTATTGAAATTCAATTATGATAAAGTAATAAGTTAGCATGGTTTTGCAACATATGGAAATGGCGGTGATTTTGCAGGTGTAGTTTGGAAGGCAAACCTTTAGGAGATTCTGGTATCAACAGAGTCAAAATAATAATTACCTCAGTTAGTTTATTCAAAAACTAGAAATCTTGCTTTCCTTTTATTCACTGATACTGCTCATTATTTTAGTGTTTCTGAAATGGAAACCAATTAAAATACGCTCTCTATATATTAAATTTCCACTTTCATAAGCAGAGATGAAAGAGGGCTAACAAAAGAAGTTGAAGGGTATTTGTTCTCGGCAGTTGGGAAGGCAGGTTTGGACATCTATTAGATTCAAGATTTATCTGTTGTTTACTAAACAACAATTTCTTTCAAAGATTTGGATATTGTTAATCATTAATTGGATTTAAAAGACTTTGCTATATTAAAGGTTGAAGAAGGAAAATATTAATTGTATTTGCTAGATGCAAAATTAGGTTTAGTTTTGGCCTATATGTACATCAATTAGGATACTTTAAGCTTTGAGAGAGTTATTGAAGTTGAACCAATACCAAATGGCATAGCAGTTGATACAAAGAATGGGAAAAATGTATTTGCTGCCTTTGAGGATAACGGTCTTCACTTTTATATTGAATATTTTGTGGATTTTACACAACGTAGTTATTCGATTATCACAAAAAGAGAGAGCAATTATAGAATATTAGATGTTGATGCTACAGATGAATTTGCAATTATTAGCGGAGTAAGCAATCATCAAATAGTGTTTTAAAATGGCTATGATTTTATTGCTCCACACAAATAGCAGATCAGGTTCTCCCAGATAGGTATGAGAGATTTTGAATTTTTTAAATATTCTTATTCAAAAGATAATCTCAAAAATGCTGCTGAATTTGATGAATATTAATATGATGATTTCTTTTTTGGAGTCACTGCAACTAATGCATTTTTAACCAAATTTAAATTTGTTCCTGCTAGAGTAGTTTGTTTCACTGATAATAGTAATCATCTCTTTTTATTTCTAGAGTAATTATAAAATGCAAAGTAGTTTTATAGTTTACACTATAATTAATCCTACGTTGCAAATGATATTGTGGCCAAAGATATGGTAATCCGAACAACAAAAAACTTTTAAGTTGAAGTTGTTAGAACCTTTTTGTTTGCATAGCAAATTAAAATAATTTATGTTATATTAATATCTTTAGGAATTGTGATATTTTTCTTTGGTATCAATTCTTTATGATTATTATATAGTAAGCGCTATTTGTTATAAATTTTAATAATTTAGAAAGGAGGAGACAAGGCTAGAAATAGAAATAGAAAGTAAACATAAAATGAATGAATCTCAAAACCAAATAAAATTTGATGAAAGTTAAGTGATTTAAGCTCCTTGAATAATGTGAAAGATCTTATTTTTAATTTATATTTTAATAAGAACAAATAAAGAATACTTTCTTGTTTTCAAATTTTCATTATATAATGATAAAATAATGATTTTAATTCTAATTTTAGTTAAGTTAATAGAGGGGATTATAATTAAGGAGGTGACTGACAAAAACTAAACTAAGAAATTTCATTTGGATAGAGCAACAACAATAATTACGATGCCTGGTGCAGCAGATTCTATTTTAATTGAAAATCAAAATGATAGTTACTGTTGGTCTCAACAACCAGCTGTCAAAACTGAGACAAAAACAATGAATATTATTACAGAGAAGGATCTGACTGATTATGTTTATTAAGAAGAAACTCCATTAAATTTCGGATAATTTATTTCAATGGTCCATGTTAGGGATGGTTTTATTGCTATTACTTCGAATGCCAAGATTTATCATTTGAAATTTAACTACAATTACATCCATGAGATATTCAGTTTTCCAGAGTATGGAAATCCATACGAATTTGCAGGATTTCGATGGAAGGTAGATTTACAGGCTTATGCTCCAACAACAGAAGATAAAGAAGAAATCCCTCAAATTCTATACCTGAAGACAAATAATTTAGTGTTAGTGCTATATCCCAACAGTGCGCAGTTCTTTAGTATGTATGAAATGGATGCAAATTCAAAACACTTAATTTTGTACACTGCTTCATCTTGGAAGAAGAGAAAAGAAAGAGGACTTACAAAAGAATATTTTGGCTATGTTTACAGCAGCGTAGGCAGAGAGGGAATTGATGTTTATAGAGTATCATCATATGACGTTAGATTTGAATTAACAATTGATTTGATTAGGTTGTTTCCAGATTTTACTAAATTATCAGATTTTATTGTAATTAAGAAAGATCATGATGAATTTCATATGTTTATGTTGGATGTTGTGATTGGATTAATTGAATTGGCGATAGAGATTGAAGATGGAGAATTCAAGTACAAAGTGAGACCAGAAATACCAAGAAAAGAGGGAGGTATTGCAGTTGATACAAAAAATGGTAGAAATGTGTTTGTTGTTTATAAAGAGTTATTTCGATACTCTATAATTGAATATTTGTACGACAAAAATATCGAAGGGTATGAAATTGTGAATTAACATATCTCTTACTAAAAAGTTGTAGGGTTGAAAGTAACAGACGAGTTTGTTTTAATACAAGGTTTAATTCATCATTAGCTTATTTTCTCTAATTCCTTTAAATTAGTTAACCCAGACACCGAACCAACCATATACACATTGTTTGGTGTTCGTAATTTCATGTTTTTCGATTAAAATACAACAGATTATCCCTTGTTAAAGAAATTCAATATTACTGGGTTCCAATACGATGATTTCTTTTTTGGTGTAACAGGTTCAGGGGCATTTTTAGTTAGATACAATTTTACACCTGCAGGAGTCAAATGTTATAGTAACAATGGTAAATTATGTATCAATAATAAATAGAAACTTAAATATTAACTTAACAAAGTTATCAAGTTAAGTATAATGTTACATAATTTATTGATGGAGAAGTAAATAGGGATTTAGTTGTACGACATAGTTTTTATTTAAACGTATAATTATCTTATCCAGAACCTATATTAGAAGATGAGCTAATTAAAACCTTGATTCTCGTTTTCGTATTGCTATTAGGTAATCAATTGTGATTATGAAGTTTGTTTATTGGCTTTAGGATGCGTTGAGAAAGTCAGGCAAAGACATGAGAATGAGAAATTTTAAGCTCAACCTAAAACAGTAGAGATGATGATCTAACAAAATCCATTTTCAAAGATAAATCAGAAGTTAATGAGTGATGATTATAAATCTAAGTAAGAAAGAAAAAAGGACAAAAAGAAGTCACAAATTTAGTCATAGCTAATTTGAAATGTTTATAATTAATAAATCTATATTAATTATTTTAACAGATATATCATAATTCTGATTCAGCTTCATAATATTATTCCAAAATGCTAAAGCATTTTTGATAAACACTCTAATTCTAATGCTTTTGTAATTATTCTATCTTTGAAATGACTCCCATTTATTCCAATTAGGTTAAGTAATAATTATCATCTTTAAAATCTTAATCACCTAAACTCTAAAAAGAAAGAAATACCTCTCTTCAAGACATTTAATAAAGCCTCAAGAACCACAGTCATAGTTTGTGTGTCCTCTCCTTCTAATAGTTATTTAAACACATTAAGCAATCCTTTTTAAACTAGCAATTAAATGTCTGAATTGCTTCCATGCTTGGTTGAGTTTGAAATGGCCCAAGTTGCTTCCCTTACTATTTCTTCTACATCTGTGGTCATTAATGTAAAGAGTTTCTCTAAGATTGCAGAATCCCTAACGACTTAGCTAACCTGATTGCTACTTCCTGCAGTAATGTTTGAGATAGTCCAACAAGCCTATGATAAGATAGAGCATTACTTCTCTTCTGATGGCCTTCTTGTCATGAGAGAGCAACTTTGGTATTTTTAGTAACAAACCTTAATTTAATACATATGTTGTTTAGGTTTCGTCTCCAGTTACAACATTTCCCAAAATCCTTAGAGTTGGGATAACTAGTTAAAGAGATGAATGATCAAGTAATTTAATTAAGGTTGGGACGACTTAAGAATCAATCACAGTTTATAATCTGCTGTTGTCTCCGTCGCTTAAGTAGGACAAGGCCCAACAAGCATCCGTCAAAACTTCAGGGTCAGTTTCATCTATTATGACTTTGCAAAATACAGGTAAAGCATTTTTGACATACTATTTATTAATAGAATTTGATAAATACCTTAAAATCAGGAATTGGCTTTCCTCTGCAAAGATTGCTCAATGACCATGTGCAATGTTTAATGGTGTTTTTATTTGGAGCATTTTGCATTATGGTTATCAAGGGATCGACTCCACCTACTCTTAATATAAGGTCTCTATATTAGGTGCAATCTCCAGCAATATTTCCTATGGCCCATACTGCTTGTTCAGCAATATCTCTATATTATGAACTCAAGAGTTTAACAAATAAATAGATTCCTCCCTTGTCAATAATAGATTGAGTTTGTTGAGTCGTTCCACTTGCAACATTTGTCAAAGCCCAAGCAGCTTCAAGAACGAGTTGCGGAATTTGCTCTTTTTATATCATGTCAATTAATTTTGGTACCAAATTTGCATCTATAACCTACTAAATTGGAGCGCCTGACTTTAAGGTTAAAATGTATTTCTTACTTCCACTGACAACATCTTTCTTAATCCTGTCACTCCGTAATGTAATTATAATACATCAGTTGAAAAGATCTTTTGGAGAACATCAGGAAAATCTTCAAATGAAAATGTTCGTTTCATAAGTTGTTCTTGCTGAGTTTTTAAGGCTAATTGTAAATCTTACGGAAGAGTGGGAGGTATTAATGGCAAGGATTCGGGAGTTTTGTTGGTTTAATTCTAAAATGATTATTCAATATGAACTACATTTTAAGCTAATCTTTTATTGTTTATTATGTTATTTCTTTCCCTGGACCTGATTTCTGTTGCAAATTCTTCTCTTTTTTTCTTGACCTCACTATTTTATTCAGCTTCATTCACTTGCACATTCCCAAATAATGAAAACTAATTTTATGGCTACATAATAAAATATTTTATGATAAATTTTACTTTAATAAAAATTATTAACTATATTGTATTTATTTTTCAAAATAAATATGAAATACAACAGTTAAGCTTAACCTCCTTCGAATTTCCAACACTTTATGGGCGTTGCTCCAAACTAGTTCAACTCTAATGCCAAAAGTTAGGTAATCTATTCTTAATTTATTTGTCATAGACATTGAATCCACAATAACAGAATCAGTTTGATTAATCTAGAGTCTCAAAACTGCCTGCTTCTAAAGTTGAGGAGATCAATTAGCACCAATCTCATGAAGTTAATCATAGTCAGATTGATCTCCATTAGCACTCATCTAAAGGCTAACATTATCATCCTCTCACTATGCCATGCAATTGGGATTTGGCTAGAAAACATGCTTAATCAAGAAGGACTGCTTTAGAGAAAAAGAAGGATATTAATAAAACTACGAATAGTATGCTTATTCCTATTATCAATCAGTTGAAACCTGTCCTTGCTGTGGCTTTGAAGTGGAGAGAGATGATATCCCATATTGTTCAAATCCTATGGCTTTATCATTTCTAGGTTCTGGATTCACCTTATTTTACAATTATCTTAAATATTGCATAATAATTTTGTTCATAACTTTGGTCACTAAGCAGATCTATAATCTCTATACCAGTTATGAGGGATCATATTGTAGCCACCTTAAAAGAGAAAAAATAGAAGGACACATTGTAGAATTACCAAACTGTTCAGAATCATTGTTCTTGAAATTATCATTGGCTAATAAATTGGAGTATTTTATATTTTTAAATTAGCAATCGCTAAGCTTTAGAGCATGTGCAAATCTTAAACTTTATAAACCTATTTATTGTAATGATGGTTCTCATCTATTTTAGAAAAAGCTAGAGATAGATTGATACAACTATAGACGAGGAACTCTTGACACCTGCTGATTATACTGTTTGTGTCAAGAATATTCCTCTAGGACTAGGATTAAATTACAAATGGGAGCTGTAACATATGTTTGAGACTTGTGCAGTTATTTCAGATACAAAATCTATTGTAGTGAAGAAGGTTGTTCTCGTTTACGATATTGAAGAAATAATCGAAATGGAAAAACAACTAGATGAATTAGTGGATAGGAAGAAAGATCTTATAAAAGAATATGATTATAATTTTAATCATCCAAAGGTCTTGGAAATGGACTCTAAAATCAAAGAGCTAGAGCATAAAATACATGAGACAGAGAAGGAATATGAAAGAGAAAATAAAAAGTTTGCTGGAATTGCATTCATATCATTTGATGATGAAAATATGAAAAATTTAGTGTTGCAGGAAAATCAACATACCCAATTTGAGAGAATGAAGTCATATTGGAATAAGGGTAAATTAGAAGGATTGTCCGAGAATGATTTATCATGGCATGACCAAAAATTATTTATTGAACAGGCTCCAGAACCAAATGAAGTGGATTGGGAATTCATTCATGTTAAGACTGAAGAGAAGATTAGCAAGAGAATGAAGGCTTGGATAATTTACATCTTAGTTGAAAGTGCAGCATTCTACTCAATATATCTGATATCACATAAAGTGGCTAAATATGGAGATGAGGCAAGAGAAGAAGAAATAAAAGGAAAATTGGATCATAATACGATGTTGAAAATAAACATTCTATCTTTTATTATCTCCTTGAGCATTGTTCTTTTTAATAAATTTGCAGTTGCTAAAATAGTTCATTATATTGTAGATGACGAAAAAATTTCCAGTAAGACTAAATTTCAAATATCGTTTGTGTACAAATACGCCTTAGCATTATTTTTGAATGCAGCTATTATTAGTTTCTTGGTGGATATTGTAATTTTAAAGAATGTAGAAGGAGCTGGAGGGTTCTTACAAAACGAAAGTTAGATTTTTATTCTGAATGCTATATTACCTCCGTTTATATGGTGTATAGATCCATGGAGCTTATGTAAAAACATCTGGAGATGGTATATTGTAAGAAAGGGTGACAAAGCCTTATTAACTTAATAAGAAGCAAATACATTAATGGAGGAGCCAGACTATTTGTCAGCCAAAAGGTATTCAGATATTATGAAAACAATGTGGTTTACTTTTCTATATGGTACAGCCATTCCCTTGGGCACAGTTTGCAGTGCTTTTGGAATCCTGATCTACTATTATGTTGACTATTATAACATTTTAAGGAGGAGAACTGTGAAGGAATCCATCAGCATTTAATTATCAACAGGTAAATGCAATTTTAAATTTATTAGAGATGATTGAGATGTTGGAATACATAATCGTATGGAGTGCCTTTGGAGAAATGATCATGACATATGCATTCTTCAAAGAGATAAGTTAGATTGATGTTCTGTTGATGGTGATTGCTATCGTCTATGCTTCCTTACCAATGGAAGACATCTCGGAATATTTGTTCCCAGTAGTCAACAATGAAGAAGTATAACTGATTGCTGATATAATTTAAAGATTAAACCATATGACGAAGGATGTTTGGGATTTGATACAGATTATGACAGAGAAAACCCAGTGACCAGACATAAGGCTATTGAAGAATGGAACGATAAATAAAAATTGCTGATCGATTCAAACTACAAAATTCAGAAGTACTATCAATAATAAGATCAATTTGGGTATAACAATGACGGCCATTACGGTAGAAGATGATTTTTGAAAAAATATTATTATCATTTTTAAATAATTATAAATGTTGAAAAGAATGTAAAGTAAAGAGGACATCATCAAAGATTAATATATGAAGACTTTAACATATTTCTTATAGGCGAGCACGCTTTACGATTGCTTATCTATCAATAATTAAGTCAGTGTAATTGATTAATCATTCTCTTTGTTTGATGTTTTCAATGTCTTTATCGAGACGCATATTGATGAAGTATTGTTTTGGAATCCAGATGTAGCTTATTATGATGGAGTGTTCACTCAAACTGATTTGATTAGAATCATTCTCAAATGCTACCAAAACACTCTAAATGGCATTCCCAATGGTAATCTTTACAGCATATTTTAGTCAGTCTGGGGAAATAGTAAAAATTAAGTTTAGCCCATAATGGAAGAAGAAGATGAAGATAGAACATCAACTCCTGTCAACCATACCTAAGCTATTGGCTAGGAGTAAATTAATAGGTTCCTCATTGATTTGAAGACCATCTCTGTAAGAGACTGGTTTAATTCATATGGAGAAAATCTTCATTAAAGCAGTCTTGTCTAGGCAGATATGGCTGATAACCTCAATGATGCCATAAAAAAAATTTTAAAGTAGGGAGTAACAAGAATTGTAGTTATTGATAGTGAATCCAGAGTAATAGTGGGCATCCTATAGCAAAAGGATATTTTGGCTTTTCTTGTTAAAGGATTTAGCTAATATTTCCATTTATAATTATCCTAAAAATCACAAAAGATTGAAGCTCAAAGTGAAAATCAATAACCATCTGAACAACATGAATTGGAGATTAGTTATTTTAGTGAAGGGATACTCTAATTGAAAGACAAACTCCCATTCGACACAAATGTATATGAGTAAATTACTCTCCTTATTCTAGTGTGTTTTATAAATTGATTTATGTTTTCAAAAGAAATGCTATACCTATTGTGGACGTTAATAACTAGTATTTAGGCTTGATTGATAGAAGGGATTTTTTATTCATCCTCAAATATCAAGTCTACGACATGGTATGACTCAACATTTAGATTAGCTCAATAAATAAGCCATTGATTTATTGAATTTTATTAGAATTGAAAAATCAAAGTATGCTGGCTTTTGTATTTGTAATAAAGAGCTATTTCATATGAAGTAAACTGTGAAAGAAGTATTATTTCAATTTATCGAAGGTTGTAGAAAACTTGCTTCTCTCTTCAAGAGGTAGTCTGGTATGTCTGAATGAAAACAAAGAACCTATTTCCACACTTTAAATGTCTGATCTCTTCAAAATATTTTTAGATGATATTGAAATAGAATGAAATTATTCTACGATAACAATAATAATATAAGTTTACGATGATAAATTGTATAATAAATTAAATCTTTTTTTAAAATATAAGAAATGGTCAAAAACTCAGCCCAAGACCCATAAGACAATTCTTTATAGATGAAAGTAAAGATGAAAATTACCTAGCATAGATTAGATAATACTTAGTCTCAGGCAGAAGACTTCCATCAAAAGAAGATCCAAATCCAAAAGTCATTAGCATGAGAATTTTTGCCAGAAATACAGTGGCAGCAAAAAGCAGATTTTGGTATTGATCATAAGGTTACAAATTAGGTGGAATTTAAGAAGATTAAATAAACTTAGACCATCACATGGTTAGATTTTAGCAGTTTAAGAATTGTTTGAAAGAAGAGACACAAATGTTAAGACATATGGAATAGTGCTTAAATATCAATCAAGAACAACAATACACAATATGTATAAAGAATTCAGAGATACTACATTAAATGGTGCAGTGTCTTAATTATGTAAGCATCCCATAAATCAATTCGGTAGACTAAGAAATGGCAGGAAATCATAGAGCATAACCATAAACAATTCACATTCTCAGAACATCAGTATTGACAAAGAGCGCTGATATCAAGAGAGGCAAAACAAATTAATACAGAGTATACGAATTTGCTATTTATCAAAGGGAGATTCAATTAAATTCCCAATTGTTAAGACTGTTCCAAGAGCAAGCCATAAAAAATTCAGAACTGTATTTAAAGCAAAAAGACCAAATCTTTATAGATCATGATGATAATGGTTTAGTACAATATTAATAATAAAAATAAATGGCAAATGAGCATTCTAATAATGACATAAATTTAGGTTTTTTCTTGCTGTTAATTTTAAATCCTAAGATCTTCAGAGCTCCTTCTTCGCAACATAAAAAGTGTAAAATAGCTTACAACAAGCACTTATACAAATAAATAAAAAGCACTTATTCTAAAAGAATGAGATAAAAAAATATTTAATTAATCAAACAAGGTTTGCTTTTTTGAAATTGATGTGAATGCTTGAAAATTTTAACAAACAAAATCTTCATATCGATTTTCATCAATATCGATATAATATAGTAAATAGTATTCTATTGTTATCATTACCCTTCTTAGAGACTTAATTGTTAAATTATACTTTTGAATCTAAAAATGAAATTTTTAATAGATTTCAGTATCAAAAAATCAGATCATTATGTAATACATGATTAAATCTCTCCTTTCAAGAGAGTCTACATGATAGTTCGTTGAATCTTTAACTTCATGCAAAAAAAGGTCTTTTCTTTATAATCAGTATTAGTGTTAAAATATTCTTCAGTTTTTACCAGTACTATAATATGGTGTATTTTAATAAAGAAAACTTTTGATGTGATTGATCATCCATATATTTCTCATATTTGAATGAGATGTATTAATAATATGTAACGAATTAAATATTTCTACTTAATAAAATTATCTTACCCATGAGCAGAATCAAAGGTTGAAAATAATGAGATTTAATATATATAATTGGTGTAACTGTATGCTAAATAAATCTGAATATTACTGTAAAAAGTTAGCATTACTAGAACATCCAATCCATCAAAATGAATCAGATTATATTTTTAGACTTTTAAATTAATTTCATCCCTGGCTTTCCTATAACTCATTAATTTGATTGAGATATAATTAATGATTGCACTAAAACAGAAAAGACTTAATACTTAAAATCAATATTTTTGAAGTAATTATGAGAATGTAAGGAAATAAAATTAATAAGAATTAGAAACTCATAAATATTCCTATCTTAAAAATTTCTCTAAGACTATCTTGGATTCAAATCTATGGTCAGCGGGTACTTCATGTCCTGCATTCCTGAAGCTAACAAAGGTCAAACCTTCAATATCAAACACATTTCCTGCATTTTAATCCTTATCGCATTCTCTTAAAGCAGGAATATACCAAGGTCTCCATGGTTTAATTGTATTCAGCTCTAATGATATTAAAATAGCATTACATAATTATTATTGAAGTTTATCAATCCAATAAAGAGTACCCACTATTGGTACCACTCCATCTACATCTCCACTAAGAATAAGAACTCTGATATTATTTTTGATGATAGTGGGATAAATGTCTAATGACCCATTTGGGTTTATTTAATAATCGTCGAAATTTATTGAGCAAGCAACCCATTTGGGTGACTTTTAATCGATATTCAATAGCTAGAATATTTAAGAAAACTGATTACAGTTCGAACTTCATCCTTCTAAAACCAATGATACAGACCTTTCACATCCACACAAGGAGGTACATCAGAGTCATCTCTCTCCTCGTCTGAAACTCGAAGTGGGCTTTTCATTCTTTAGCTTCCTTCAGGAGTTTAAATAATGCATTTGGAATAAACATTATATTAGTTCACCGGGTAGGAATATTAAGGTCCAGAAATTTAAGCTAAGGCTTCATAGGCTAATGCTTGGCATTGGGGCGTTGCAGATCCATAGCATTCCTCAGAATGATTAATTATTTTTTAATAGGTTTCTTCACTGATGAAGCCATGTCTTCCAAAAAAGTTTAATCTATGTATTGGGAAAAGGTATCCCTGTAAAGTACATTCGCTTGGATCAGTGCAACCATTACCGATCATTATGCCTTAAATGTTTATTTTTAAGACTTCTGGATTAACTGGTTGTTAATTATACTTTATAATCTCTTGAGTCAAAGTTGGTACATAGATACCAGCGTAAGATTCACCGCCAATATAGAATTTTTAGTTTTTGAAATTAGGAAACCTAACAAAAAACTAAATTAATGCATGCATATTGTATTAAGCAGTTGATTCATCAGATTATGCTCCAGCTGGGCCATAAGAATATCCAACAGATATTGGCGATTCAATGTAAAGCATGTTGGCCTAAATCATAAATTTATCCTTTTACAAACGATGTCCAAGTGTGTGGGTTCTCTTCAAATTCAATAGATTCAGGAATGAAGGTGTATGGACCACTTTCCGTAAATGCTGCAATCATGGATGAACATCCTGGTCCTCCAAGTAACCATAATATCAAAGGTTTTTCAGAGGCTGAATCGATAGCTGGATAAAAAAGGTAATGAAACTAAACTGATCCATCATCTTTTGCACTAAGATAACCGGAATAGCTAGTAATTTATTCAATAATCTTACAGTTATCCTTGATAGTTTGTTCCAAAAAGTGTATTTAGTTTTACCATGTCAACTTCATCCTTCTCCAATGTCTAAGTTTCTAAGGCCTACAAAGCAAGGAAGCAGACCAAGATTATCATGATTGCTTTTCCCATAATTTTATAAAATTAATTACATCATTGAAATTCATTAATGAAATATGTAAGCAAATAATATGTAATTATAAAATATGCCATTTTTCTATATTATCACAAAAATCAATAATAAACAAGCATTTATTATTATTATTTAAGAATTTCATGCTTGAAACCTAATAATATCCTCAGTATTTTCTTAATGCTTTTTGCATAAATTAATATAAATTTCTAATGATGATTTTCTTTAATAAATTAATAGAGTTTGAGATTTTTTTTGATTATTTTCTGAAAATCATAATGGCTGAGATTATATAATTTGCATGATTCTTAAAAGACTCTATATTATCCCATTTTTTCAAAAATATTTAATGATCAGAGTGAAATGTGAATAATATTTTTCATATATTATAATGTTGAAATAAAACTAATTAAATGAGCACTTCGATATAAATATGAGAATGAACATTACAGAAAATAACTGTTAATATGGCATATGTGAAAAAACTACCACAGAGGTTTGTATTCATTTAAACATTAAACCTTAGCTAATACAAGAATCATAAACATAACCGTTCTTATTAAGCCAATAAACCACACAAAGAAGCCCTATATAAAACGATGATGGTCTCAATTAACTAAATGTTGATTTCCTTTCAGATGACATATATCAGCTAAGTTCTATAGAAGAGCTCTCTTCAAACCTTAATAATTACATCGATTTATATTTATAAGAATTGAGATAACCATAGTAAATTTTAGAGCAACTATCTTTATAACAATCTGAAAGTTATGAAGAGGAGTCTTCAGAAAGTCTTGGCTAAAAAATTTATTCTGTATATTTTTACAATTACATTTAGAAATTTATATCTTAGTTAAACTTATCAGTCATTTAATCATAGGACTAAATTTCGAGTATAGATGAGCAATACAAAGATGAAACGTCATTCACCCTCTCAACCCCTATATTGGATCAGGAAGTTAAAATTCTTCCTGATATAAATAGCAATGGATTAATCACATTATTTTTGAATAAAATTCATTCTACTTGCAGTTTAGCTTGAGTTAATAGTTCTTCCTTTACTTTTTATAAACTCTATATTTCTTTGATTAAATAATTATAATTTTTTTGTTTTGAGAAAAATATTAATTTAAATATCAAATAATTATTAATTAGAATCAATAAATTTATTACCCTTCCAAAATCAAAAGACCAAAGAAAAAAACCTCAATAAAATTAAGGGTTTGAGAAATACCTCAAAATCATCGAAGGAGAAAAATTTGGGTAAAGAAAAATGCAAAATTTAGAGTTTCGACTTCTAATGCATAACTATTTAAAAGAAGCGAAAGAGCAGCTTACTAGTATCGTTAATTCAAACAAAGATGATATGATATTTCTTCATCTGATTGATTATCAATCTCTCCTTCTAAATTATTTACATAAAGAATTCATGCATTATAAAATCAACAATTAGGAAATTCCTTAACTTGTTTCTTTTTTATTTATATTAATATACATAAAATGAAGTTTTAATTTAATTAATGATTCCTCATTATATTCATTTGAAATATATAAAATCAGTCGAAAAGAAATCTTTCCTTCCAAATTTCTATGTATACGCAGTTGATATTTATCCTAGATGATGTGAATGATGATTTATAAGATGGTAAAATATTGTTGAAGCATCCTTTTTCTAAACGACTCCTTTGCTATCTTGATATTCAAACTCTTAATCAAAATATGCTTAATCACATGAATCTATAAGCTATTAGTATACTTAATTAATATCCAAAAGTAAGGATTTCGTTTAATCATAGTCAAATTGCAACTAATCAAATATTTTTTCATCATCACTTTGCCATAATAAAATGAGTTCTTTAAGCTAAATTTAGGAAAATTAAATTTACATCAATTGTTTGTATCTTTTCCTTGGATAAAATAGGTACCTGAATGCTTTATAATTTCATTATTCTTCCATACCATATGTAATCAGCTGCTAATAAGTGCTTCATAGTCCCAATTACGTTGTTAAAGAATAATTATTGATTTTAGACTAGAAATTGTTAATAGTTATCTTATTTCTCAAATGATTCAAACATTTTCTTGTATCTCCATTCATTATATTTAAAAATTTTTTAGAACATCTTCTTCATTTTTAGATTTTATAATAAATAATGTTTTGTGATGATGTGATAATAATCAGATATCTTCTGGGGGTCCATATCTATCCTTAGATGGCTGATTATTGAAGAATCTTAAAAATTCCTACCCAACCACTTTGTATGCATTTGCATAGTTTTATTAACATTACTTGAATAAGGCATCTTAATCGCCATTTGGTTGCGCATCTTATATAGCTTTTACACAGAGTTAGAATCCCTATGTAGCAAACAAATCCTTGAATATATCCATTTATTTAATTTAATATTATTTATAATTTTCATTTCATATTATTAGATATACATTAAATTTGTATGTCTCACTTTATATGAGTTGAGTTTTAATTACTTTTCATTTAATTGGATTTTCCTTTTTCTATTACTAATTCTAAAAACTAACTAGCAATTTAATAATTCAGAGCATAAAATCTTGTGGGATTTTATACCATTAATTAAATAATTTCCATTTTTTCATGTAATATCATTCAAAACATATTCATTTGGCTATTCATTTGTAGAGGCTTACTCAGTTTTTGTGCATAAATATTTATATAGTTGTGAAGTATGATTGACTTCTACTTTTTAATCTAACTTGATATCTTTTAGGAGAAATTGTGCAAAGAAAATATAACTGATTTGTAAACCAAAAATCACTCCTTAATAGATGTATTGGAACTTTTAAACAGGTTGGATTGTTTTATCATTTTGTTTCAAAATCTATTCTAAAAATTTAGAAATTCAGTATCATCTTAAAATCTATTTGTAATTACTTTTTTAATTCATGCTATCTAAGAAGTCTCCTTCCATTTCTCAATGTAAAGTTTGATTAGGAAGTTGATTTTTATCTTGAATTATAAGATGAATAAATTGGATCACTTGTAATTTTCTCTTTTCAGTTCGTTTTCTCTTTCAATTAATAAATCATCAATTATTATTAAGAATAACTTGGGGTAGTAGCTCATTTAGTAGAGCGCGTGATTTGCATTCACGAGGCGCCGAGAGCGAAGCTCGGCTACTCCATTTTTTTTGTTAAAAATATTTATTTTCGACAAATCAATTATTATGATATATGTCATTTTTGTGTTGCTGTATTTGAAATACACATTCTTGGAACAAAACTTAAGATTAAATTTCTCACTTTACTATTCAACAATATCAATGTAAACATCAACTTTAATATGCTTTAATATCCTTGCAAAATTTAATGACTATAAGAAAAGAGATTATAAATATAAAACTACTTTTGAATAGTGACTGCTAAATGATTCATTTTCTATCTATCCTATTCATAATTTGAAAAGAATCTTTTTCATAATAAATTGGATATCAAGAATTCGATTTACATTTTCCTAATACTATTTCCTTTGACATCCATTTTACCCGATTTCCCTGTTTTTCCCATTTACATATTCCCAAAAATACACTTTTAATTATTAAAAGTGAATTCTTGAGCCAATCCAATCCAAACTCCAGATTATTTGAATTTCCAACCTATTAATATATTACATAATCATATACAATCCTCCTCCACTGAATTATAAATAACATGCTAAAATATGCGTTATTGAATTCTTTTAGTAAGTACATCTTTATATTAAATTTTCCATTTACCAACTTTTAGGCTATTTATATACATACAAAACGAATTTCATTTTAACTTAAATTTTAAACGGATTTCAAATTACTGGCAAAACTTATCTTCTAATTCGATCCACATCCCAGAAATTTAATACTCTTCCCCCCACTCACATTAAATTAAATTGCTAAAGTAATAGTTTACTACCTGCACTTAAATTATAATTTTTTATAGCCACCATTCTTATTAATCACATCCCATTTGCCAAACTTTTGACGTTTAAATATTTACTATTAAAAGTAACTTAGGAGTGACTAATTTCCAAAAAATAATTCCTATTCTTGTAATTCTGTATTTCTATTATAATCTATTGCATTTCTAACACATTTTCAAAAAATCTGTCAATTTCACTTTTAATCCTAAATAATTGGGTTTTATTTAAGCAATATCAAAAAATCATAGCCCAAATAAAAAAAAAATTAAGGAATTTATTCGCAATCTAATGAAATCAAGAGTGAGTTGAAAAGTGTGTTTGATCAATTTTCTCAGCAATTACTAAAGAAGGCCCTGACAAATACATTCCATTCCATAAAAATATGTTTTGAGAACATAATCTCTAATTCCTCTCTAATATATAAATTGACAAAATTAATACTTATTAACTTATATAGTAGACAAGATCAAAGTCAAATTAAAGTTATGTATTCTTGAATCGTTATGTGTGAATATTATAAAGGATTCATTAAATATTTAGCTCTGTGTTGTAAGTATTTTAATCAACAGAAGAATTTAAATTATAAATAAAACACATTTGCCATGTTTCAAATCGGTTTTCAATCTATGAAATAAGTTAGAGTTTTCAAAAATCAATTCAATTAATAAATTTCATTTTCTTTAAATCTTCATTGAAAAGTAACAATTCTAAAGACATTTCCATTTATTAATTTTAATAAAAAAAAAAATGGCAAAAATTTGTTTGTTCTCACTCTTCATAGCAGTTTCATCATACATAACTATTGATTCAGGATCCTATCTTGAACTAAATCGCACATTGAATTTCGACTGTAAAAACAATTACTAAACTACAAGAACCATTGCATTTTCAGATACGTTTCAAAATATTCCTTAGGTGTTTGTATATTAATACTAATTCGACATTACTAAATCTTCGACTGAATATTAATTTTCAATCACTAGCATAACAAATATTAGTAGACTTCTATATTATAATTTAGATTTTTCATTTTTAGTGAAATGCATCAGTACTCTTGTATATTCTATGAGATATGAATGGATAGCAATCGATGATCAACGAGTTTAAGTGATAAATTAATTTAATATGAACCCGCCGCAAGATAAAGTGTTTACTCATTAATTACTAAATGCTGATCTTGCAATAATAGGGATCACAAGCTTAGGTTATGTTGGTTCAATCGACTTTTAGTTATCTGTATTAATTGTTTAATAATTTAGATAACTGAGTTAACTGGAAACAGTGTTTCTGTCGGAATCACAAAAGTCACTGATAAGTTTCAAAATTTAGTGCAAATAGGTTATCAAATCCTATTAGTATCTTCCAGAGACGCCATTAATAATGGACTGATTACATTCTAGCCAAATTATACTAGTCCTATAATGAATTTAGAATAAAATAAGTTGTTAATATTACCAATTCAAGGAATAAATTATGGTTATACAACTTCATTAACTGTAAGAATGTCGAAGATCATAGATGGTTCAACTATTAAGTTTAGTTTTGATCGGTGTAAGAATCAGTGTTAAAAATAGGGACAATTGATACCTGCAAATATGTAGCTTAAAGTATCTGGTTGTCATAGTTGATTGCAGCGAACTAAGCACTCTAATGCAAAACTTTAAGAATAAGTTAAAAATTAGATTATTCACAATGCAGTAGACCATTATTTGAAATCTAAATACTTTAATCAAATTAGATATTCAACACGATTGGACAATTTACAACAAAGGTCTTTAAACCTATAATAAATATTGATTTCATTCTCTTAGTAAATTGTATTACTAGAAAGCACGTTGTCTCTTAATTTAATAAATGTAATGCTTGTCCCACATAAAAATATTATTAATTTAATCACTATTGTCACTCATAAATTAATTTAATTAGTTATTTTCCTAAGTTCACCTAACCAGATTCGGTTAATTAAGAGTTCATTATTACAATAACAAGTTCAAGCTGCACAATTAAGTAGATACTTTATAATTATGTGACAACAGAATAAACGATTATAAATATTCAAATATAATGAAAAACATGATAGTCTTAGGATTGACATATTAATATTTTAGTTTTATGAATTATTCAATAAAACATCTAGTGTTAACTAATTTTATATAATAATTCTATTTTTATTCAGAGTAGCTTTAATAAAATTGGAACTAAAAAATATATAAATATCAATTATGAATGGGCTTGGGGTTGGTATAAGAAGCCCTGTCAGACTATCTCTGAAAGAAAACGACAGTCACGAGAAGGCAACGAATCCCAGTCCCTAC